TTTCGTCACAATAGTCGAATGATGATAGATGCCACTTTCTGAAGTAAGCCGGCCAGTGGACTCAGGCCAGGCTGCATTCGCAACCAACACATCAGTATGGTGCATACAGATGCATGGCAGTTTAGAGGTGACTGCGTACTTCGGCGGCTAGCTAGGCTCACGACATGCTTCACTGCCAACTTGCTGCGCAGAGCTTAGCTGGTCATCGACCTCCGCGCATATGGAATGGCTTGCATGAATCCCTCAGATGGACATTTTCAACTTCCAAACAATACTAAACAACGCTGAACTTCGGAACATGCTCCGTCTGAGATTCCTTTGAAGCAACAGAAATATTTTCGTGGATATTGCGTATTCTGCTGAACATCATCCGCACACTCTGCATGTTTGCGATCAACGCCCAATTCCTGGGGCTGTCCCAATACGTCCCAACAGAATGTCCTCAAGCCGTCCTTATGTTGACCAGTCATTCAGGTCCGGCTTTATGGCATGCAGACTGACAGGAAGTACGTTCCGGCAGATTTACGATAGACAAAGAGAAGTTTCATCTCGATCTTTCAGGAGTGACGTCAAACATGCCGCTTTTCTTAGCCATTGAAACAAGACGAGACGGCTCCTGACATCTATGCTTTTCGACGTTCTGCGCTGAACCATCTCAAATTGGTTGAAGGACTAGCGTCACGTAGCCTGAGAGCCTCAACTGATGTGTTGCAAAGTCTCTGCTTGAGAGTCAAACCTGGTATGCATCTCGAGCCAGCCTAATGGGCACTCTCGCATCGTTCGAGGCATCCTTGGAAGACGAGTCTGGTGTGCAGAGCCGTGGCGACAAGCTGGAACATCGGAACTCAGAATACCCTCAAACAGGTCCTTTAATTAGTGCTCCAATCCATATCAAGAAGAACAACCTTGCACTCATAATCTTCTGACATCTTTACCAGTCAAATCTGGCTGCGCGCACATACTGTCTGGCCAAAAATCACCCTTCTACAGGGCCAGATTTGCCTCTAGGCACCGCAAGCAAGGTCAACAAGGCAGCCAGATCTGACCGGTCTTGACCGCGTGTTTCACTTTCAAGCTGCGTCTACAGACCGGAGCTTAAAGGAGATCAGATATGTTGGATACGCCTGAAAGTCTTTGAACACTACGAAGATACTCGGCGCCCCTATATTATCCACAGCAGAGTCGTACCGTGACTCGGCCCCTGTCTGGCCTTCAGTCTTTTGGGGTGGCGCTTTCATGCTCGATGCGCCCTCGGTAAAGTCTCCGACGAGGACTTGGTTCAAAAACATACAGTACGTGTCTGTCGCATTCCTCAACCTTCCTCCAGCTTCGCACGAGAAGTACGACGCGTAGAAAGAGTCCACCGAGAAGTACGAGCCTTCGCCAAAGTAAGTTGCATGTTTGCCTGCAGCAATATGTGACGTAGTGAAGCGTCAGGCGTGAGGATGGATCTGATTTATTGGCAGCTTTTCAACATTATGGAAACTTTAACAGAATTCCGACTGGCTGCTGTGCTCTTCGAAGATCCTCCGCACTTTCGTGTTTTTCCAAAGACATGACAACTAGTGACATTCTCATAGAGGTCCCTTTACGACCTTACTTATACGCTGGCGCAACCGAGACAACCAAGACTCCCAGTATTGTTTCTGAAATCCAGAATTTGGAAGCAGTCAAAAGGTAGAGGCAACACCTTAAATACCAGAGAACTCAAGCAGAATCACAAATTCTAAGAATCGCGTCATCTTACCAGCATATGACCGGTTGAATCCATGAGCAGAGATGGCCGGTGCAGTTCCCTGTGGCGTTCCATGGAAAAGCCACTTCTCGTTCTGGATGGTTGTCTTGTGCAGCGAGTAATGTCCCCAGAGCCGCTCGTTCTCCACTCTTTGAACCTCCGTGATCGTGAAAATGTTGCTTCCGGTTCGCTCGTGGAACTTGGTAAAGCAAAAGCGCCACTCCTCAGAGTCTTGTGCCAGAGTGACCAGCTGCCCTTCTGCCTCCCTAACGGCTGTTAAGCTCCACGTGGCTGGCCACACTATAACGCTCGGTCTCTGCTGCATCTGTGCTTCTTTTACGCTTTGAACCTGCAGCTTGGAAGCAAGTTATTCTGTGGAGGCTTTGATCTTCCACTCCAAATCCTTCGTAGTCGCCTCCACTTTAGTTTTCAGCTCTTCCGTACCCCATTCAAATATCTTCTTCACCTCTTCTTTGACAAGCTCCACAATGACCTTCGAACGGAAGGCGTGTGTGCTTCCCGAGATCGTCAACAGCGCACAGTGCTTTGTTCCAGTTTTTGAAGGCGTTACCACTATGGAGACTTTGTTCTCCTTCTCCAGTCTCTCCAACATGCTTAGAAACTCATCGACCCCAAGGAAGAGAGATGTGTCCACCTCGATTTCACTCTGAGATTCTCCTGACATCCGAAACTGCCTTGCCTCAGACGGAGCACTCTCAAAGAGTATCTTTTGTGCTTGCAGATAGATCCTGCGACCGACGATGGTCACAATGCCCGTTGTAAGCAGAGAGATGCCTTTCACAAAGATGCTGAGGTCATTCTCTCCAGCAAAGTAGCTTATCTTCATCTCGGTAGTCATCTTTTCGGTGCTTACAGTGCTTGGTCAACGTCGAGAACCTCTGAATGACTCAATGCTGTCATAGTTCCATTTATTTCTCTGTCTAGGCAGTCTGGTAGTGAACGAGTGTTTTCAACCACGGTCTCTGGAGAAGGCACTTCAAAGAGTGATCCGTAGCACTAGCTCGACAATCGCAATATTCAGTCTGCAGCTGCATGTAGGCTTAGCTTGCTGCTATGTATTTGATCGACAGGGGATTGTGCGGTGAGGGGAGAAATAGCAGAAGAGAAGGTCGCGCTTTATGGATGGAGCTGCGCACAGAGGGTCGGCAATGGAAAGAACTCCTCCTGGAGAGATTCAAGGCTGGGTAAAGTTCGTCTTCAAGCCTACAATGTTCACCAGCGTCTCCCTTGTCAGGATGAACTGTGAATCAGAAGCTCTGAATTGCTGTTGTCCTGTCAAAGCTGAAAAGTCTTTTATGCTCACCTTCAAAAAGGGTGCCGCACTCTGCTGGCAGTTTGGTCCAAGACCTGACTAATCAGGTGTGCGTTTACTTTGAAGGCTCCGTGCATACTGGACATCGAATTCTAGGAGGTCACGTCTTGGCACCACCTCTGCAAGAAAATTCTCTCTGGTTTAGAGTACTAGAGCCAGCCAAAGTACTGGTCGCGTGACCCCAACAAAAACGGCAGGCAAATTGTCACATCATTAAAGGTATGATTGCTGTGCCTCTTCAAATATGCATCGCCAGGAGGCAACGTGCCAACCAAGCCTTGGTCGCGTGACCGTCACCAGCTACCAAGCAGGATTGTCACGTCACGCAGAAAAAGCTTCTGGTTTGTACCTCTAGCTAGAACGACGGAAACAATTTGTTCTTTGCAAATGGCCCAGCTTTTCCCCAGCGTCTTCGTTATGCATCGCGCCGGAAACTGTGGCAGCTTGGTAGCCTTTGGGTCTCAATGCATCGCTTCTAAGGACTCAGCAGAAGTTCTGCAATTCCTTATATGTAGCACGAGCGCTGATAGCTCTGATTGAGAGATTGCAGCTGAAGCTTTGATCTAGTTGGATTCTTCAGTGAGCTGGAAGCTGCGCATATCAAATAACAGCGGCAGAAAGAGGTGTTTTCGCTCAGGGCTGGATTGAAGTTGAAGCGAAGCAGGTTTGGTGGCTACAAATTAAGATGGCTAGTGAACTGCTCATAAGCTATTTTTCTCACGAGGGCGACTTGAAAGTGTTTCTGAAAGGCTTGGGAATGCTCGCTACGGGCCTCATGAGCGTCACTGGACTTCGAAGATACCTTAGCTTGCAGGAAGAAGAAAGACTAATTGAGCGAGAAGATATTATCGAGGCTTTCGAAAGCATCAGAAATACTTCGACGAGCAGATTTATTTCTCTGCCACAAAGTCAAGTCTATCCAAACCAGGCTGAGATTCGGACACAAATACGGGTGGACGCATCTGTATTTCTTGAGCGGGAAGACCTTGTTGAGAGACTTGAGGATGAGTATGGAGTTTTCATAATCGTTCAGTCCCCGTTCTGTGGGATGAAGGACAATACCAGACAGGTGACGATCCTGGGAAGCACGCGAGAAGTCCACAACCAGATCATCGGCCGAGTCGCCAAGGAAGAGCTGAAGCGGAGTGTGGAAGCTCAACTGGAAAAGCTTGCCTTTATCCAGACTCAGAAAGACTTAGAGCAGCAAGCGCAGCTTGGGCAGAGCGTTCTGATATTGCCTTCTACCTGGAAGAGAGGTGTCGGCAGCAAAGTAGGAAAAGCTGAGTTGGTCGCGCTGGCAAAGGGTTCAGAAGAGTGGCGCTTTTGCTTCGACGCTTTCTACAAGAGCAGCAGAAGCAATATTTTCACTATCACGGGGATTGAGCGTGTACAGAACGAGGAGCTCTGGACTCACTACTCGCTGCACAAGCGAATGCTTGGAAACGAGAAGTGGCTATTCCACGGAACGAAGCAGATAAACGCGAAGGCTATCTGTACTCAAGGATTCAATCGATCATACGCTGGTAAGAAGGTCTCGTGATGTCAAACTTTCTTCATATCAAAGAAAGGTGTGGATCTCTTGCGGGTTGGGGTCAGTTACATCTTCGTGTTTGTTATTCAAGAAGCAGTCGTTTGCTCGCAGTCGATGTTTTAAGTGGCAATTGCACAAGCTGGCGTCACGGTACTCTTAAGAAAGGTAGATAAAGATACATTGTTTGCCTGCCGTATACATGCTTTTAAACGTACTGCCGATTCCCGTTGATTTCAGAGCAGGTGCGCCTAGATACCTGAGCCCGTGGGAACGTTTGCTTTGGGAACACATTGCTAGTCGGAGCTTACATTAAAGGGTCCCCCTTCTAAAGTCTCTCAAACGGTAATGTTGATTGCATCAAAGACGAACATCAAGTAAGGGAAAAGCTGACGCTAGTCTTTTGTGTGGTGCAGGCAGCCACGGAACTTCCTACGGCGAGGGCACATACTTCGCGGGCGGTTCCTTCTATGCCTCATACTACTCGTGTTGTGCTGGTAGCAGAGAGCTGAGGGGTGCAACAAACACGTACTGCATGTTTGTGGCCCAAGTTCTTGTTGGGGACTTTACGCAGGGCGCATCGGGCATGAAGGAACCCCCTCGGAAGACAGGAGACGCGGCAGGCGGAATGGTTGGGGCCGAGTCACGGTACGACTCGGTTGTAGACAAACCAGAGGCACCGAGAATCTTTGTGGTGTTCAAAGATTTCCAGGCTTACCCGACGTACCTCATCACGTTCAAGCTTCGATCCATTAGTGAAAGACTGTTGAGAACGATACCAGAGGACTACTACGATCTGCCTTGGGCCAACGTTCGAAGCGCCGAGCACTATCAGAGAGGATTATGGTGCATCATCGACGGGCTCGTGCATTCCATGCATACAGATTGGCCGCCCATTGCATGTGCATGCATGAAGCTTGCATGGTTTTTCCAAGAACAAACTCTCGGTCCAAGCCCTATGCAATCGCATGCTTCTTTCGCGAGCGACTATGTCGGCCCCCATACTAGCAACTGCAATTATGCCGACAGGCTTTGCCAGCTCATCCAGAACGTCTCTGCCTATACGAATTTTCGCAGCAATCATCCTGTGGGCGGTGCGCTATACCTGATTATGAGAGAAGCACAGTGCGATCCACCCGGTTTTAATCGGGTCGAATAAGTAAAGAAGAATATGCGAGGATGTTTGAACATCTTATCCTTGTAAGTTGAAATGCAGTAAGCAATGTTAAAACAGCAGTTTCCAGTCTTAGCCTCGTGCTAATCACAGGCGGGCTGCGCTGATCTAATCTACCAGTTTCTAGCTCTACAACTCCAATAATGAAAAGGTCTTTGCAGCAGTTTGATTACAATGTAGTTCACCTGACCGTGCGTTGTCAAAAATGGTCTACCGGCTCGCTGCTGACAGCCAAGTAGGCTTCTAAACGAGAAGACGTTTTGCAGACGATAAATGCGGATCAGCTGCTCCGTTCCGTCGTGCTTCTTGAATCTGCTTGTCGACATGCCAGCTGGCTCATACATGGTCGAACACTATCATACTACCTCGACGGCCGGATCTTCACCAGTAGCCTTAATTTATCCAAACCCCGTCTACAGTCTACCCAACGCCATGTGGTGGAGATCGTTTTGTCTAGGAGAACCACCTCTTCATCACCTCTCCAATGCCCGCTTAGCTTCTAATCCTCTCGCTTGAGTCGAGCCTTCCGTACTGGCCCGCAGTTCATCCGTCTTATGACGTATCATCAACGTTCATCACGTTTCTTATAACCATTCGGGATGGTCTTTCGTCGGTTGACGGCCCCCCTGCTCTTCCCCTTCCTTTGCCAGTGCACCCGTTTCTGCCAGAACTCATCCTGGCGACACGAACCGTCCGCTCCTTCCAATCCGCTCGCGCACTTTTACTGCTCTCCCGTGCTCCGGCTCTCTACCTTCGCCGACCCTTGTCCCTCATGCGTGCCTTGCTACAGCGCCGCTCCGTTTTCGCCCTGACCGTTCATTTGTCTTTGCGACTGCCCAGCTTCTCCGTCCCCGGCACTATTTGCCGCCGCATTTGCCGCCGTCGGGTTGACCTGGTGAGCCGCTGCGCCAGTTTCAACCGGGCGGGGCTGCTCCGCCGGCTCCCCCTCCAAATGCCCCGTTCCCTGACCCCCCGAACCATTTTCTGCTTGCCTTACGCCTGAATCCGCAACGTTTACCTTCTCCTCCGTCCCCCCCCCTTCGATTTGCCGCTCTTCCTGCCCCCCCAACTCGTCGATCCTCGCTTTCAGATCGCTCTCCTGCTCTTCCCCGTGCTCGTCAATCTGCCTCTTAGCCTCTTCATCCGTGATTCCCTCTTCTTTTTCCGCCACCTCTTCTATGTCTTTCGGCTTCATGAATCCTTTTCCCCAGGGGTACAGCCCGACCGCTAAAACGCCCGTCATCGCAACCCCCAGCGCCGAGAGCAGCGGGTTTCCCCCGCCGGTCAACCAGGTCGAGACACGTGGATTTACCGCGGTCAACTGCCCGACTTGCACCACGTAATTCGCGGCGATTAACCCGGAGTGCAGGCCCATCGGGAGCGCGAGGTTTCCCTGCGCGCGCGCGCGCGCTCCGATAAGAACCAGGCCGAGGAGGAAGAGCCCCGGAGCGGCCGCGCGCGACCAGTGCGCGAGCGCGAAGAGCGTGGCTGAGAGGAGCGCAGCGCCGTGGGGGCCGACGTCGACGGCGGCTTCTTCGTGGATCCAGGACCTGGTCAAATAAACCAGGGATAGTTAATGTTGATTGTTAAGAAAGATCGATGTTTTCTGCTGCTTGGATCAGATTCACGCGCTGTTCTCCTCTTCTGATAGTGAATGATTGGCCAAATCCTAGGACGTTGTTTGCAGCAGTGCGAGCTTCAAGAGGAAGGTGTGACCCAGCAACTTCACGTTGGATCGGATCCAAGAACGCAAGCGACTGTGGCTGATCAGACCTGCTCGCGAATAGAAAACGGCGTCTTCTTGGTTACAACCGTAGATCAGGGTCTTAACTTATCACACTACAAATCGGACCAGGATTTGATATTGCAAGAAATTGTTTCTGGATATGATCAGCTGGCAGGACGAAAACGGCGACTTCTTGCTTGAGCCAGAAACCTTGCTTCCATCAAGAACGGCGCTAACCCGGGCCTTGACCCACCTGAAGATGAGCTCCTCCACGAGTGACACCGTCACCCCGACCATCCACGCGTGCAGCACTAAATGCACCTTCCCGAACTCGCGCAAAACGCCGGCCGCGACGTTCGCCGCCGGTTTCTGGGTCGCCCCCCCGAGCCACGTCACGTGCCCCAGCCTTAGCTGCAACCCGTAAAACGCGGCGACCAAAAAGGCGCCCGCGAGCTGGCCGGTGATGAGCTGGCCCGCACTCTTGCGGTTAAACATGCGGAGGCCGTAGCTGGTGAAGGGGCGCTTGAAGCCGCGGACAACGCGGCCCCAGATGTGGATCTGGAGAGATGTAGCGAGAATCAGTTTTGAGATCCGGAAAGACTCGGGCCCAGATGTGGATCTGGAGAGACAGAGCTGAGTTTCAGGGTTCGAGATATGAGAGGAAGATTCAATACGAGCATGACAGAGGGAAAGGAAGATTGTTTCATCTCAAGAAGTGCCGGAAGCCGCGCTTATGCGGCCCTTAGTTCGAGTAAGAAGAAACGCGAAGTTACTAATCGTATCTGTCCAGCGGTTTGTGTCTGATCTTCAAGAAACTTGTCCTCAGATCTGGTAATCTTGAAGGTAGCCCAGAAGTCGTCTCAGAAGCTTTGCCTTCCCAACGAATACCGGCCGCTCCGACAAGACCACTGCAAAAGCGGCGTCGTCCCTCTTTTAGAGTAGAGCAGCTATTTGCGTGAAACTTGCCACCTTTATCTCCAGTCTAAACCCTTTCTACATGATTATGGACCCTTCGATCTCGGAAGCTAGCCGATCGGACGGCCCAAAACTCTGTCATTGGCAATTCTCGCAAGCTTTTGAGGGTGCGAGTTTCACGCAATCAATAGCTGTAATGCTAAGCCAAAACACAGACGACGCCGCTTTTGCAGCTCTGCCAAAGCCGAATATGTAGGTGAGCGCTCACCAGCATAAGGACCGCCAGATACAGGCCCGCGGCCGCGGCCGCCTCCGCGACTCCGCCCTTTCCCCCGGTCGCCCGGTGCTGCAGAATGGTCGGGAGCAGGGGCACCAGGACTGGCGTCCACAGAATGACGGACATCGCGGCGAAGGCAAAAATCCTGGAAATAAGCGTAAGACTCTAGTGAAGCCAATTTCTTCAGGGATCATCAGGGACGGGCGGCGAAGTGAGTACTCTGGTAAGGTGGCAAGGGAGGGTTTGCAAAAAGCTTTTCGGGCGTTTATGTGGGTGTCGTAAGGGCTCACAGCAGCAAGCTTCTCATTGGATAGGTAGTACCGAGTGTGGTGACCATACCGATAGTCACATGTATCATCCATGGATTGCTCTCTTGACCCGGAAATTAAAGGCACATGCCAAAGCTCAATGGCCCTGGCCCTGGGTCTGGGCTTCAGGCAGCAGAGGGGCAGAGGAAGCTAGGGTAAAGATATAGACAGCACAAGTTACCCCCAACTGCTTGGAGCAGATTGTCAAGCGCACGTGAAAGAAAATCAAAGCGGGTTAAACATGACTATCGGCTACATCGAAGAACAATATGCAAGCTGTCAAAGCACCACCTGTTGATCCCCAAAGTTGAGTCGATGGCTCGAGCAACAGTCCAGGGAAGGCCGGTAGCCTGTGACGCACTCCCAATACAGCCAAACGAGCTCAGCTCCCAAACCGTGAAAAGCGCGCGGACAAAGTGCTCACCGCTTCGCCAGGTTCTTGTTATCGATCTTCAGGAATCCGAGCAGCCGCTCCGTAACCCTCGTCGCCCCGCGCACTCCCCCCCAGAACAGCGCCAGCTTCCCCGCGACCCGAAACACCCCCCCCGCCCCCCCGCGTCCGCCAAAAGCATCACCAACCTCGACTGATCGACATCCCCATTTGCATCCCTCGGAATCTGGCTCTTTACCACAGCGACCGCCTGAGTCGCTAAGTGACCCACAGTGTCCGAAAGTCCGCCCCCCCCCTGCGGCGGATTCTGCCCTTCCGGGGGGGTCGGGTTTATAGCCCGGGGCAAGTCTGCGGCGGTGATCCCCGTTGCTTGAGAAGCGACGGCCGCGGCCGTGGCCGCGACGACCCCCCCCGCGCCGATTATGGTCGCGGTTTGCTCGGAGCTGAGGCCCTTGCGGGGGGGTGCGGGAGTGCTTTCTTGGGCCTGGGAACAAAGGGGGGAGGGTTAAGATTTTTCTGCGGGGTTACAGGGGTGGAGTTCCCAGCGCGTTTTTCAAACTCGTCCTGTGCATAGCGTGCGCGAAAGGTGTTTGACCTGGGCCCGGATCGCTGAAAAGTTTATGTTCCATGCTGTGCAAGCTCATGCTCCACCAATGTTTGACAAAGTGACCAATGCAAGCCGCGCGGAGTTCAACGTTGTCTCAAGTTTCGAAGTGAAAGCGTTGTGTTTGGACACGATGACTTGCCGGGTGCAATCGTGAAGCAAGCTTTTGTTTTGATTGGAACTTAGCCAGCCCAAAAACTTCCCCCAACAGACAGCGGTGGTAACAGCGACCGGGTAGACGCGCCTGAGAGTTCAAACTTTCCATCCCTTGTATTCTCGAACTTCTGTATTTTGTCAAGTGGAATCAATTCTTCTGTTTTGCCAAGAGGCCTGTCGATATCGTCTATTACTTTCTAATCACACCAGCTAAACGGATGCGTAAGGGCACAAGCCGGAAGGATGTGTAATTGCAGAACAAGCCTCGTCCAACAAAAAGAACCCAAACAAAAGTAGGAGCTTTGGACTGAGTGAGACTCGGGATTATGCCTTTAGATTTCAAAGAGATAAAATCTGACACCGGTTCCGTCCCACCAAGACTCTACCATGTGGTTCATACCTACAAGGAGAATAGACGGTCACATAGCACCACAAGGAAAAGAGACGGTCACATAGTATCAAAAGAGAAGAGACGGTCACAGTCCATCAATCAGGTCGTGCGGCTCAGCTTGCCAATATCACAATCAGCAAATCTACGCACCAGTTCCGGCTCGATCTCCGCCACCCCAGTCTCTCCTTCCGGCTCCTCGTCCCACTTGGTGCCCAGTCCCATCGCAATGTCATCCTCCGTCTCGAGCGGCAGCAGCTCCATATGGTCTGCAGCTTCGAGCTTTGCTGCATCTGCATTGATGACGATAATGAAAAGCTTTGCTGTATATCCAAACGACTCTTCTTCTGGGCGGAAAGGATGCTGACTTATTCAAAAGCCACGCCGGGTCTGCTTCACAGAGGAAAAAAGCCATGCACCTCGTCTATGAATTTTGAATTTATGCTTCTAATCACTTAACCAGACGTTTTGCCACCTTTCAGGACCAGCCATAAAACCTTGGGGCCGCCAATAGGAACACGGAAACGCACAGCTATCGGTCGCCACTATGCATCCGCTAAGCTTTGCCCGTAGAAGGTCTCAACATACTACGCTCAGGTTCTGAGTGCTTCAAGTGCACTGCTTAGAGTGGAACAATAAGAGAATCGACGAATTTGGAAACTTGTAGCCTTTGAATCCGTTTCACAAAATCCTAACAAGTAGAGAAGCAGTGAGCAATCTGGTCAACGAATTCCTGCGTTCCTTCCCCAGAAATACTAGCTCATCCAGACTACAGCGCTGCTAGCGTCAAACCAGATGCGTCCTCAGAGTCTCAAGATGCTCAGGCGAGGGGACTCTATTGAAGCGTCTGAGATTTGAAGATCCAGAACTCAATCCTCTATCAGATCGGTTGAGATTGAAGGATATCAAGCACTTCAAGTCCTGACCTTAGCGGTCGATTCTCCGATGGAACTTGGTGAATATCTCGGATGCTTTCAAGGAGTAAGCGAAGACTCCCAGCATTCAGACAACTGAAGACCAATGGTCTGGCTTGATTGCGAATACAGAGAAGCCGAACTAACAGAAATGACACGCCGGAAAGCAAGAAATCGACTTAAGTAGTTCACCTTCCGCCTTCTGCTTTTCTTCCGCTTCCTTCTTCTTGTCCTGCACCACGTGGTACACCGTTCCAATCGCCGCCACGACAATCCCAACTAATACCCCCATAGGCAATAGCCCGCCAAACAATCCCCCGGTTCCAACTACTGACCCAATCGCTTTCATGATCGCCCCCACGTCCAGTCCCCCGGGCATCTGCATCCCCGGAGCCACTTGCCCGGTTGCCGCTGTGCCGGGGGATCCCTCCCCGCGCCCGTTCGGCCCGGGGGGTTCCGCCAAGCCCTCCATCGCGCCCCCCCCCCCGACGGCCTCCGCAACCGCTTGCGCGACGCGCCCCGCCTCCGCCTCCCAGTTGACACGTGTCAACGCGTCGAAGCCCGACTGCCCGACGCGCCGCCCGATCTCGAGTTTGAGTGACGTCAGGACGACGTCAGCAATTTCTAGCTTCCGATGCTCGGGCAAACCGTTGGCGACTGCGGCCGCTGTTGATCCCACGCTGGCGACAGCGCCTGTCACTGCTGCAATTGGGGGGGCGCTCACCACGGCTTGGAGGACCCCCCCTTTTGAGTTGCTTTCGTCTTTGGAACCGGACCCTTCGCTAGGTGACTCTGTAGGCGCGTGTTGAGAGCTCTTGTTGTCAAAAGCAGTCGGATGCGCATTTGGATCTTGCACTTTGCCGTTCTCTAATGAATCGGTCGCTCCGTCAGCTGACGAGTGCTTCCCCGTCTCATAGCCCTTCTGCAGCCTCTGACGAGTCTCCTCTATCCTCTCCTTCTCGCCAGAAGCACCTTCCGAAGAACTTTCCGCCGGAACGTCCGAAACCGTCGTTTCTTGGTGAGTTGCGACTGCCGCCCGACGCCCGGTAGGCTCCCCCGACTCATCCCTTTCTATGACGACAGCCCTTTGCACCTGCTCGGTGGTTTGTACCGACCCCTCACCCCCTTGAGACGCCCGCCCGTTGACCGACCCCCGCGCTTCCGAACCGTCCGATCGTCCGTTTTGAGCGTCCGAAACCGTCCGACTTGTGCTACTGACCGTCACTCCCATCCGCCCGTTTTCCGGCGCCCTTCCGTTGGAGGAGGCCGCCCCGTTTCCGGACGCCCTTCCGTTGGCGGACGGAACCTCGTTCTCGGGTTGTGACACGGCTTTCGTCGCCTGAGCACTAACCTCATTCTCTACAGAAGGCGGCGCCCCTCCCCGATCAGTCCGCACCTGCGTGGCAGTCACAGTCGCCGTCTCCACTCCCGTTCCGTTCCGTTCGTGCCCCGGCGTTCCGCTCAACCCAGCTCCGGCAGAACTTTTCGCCGCGGACTCCGCACCCTTGTCAACCAATCCGTTCCCTTCTCCCCCGCTTCCTTGCGCTCCGTTCTCCGCAGCCGGACCCTTTCCGGTCACACTTTCCGCTCCGGTCTTCGAAGCGACTCCGTTTTCCGATTCCGTCTCGGGCTTTGCTTCCGCTTCTTTCGAACTGGACGCGGCTTCAAGCGTGTCGAACACTCCCTCGAGAACGCCGAAAACGTTATGTACAGCGCGCTGCGTTCCGTCGTCAAACCCCTGGTCTAAGGTAGTCAGAGCGGAACCGACACTTGGCAAGGACGCAGGAGGCAGCGGAACCTGGACAACGGAACCGAGCTGTGTGAGGCACAGTGCAAGACAGCTTGAGAGCGTCTGTTCGAGTGAGGAGATTATTAAGAGGTCCACGTTGATGCTCCGCTGTTTGAAGCTCAAAGACCATTCTTGATACCAACTACCTTCTTTTGAGATGGTGTAAAAAATTGCCGAGAGACCCTCGTAAGGTTTCCGTCGAGAAGATAGTCTCGCTATTTTACCGGCCAACGACGACTGTTAAGCCGGACATAGGCACTATCTGCGAAGTAATAGGAAGACTTCGGAGCTTCAACTCTAAGAGACGTGTCGACGTCGAGAAAATTAAAGCCTGCTGAATCCCAAGCTTTCTCAAAGAGTTCCCCGCACATGTAATCTAACGTGCAGTCCACTCGAAACCCAACTCGCACGTCTTGTGCGCACTCTTGCAGGAGATCAACATTTAGCCACTGGTTGCTTTTCTTCGTCGAATCAAAGCTGGTGCACCCTATTCGACCGGTTTTGAATCACGGGCAAAGCCGACATTGCATTCCGGACCATGTGATCCAGCCTACGGCCGCACACGCGCATTTGTACCATGTGTCGCGCGCGGCGCTCTTCTCTTGATGGTGCTCTCAACGGGACATTCAAAGCCGACGCGCTCGAGCAGCCGCAAACTGGGGTAACCGAGTCCAGAACAACATTATGGGTTTTGCCCGTCAGCATTCGAAATCGTCCGAAGTAGGTCGCACCAGTCTTGCAGCACAGTAGACCTTCACACACCTTCTGTCAACGTTAAAGAGGACTCACCGCGGGTGGCGCGGCGGAAGGGGGTCCCGCCGGGGGGGCCCCCGGCGCAGGCGGCGCTTCCGCATTCAGAGCTGGCGTGACGGCCGCTGCCGCCTGAGAGGCGGACTCCGCGGGCGTTGGGGGGGGGGGAGCGCCGTCGTTTGTAGCCGGGGCAGGCGGTGCTGCAGATTTGAAAGTCACATTCTTAGATGTTGCGGTGACTTAAGAAAGTAAATTTGGGGTGCGGTCGAATCTGAAGTCGGCATGCAGATCTGACGGTGAAACGTTTGTGTACGTTTGTGTACGTTTGGGTACACAACACAGAAACGTACACGGAGCAGAAACGACTTTTGCGGATGCCTCAAGTCGTGGGTGACTACAAGGATCGCACCTCGAAGCGTATGCCGAACTAAAAAAGGGTTGCAACAAATCTAAGGACTAGAGCTAACTCGCCACCTTCTCGTTCAAGCACCGAGCACTTCAAAGTGTTTGGGGCGGTCTTTTAGACAGCTCCTCGTTGCATTCAGAAATCACGCTATCTCCTCCATTCACATGGCACATCCTAATCCAGGACACGGAAAGGGTTCAGCAACGACATCTCACCGTCTTTTGGAGCGTCAGATGGAGGCGGGGCCGCCGCTGTATCCCCTGGCGGTGGTGCATTCTCCGGACCCCCCCCACCTTGCTTCTGAGCCGCATCACCCTTTGTGGGGGGCGCAGACTCTGTACTTTGTGGGGGGGGCGCGGGGGTGTCCTTGGCAGGCTCCGCTGCTTTCGGCTGAGGGGGGGCAGTCTCCCCCTTCGGAATCTCATTTGGCGGGGTGGGCGTGCTGCTTCCTGAGTCGGATTTGGATGCTTCCGGAGGGGGTGTGGCGTCTCCACCTTTAGGGGCCGCTTCGCTTTTCGGCGAAGTATCGTTTTGCGAGGGGGGCGGAGTTTCAGCTTTTGATGTTCCCGGAGGGGGCGAAGCGTCCCCCCCCTTTGCGTCAGCTTTCGCTGGCTCGGAAGAGGCAGCTTGGGGCGGTTTACTATCGGTCCGAGGGGCTTCCGACTTGGGCGGTTCGTTCTGTGGGGTGGTACTGGGGGGCGAGCTCTCGCCCCCACTTGTGGGCGCTTTGCTTTCCCCCCCACTTGGCGCCGCTCTGCTTTCCCTTCCGCTTGGGGACTCCGACTTAGGCGCGGCGGGGGCTTCCTTTGGGGGGCTGTTTGAACCAGAGTTTGAGGGGGGGGCGCTCTCGGCTTTGGAGCTAGATCCCCCGTCACTTTTTGGTGGGGGCGGTTTTGACTCTCCGCTCTTTTCTCCCCCTGCCGGGGGGGCCTTCGGCGGTGCCGCGGGCGGATTCGGTGCTTTCGGGGGGGCTAGGTTTCCCTTAAACCCCCCCGCAATCTTGCTCACAAGATTACCCCCCTGCGACGAAAACAGCCCCGACACGCGGTCCATGTCAATCTGTTTCGTCAGCACCCCGGCCTGGCCCTTACTCGTCTCCATAAACGTCTGCACCGCGCCTGTGACTTTCATGCGGACGTCCGGAGGCACCGCCAAATCCAGTGCGGACGCTAGTGACTCTCCGTTGTTCACCGCCGCCACGACTTGCTTCTTCTTCTCCTCGGAGAGCGTTCCCGGAAGTGCCACGTCAGCAACGTTCAAAAAGCTCTCAGCGGTCGCGGTCGCGATGCCCTTCTCGTCCACGGGAGGCGGGGGGGGCGCCTCGTCGGATTCCGGCCCCTTCTCGGCGGCTCCGGAATCCGGTCCCAGAGCGGCGCCAGATGCGCCCCCTTCCTTCTTGCTGCCGTCAGCTTTCGCCTTTCCCTCGCCACTTGTGCTACTTTCCGACGCTTTCGGATCTTGCGAACCATCTGTCTTTTGCGCCGCCTTCGCTTTTAACTCCCCCTTTCCGTTCTTATTTTCAACATCACTTCTTCCGTCACCGGATTCAGCGTCCCCGTCTGCCGTTCGTGCAATCCGCTCTCCGTTCCGACTAGAATCAGACCCCGCCCGGGGTTCGCCCTCCGGCCGACGACCGCTTTCTACTCCGCTCGCTTCCGACCTCCCCGTCTTCCCACCTTCCTCCTTCCTTCGTTCCAAAATCGCTTCGCCGTTCTCTAGAAAAACTTCTTCGTCCGCGTCTACTGTTCCTGACTCAATGGGCTCTCTCTTTCCTTCGACTGCCGCTGCAGCCTTCCCTACTGCCTTCCCTTTCTCTTTCGCATCTGCTGACCGCTCATCGGCCCCTTTCTCCTTTTTCGCCAGATTCGCTTCTGCCCTTTCCCGCCCCTTTTCCTCCGCCCTCTCCAACTCTACCGACGTCTTCGGATCTACTCCAACCTGATCCTTTCTCGCCTCTAGTTCTTCCACGCCCGCAGCCGTGACATTTCCCGTCCCGTTCGGAACCCCCGAAGTCCCGTCCACATCCTCGGACGCTTTCCCGGACGCGGACGCAACCTCCGAACCGTTTTCTGCCCCGTCCGGATCCTCGGAAGCCTCCGACCTTCCTTTCGCGCTCACTTCCGCTGGCCGGTTCTTGGACTCAGAAACAGCGTCCGAATCGTCCTTCCTGCCGTCCGAAACTTCTAAACCCTTGTCCGACGCCCTAGGCACCTCCTCCGACTTGGACGAAAGGTGCTCTGCCTCTTCTTTTCCGTCCGGGTGTTCTGGTGCCGAATCGTTCGCTTTGGCGTCCGAAGCTTGCCCTACGTCAGCAACACCTTGTGCTTCGGCGCCCGAAACTTGTCCGACGTCAGCGACGACTTGTGCTTCAGCGCCCGACGCTTGTCCTACGTCAGCAACGACTTGCTGAGACGGAGACCCTGCCCCATCCCCCTGCCCGTTGTCCGAAACCAAGTTTGCTTCGCTCTCTTGCATTGCAGTGCCTGAGACCAAGATCAAAAGCGTGAGTGGGTCAGAATGGGTGTTGTAGTCCAAGAATGAGTTCTTCAGAGCACAGCCGTCAAACACTTGCAAAAACGTCGTCTACTTGGTCCTCGTTTGTGGAGAGTACGACCACAGTCGGAACCCAACGTGCGTAGATGAAGGATAACACCCGAAAGGCAAAAAATAAATCAAGACTTGAACCCTCTTCTTGGCTGAGCGTGGGCTTTGTTTGGGAGACACTACGCAAAGCGAATTCTACGCGACCAAAAGCTACGTTCTTTAATAGAATACACTACGAAACCAGAACGTCTTGATCTCGTGGCACTCCTGGGGCGTGACAGCGATGAGACGACTCGTATGATCTATACGGCAGTGAAGACTGTGTCGGCTTCGAAACACCCAAGCATCGATCACCAAATTCATCAAGAAAAAAAACGTTAACAACCCGTACTGACAAGTGGCACCTTGCCAAACCTCACCTGCGCCCAAAGTAGGTACCCCTTTCTCACTTCTATCTGCGTTTTCAGAAATGCGTGGATCCTTCCCCTTCAGCAGTGCAAGCTCGACGGCGTCCAGCCACTCAAGTGCCACGTCAGCAGTCCAGCCGCCCAGCGTCCGGCTGACGTCATGCGCGCCACGTGTCAGCAGGAGAGTGGTGCAAGGGTTGCTGTGGATGGCCGCACGGGGGATCGCTGCTGCTGGAGCCTCCACGTCGGTTGCACTCTGCAGATTGAGTGATCCGCTATCAATCGACCTTGCATTACGAAATCAATAGAATGCGAAAAGTGGGGATGTATTAGAACTCTGTCAACTCAACCTTCAATCAAAAATTCAGCAGTCAGACCGTACTTTCAAACCCGTAAGGATGATGCGGAAACCATACAAGAAGCGTTCTGTGAGACTTAACTATAGGAAGGCGCTTTCTCATTACGTTGTCAGATAGATTTGATACCCCAGTATCAAGCAAAGCAATTTGCTCCAAAGGTGGCACTCAGGAAAATATACAGTCCCGTGGCGGTGTCGCAGCTGAAAGGGAGCCATACCTGGATAAAGAGCAAGGGCGTATTCACACTCGGGACATGGCCCCCGCAGCTAGCCGACCCATAGTACGCCTCCCGTGAAGCGAACCCGTTTGCTGGTGAGGTAAAACGGTCGTCGAACTCCGCAACAGAGGTCGCAGCCATGGCGGGTTCGACGTCGTTGAAGTGGCCTTCGAACAACGGCTGTGGAAGATGAGACAATGTGGCTGACGTCAAATACCGGCATCGAAGCATAACGTTCTGGTATCCTGCCGCCAAAGAGTTGGTATCAGAGTTTAAGCCCCAGCACTGGGCCCAGCTAAAAGGGGCCCAGCTAAAAGGGTGATGACATTGCGTAGACGCCCTCTTTAACCCGACTCTTAACTTACCAGATGCTGCCGCAGCAGTTCTGTCCTCTCCTTTGCGAGTGCCTCTCCGCGCTCCTCGTTCCCAGGCCTTGTCAGATTCTCGGTCGACGCAGCCAAGTCAAACGGGCAGCCCACCGCCACCGCCGCGGCGATGGGCAGGGCCTCTGAGGCCCTCTCCTCAACGTACTTGACCTGCAGATGCGACGTGAGAGTTTGGGGTGAAGAACTTCGACAAAAGCACCACTGTGTTGTCGGCATTTCACAAACGCCATGTGCAAGCATCAACACTTCGACTTTCAGAATAGGGGACGGCACACTGGTTAAGATCTTGGTGTCAAGGAACCCAAAGACAATCTGTACGTCCTACGCCCAGGTCAATCTTGCGCCGGTCACCGACTTTCATTTGAAATTGCATCGTCGAGCTGGCCGCCACACCCCCAGAATTGAGCCCTGTTCAATATGGAATAGGGAGTATGGTAGCATCATAGCTGACGTAACTTCCTGCTGTACCAGGTTTAAGAGACAAGACTTACAATTTACCCCGCGCCGGTAACAATCGGTGTCTTCTACCAATTAAGAAAACATATTTGGCAAGAACAGTGGAGTAGAAAGATGGACATTCACTATACGATTCAACCCAAAACTGGTGGTCTGGCTGACCAGAACTGTGGTTGAGTTTTTTTCAATTAGTAAACATGTGACGCCACTCACCAGCAGATTGGCCCCGGAGCCTATTGCCACCGCTGTAAAAGTGGCCCAGGGCCGCTGCTCCTGGAGGAACGCCAACGCGTGTGCCAAGTCCCCTGTGGCGCCCGCATCAAATAATCTGTAGAACAGGTTGAAGTGGTTAAGGGGTTCCTTGGTGTTTAGGGTTCAAGGAGTTTGATTGTCAGGGAAGGAAAATCATACTGCAAAAATGCATGGTTTCAATGGTAACTGAGTCAGACTTCAAACTGCATTGTGCCTCTTGAAGGCAAGACGACTCTGAGAAACTAGTTCGTACATTACCTTTCAACACCCTGATTTTGCCACGATCTTCCAGGTAGAGGAGTCTCAACACTCAAAGTTCCTCAAATCTACAAGGCTGCCAATTTCCAACATGTGGATCAAATTTCCTGTTAAGATTACCTTTTTCAGATTTGTCAATCTCGCACCCATACGAGGACCATCGTTCCTTACTGACAACAAACATCAAGTATTTGTCCACTTGTTTCGATCAAACAAAAGTGTGAAAACTTACTTTGGAGTGGTGACGGGGCTCTGTGCAAACCCTCTCTGATTGACCACCACCGGAAAATGGCCCGAATCCGCTGCCTTTCGGACTAACGTTTTCACCCCCTCGTCGAAACTCCCCGCCACCGACCCCGGCACAATCAACACCAACGACTCCCGCCCGTCTCTTTCGTCAATCGCCAGGTGGGCGGGCCAATCGAGCGCCAGGTGGCCTCCATCCGGCAGCCGCACGCAGTGGCGCCGATACTTGACATCCTTCTCTAGTCCTCCGCCACTGCGGGGAGCCACTTTCGCTGCCCTCGTTGCTGATGCTTCTGCAAGAGTTTCTTTTCTAAGTCCGCCGATGAGAGGGCTCCGCGTGAGCACAAACCGGTTAAACTCATTGTCCGCTGCTGAAATGAGCTCGCCCTGGGGGGCTGACTCGTGCACCTCCGACGGCCCCCTGGAATGCGCGAGCGCCCAAGCCGCCAGCGCCCCTGCACTTATTCCTGTGGCCGTTGCAATACCCACATCCCACCCTCCAAAACTTTTTATACCCCCAAACCCTTCGAAAAACCCGCTGGATAATGAGAGTGCTGCATATGCCCCCGCCACAGCATTCTGAGCGCCACTGAAAATGTCTAGAGATGACCTGGCTGGACGAGAGATAGCATTTGACCGGTTTGGAGAGGGGTTATGGCCATGGGTTGCTAAAGCGCGGCCGAAAAAGCGGCTGGAGAGAGGGCTACGAGCGGTGGCTGGTCGACCTATCTCGAGACTTCTTGAATTCCTGCCCCCTCGCTCGCAAGCTTTCTTGTGGCACTTCACAGGCAGGAGATTCAAGGGCTTTCCCGATGCAACAATGCTATGCCAATATGAGCAACTCACAGACTGCCTGCAGGGATTCGCTGCAAAACCAATCGACCTGCTGTGACCAATTTGGACTCCTGGACTCTTTGTTGACTGCCGCCCATGCGAATCTGGATGTCTCGAAAGGCCGCAGCCTTGCACCAGAAGGGGCGGATGGCCTCCTGACAGTCGTATACTTGCCTCCATGTTTTCAGCTTGTTACATCAAACTGTCAGCTCAGCGTGGTCCGACGAGCGGGCAAAGGAAAGCCATGATATAAGATCAGGCACATGCATGAGTCTTGAGCAAGAAGATTTCCCTCTTTGCCATGATACCTATAGCGCGACGCCTGCGACCCACAACAGACGTCTAGTGTGGCACTTCCGAGGAACCTGTGAGGCAGATGTTTGCAAAGGATGGAGATAGGTATCGAGAAGGGCAGCCATTGGAAAAAGCTCTTCCGTACCTAAATTAGTATCACAGAATCAGGGGGGCGAAAGCACGTCGCTCAAAATTGATGGCTCACATGCCTCAAGAAGATCAGGGGCGAAGCGGGTGCCAGTTGGCAGTTTTGAAAGTTGGCCATGTCAGCATGAGGGCCATGAATCATGATGACGTCGCGGCCTATCTGAGCAGGCGGACGCAGATGATTTGACTACTTTCGTACGGGTTGAAAAGCTGCGCGTCCGAACCGCACACGCTGTCCGACCTGAGTGTTCGCATTTTGAATGTGAGGTGAGCCCACTCGCGCGCACAGCATTCGAAAAAGATGGTGCACCTGCCTGCAGCTTCTACGCAGCTGCAAGTTGCAAGCGCAGGTCACATGCAAAGAGGCCACAGTTTCGGAGTCAGAGGGGCAGATCGCCTGGATCGCCTCCAAATCGCATTCTTTCCTAGGTGAAGCTGAAGTGTCGCAATCACAATTGCTTCAGCATTGCGTGCGGCAGCAGCACGATGGCAGCATTGCGTGTGTAGTCCTCTTTTTTCTGATTTTTAGCTGGTGTCGCGTCTTTGCTTGCACGAGGTTGCAAAAGAGGATCAGCAAGCGCAGTGGCAGCACAATTGCTGTCATCATTCATCGGCAGATGTTCGTCGAGCTAGTATGACCTTTCCTTTGATGCAAGTTCCAGTTGAAACCAGGACAGATTGGGGGATTACCCAGAAAACGCTGCCTCTTTGAGCCCTTGCTTGGCTATCAATTGCAGAGTTCAGCTGCTTGAACGCCCCTTTGAGCGATCCGCGCTTGAAAATGTATCCCTGCCGTTCAGACTGGACAGGAGAGAGTCCAGGTCCTGAACTGGTAGCAAGTACAAACAGCCAGACAAGGCACACCTTCTGAGCTGAGGAGGTAGCTAGTTTGATTGAGCCATATACCTCCTCCTCACATCCGCAGCAAGCAGCAAGCACTGATTGACTCCCGTATGACCGACGTTAGGCTCACTTCTCCCCCTGCTATCCCTCTCTCTGATTCAGTGGATTTAATCAACTCAAAATCTAACCATGTTCTCAACCAACCAGGCCCGCGGCTGTATCTGCCTTCTGATTGCAGCCGTTGCTTTTTACCACAAGTCTGCGAATGCTGCAGTCGCTGCCGTCTGGGATACCTACCGCAGCATTCCGCTCGTACAGCACGATTCGTTCGAGCCCCTAGTGGCCGTGACGGCGTTCTTCATATGGACGCGTATGTGGCACGTTCTGGACGTCTACGTGCCGTCGCTTCGGGTGTACAAGTGAGTGCCTCGACGAGCCGCAACAACTTTCTGCATTCTACAGCCCAAGCACATTCTCACAAGTTTGTATGTTGAAATATGCGAACCTCTCATTTGAGGACTTTCCCCATTGGGTTGAATAAGCTCAGATTACTTTCTGAAACTACACGCTTGTTCGGATTGAGAAGACGGTACTTTCTGTTTGCTGCTACGAATGTTCGGGCGCTTCGCTAGCTGGACATGACTTTAAGGAGGACCAAACTTTTGTGTACGGACGACCTAGATGAAAAGCACGGTCTCTGCCTATATCCTGTAATGTACGGAAGGCTGGTTGTCATTCTCTGTGATTGCTCTCAGGAACGAAATCAAAGCACTTATTTACCTCCTTGTGCTCTCATGCCTCAAGTCGTTACTAACTTTTACCAACTTTTTCCATGAATCCGGAACAGCTTCTCCAGAGAGATTGTCTGCTGAAGATTTCTTAGTCAAAAAGTCCGATTAAATAGGTCTGACCTTTGTCACGTGCAGTGGTGTTTCCCGGCCTTCGGGCTCTCGATACCAGTTTCTAATATGTTCCATCTCTTCCGTCAGTTTGAATCGACCTTAAAACTTCGATGAACGGCTAACACAAACTCCCATCTCATTTGCCTCAGGTTGCACTTGTCCCACAACATAAAGGCCTGGAAGCTGGAGGGCTATCCTCGCTGGGAAGCAGTTTACTACCTAGCCCCCCTCCTGGTGTTCGACTGGATTTACCCCAGGAGGAAACTCGACCAACCCCCCCCTTCGGTGGAACGGGTCGTTTTCGACGTCATTGGAGCTCTCCTTATATACGACCTCCTGTTCTTCTTCTCACACCTGGCGCTGCATAAGGTAAGACCCTCCCTTGTTCCACTTCTTCTCGCTTCTTCATCTGATGTCTTTCGGCATTTCGTCCCTGTATTTCAAATGCCACGTTCCAAATGCCACGGCAGAAACGACGTCCTGACAAAGGAGAGTCCTGTTGTTGCCCCACAGCCTTCGGTTCAGAACGATGGGTCAAAAGACCCCATTCTAAGGAAACGACGCAGAGCCAACGGAGGGGCAAGACGAGCTTGAGAAGAAGGATCCGGACAGGAAGACCGATGAGGAAGGTAGTCTCTCCTTATGCGCTACAAGTGGGCACACCCAGAATTGACCTTTTTGGGAATCTGTGATTCGTAGCCGAGCAGCGACACTTTCGACATCCATAGAAATTGACCGAAGTGGATTGCTGCCTGACTGCCTGGTGCTCCTTTGCTAACTCTGCAGGTCCCCTTCCTTCGGCGCTTCCACGCGCGGCACCACGTAATGGGGGGTGACATGCGGGCCTGCGACGCCACTCGTGCGCACCCCCTGGAAGAGTTGGCGCTCGTCACGTTCGCAATCACGTCCCTCAACCTTTTAAGGTGCCACTTTCTGTCCCGGTTTATCTTCAACATAACCATCGGTTACATGTTAACCGAGGTGCATTCCGGGTACGATTTCCCCTGGATGCTACACCGGGTTGTGCCGTTTAAGCTGGTTGGGGGAAGCGTCCGGCACGGCCAGCACCACGCGAAGGGCGACCGGTACTATCAGCAGTTCTTTACCTACTTGGACGATACCTACGAGTGGGTTCGTCGAAAGCAGCAGCGGATCGGAGAGTCGCCTGATCAAGAAGGTTAGGGAACACAAACTGCTGTAACTGCGAAGAGCCGTCAGAGTCATTTTTGTGTACCGTGCATCACCCAGTTCGGAGAGTGGGATCGTCAAAGCAGCGGCCGGGTTTAATCCGAGGGGTAAGAATTGAGAGCCCAAATTCCGCAGGGTAAAGCTTTAGTGTCATTCACTGAAGCGAGCGGGGTTTGTGAAGTGTTTAAGGACAAGGACCGGAGTTCGTCGGCGGACGGCTCCGGACGTTCGATCAAAGCGTCGGACACGCTGATACACGTGAAGAGAATACATTTGATACATTGATTCTTATATAGTACGTAGGTTGCCGACAGTGCTACAGCAGCTTCGTAACTTCACGTATACGAGGTCGACTTATTCCTGGGTTCTCTAGTTGCAAAGTTTGAGAGGATTGAGCGTTAATCGTACGTACAATATTGCAGTATATACCTCAGGCTTAATGTGCATGCACTGCATAGAATCATTTATATTTGCTCAAGTCAATGCTTGACTGTAATATGTCGGTCAACCATATACTCGCCGTCGGTTGTGGCCGTCTGTCTTCAATTTATGACACGTAACTTACTGAGATCGCCTACCATATCTCCATATGCATGGCGCTTATTTCATTCGAGTCGTTGTGGCTTCGCATGTACACGCGATCAACTCTGCATACCAAAGTTGCATTGAATCTTGAGGGACTTCCAAAACCGCTTTCAACATAGAATCTCGAATTTGATGCGGTTTACCTGCCTCTCGCAGGGCATGAATCTGTCACTCACTAGCTCTGGTCGCTGACCGGACATATGGATCCTAAAATCTGCGATCGGACATGCACATTTCTGTGGTTTCGGCTCGCAGAAACTCAGGCTCGTATACTAAGTAAGACCGCGTCACTATCATAGAACGCGTGTATGAGAAAGCAACTCCGACTAGCTCGCATGATTTTGTTGACACGTCGGTGAATTTCTCAGTTGCTTGCTGAACCCTGGTTTTCCGTCCAACAATGCGGACCGCAGTGGCTCCTCAATCAGACAATCTTGCAACGTCTTAGCAATGGGACTGACTTCAAAGCTTTTGGAGCGGAGCCGAACTCAGCCCTTCTGCACGGTCTCGGGAGGCTCCTGCCCCGTCCGTTCCGAGTACGCCTTTTCCAAAGCCTGGCAAAGATGATGTCAACACGATGTCACGTCATGAACAACGAGAAGCAAGATTGCACGGTTGCACAATAGCAACAAAGCTAGAGTCCAACTGAAGAGATTCAGGAAAATGTTGACATGAACAAAAGTCGAGGAACAGATTCTCGCGCAATTCGGGCGGCTCCCAGAATTAAGATGGAAAGAGGCCGAGATCAGGGACAATAAACTCTGGTTGTCAAGTGCACGACAAGGCGACTGAGCCGTTGACCTGTTGTGAATGCGAAACCAATTCCCAATCGGCGTCTTCCGGTTCCCACATCGACGCATAGGCAATCAGAAGAAAGTCCAACATATCGAAGCATAGGCAAATCAGACAAAAGGCCCACCATGTAAAAGCATAGGCAACCAGAAAAGAACCCCACCATATCAGAACATAGGCAATCAGGAAAAAAGCCCACCATATCAAAACATAGGCATTGAGTAAAAAGCGGACTACTCAAACCCTCCGTTTGGCAGAGCTCACGCTCCTCGATTACTCTGCATATCATTTTCTGGGCAAAATGGAGAAGTGTACGGGAGCTATAGACTCACAAGCAGTTCCTCGCGAATCTCCTCTCGCACCTCCTCCGTCATCCGGTCGTGGTACAGAGTCCCCTGCGGGAAAACGAACCAAAGCGTCAGCGAACGGTCAGCTTTTCAACGTAAGCTCTTTGAGACTTTCCTAAGAGCTCCACGTGACAGAATTTGCGCCCCTGGCCGCGCATCATCCAACTACCGACTGACACGTGGGCGAATTCTATCCGAAGCGCAGCAAGTATCACGAGGGGTTTTGGAGCCATATGGGACCTCTGCTTGGCTCCCTTCTAAGTTTAACAAGCAAACGAGAGACATCTGTGAGCCGTCCGTTATGATGAAGAAGCCGGACGACGCTCTGTTCTGGGAACCGAAAGAACGGCAGAGCTCACAACAGAGACACGGGCAGCCTACATGTAACTGGAAAACGCCGTTCTCAAGGAGAGAGGAAGAAGGCGTGATGTTCTATTCAAATCAGCGCTTCCAGGGAGACCGCTAAGCAGCGGAACACCAGGAGGCTTCTTGCAAAGCAGACTTCCCGTAGGGGCGAGAACAGTAAAAAAAGCGATGAACCGTCCTGCTCGTTTGCAATGGATCCCTGCAACTTCGGAGCCGGGCCTGGGTCGGAGTAGGATGTCTTTGAAATCTCAAAAGCTTCAAACCCCGAAAACGTAATTTGTCAAAACCGTACATGAGGAGCTGAAAATCGAGGCGGCAAAGAGGGGTGAGGAAAAGTCTCACCTCTAGATGGTCATACTCGTGTTGGAAGATGCGCGCCTTCCATCCCTTGAGCGTTAGCGAGAAGCGCTTCCCTTGCAAGTTTTGCGCTTGCACCTTTACGTCCAATGGCCTCTGCACACGTGGCAAGCAGGCAGGCTCGCAGTGAGACGACGGCCCAGCAATCCACAAAAACAGCGGACCTCATCTTGTCCTCACTTAAAGACCCTGCTGCGTTCAACGTACCAACTTTGCAATTTTTACTAGAGTTGCCACCCCTTAGACCGAAAGCTCCCCGCTTGGGACGCCCTGACATAAAGTTTGTATTACGTTCCTTGCTTATCAACTTGCGGCTTGACTCAACGAAAGCGACGTTCAAGAGGGAAGTTTCACCGAAGTCTCGTAAACTTCGTAGCAGGACAAAAGGTTCCATCAAACAAAGCTTCCTCAAGGACAGTGTTTGAGGATAAGGTACTTCGCTGGAGGCGGTTCTGATGAGATAACCGACTTTGTTAGAAATCTGGTTTGTGTGGAAGGAAGGGTTCAGAATTAGGATTTTAGGTTGGGAAGGGTTTACGCCACTCACCACGACGTCAGCATGTATCTCCGGAAACGAGAGGCACCCCTCCTTAAACACATCCTCTTTTTTCGAGCTGCTGACAATTTTCGGGTTCACTAACACGTACTCCACGCCTTCCCCCTTGACTCCCTCCGGGTTATACACCATAACCCGGTAGTTAACCCCGACCTGCGGCGCTGAGAGCCCCACGCCGTCCGTTCTGCAAGACCAACGAATGGTCCGTTCGGACTCGAGTGCACTTTTGAGAGGGCAAACTTGGTTTGGTTTGAGGCTTTGATCTCCGCAAAAACGGGCCTTGCAAACCAAAAACGTGTGTGACACGGAACAGGTGCCTCGATCCATACATGGAACTCGGTTGTCTTGCTTGGGCTTCAAGTTTTGGAGTGGGAATAAGACCAGCGGATTCTCTTCGAGACTCCCAACGTGCCAGCCCCTGATACCGAATCTTTGACGAGGTACCAAATGCATTGAACTTCGGTCAAACCTGGCCGCCTAACCCAAGTTCAATCCGGACCAATCGCAGAAGTAAGCGCAGAACTTGAGCCGTTCAATGGGTTGCCTCTGGTTCATCTAAAGGTCCAAGTTTTGCGCATCGAGCAGAGTTCTGGCCGTTCGAATTAGATCGAACCTGGGTCAGGCGACCAGGTTTGACCGAAACTGGTGATGGAGGATATTTCGAACCCTCTGAGACACACCAAAGAAAGATCAAGAACGAACTGGCACCCGCTTGGCCAACTGCGCTAGTGTTTGTTGAGCCCCTCGTCTCTAATGAAGGACGTCCAGCACTGGCAAAACCTAGTATGATGCTCTTGTTTCCTTTTGAGTCCTTACAGCTTATGTCAAAGTGGGCACGGTTAGCTGCCGTTCTAAACACTTCCTCACTCTTCAGGGGAAGGATATACGAGATGCCTCGGTAGGCCCTGCTACGGGGCCATGCGAGAGGGAGTCTTGCAAATTTACCTGTACATGACGTCAAACATTTCCTTGCACAGGGCCTCCAACTTGGCGTCGAACTTTCGTACGGCGGCGTTCTTGGCCCGCAACCGGGGGTCCGGATACAAGACGATGTTGAGGGGGGACTCGAACTCCAGGTCCTTCTCAACTGTTGGTTACGAAGTAATATTGCTCAGTGTGTGCAGAAAGAGGCTGCTAAGCGACTGTTGTTTGCAGGGCTGGGGGCGCTAGGGCCCCAATACCAAGAATCCTGCTTTCGCTATGTTGTCCCACCCTGAAGTTTTTGAATCCTGCTGATTCCTATGCTGTCAATATGGCTTTCCGACAAGAGTCTTTGAGAAATAGGGAAACGACGTGCACTTTTTGCCATAGACGTTCCCGCAAAAGGAGACCGATTCTCACCCGAGAAAAGTAGGTTTCCTCCCTAGTACCTTGCCAATTGGAATCAAGACCATATGAAACACAGACCAGGAAGGCTCCTTCAAGTACAATGAGTCACAGATGCCGAATAAAAGATGAGTCAAAGAGGGAGGGTGTAAGGAGTCTGGAAACTATAGGGACATCACTTTGGAACATGCCGACAATTGGATCTGTGGGGTCAGATTGTGACATGGGCTCGGCAAACACAAATCAGCTCTCTACATCACAAGCACTCTCGACATCGGTTTGAAAGAAAAGATCCTTTCCCTCCATTTCATATTATCCAAGTTCAGACAGGCTGGTGCTGCCACCCAAGCCACCGGGCTCTACAAACATCACACCCAGTGCACTATAACTGAGTGGTATAGAAAACACTTACTACCAGCCTTAAAGGCTGTGCCAAAGTTGATACTCATGCAACTTAAGCACCAAGACAATCCTGGTTCCTCTTGAAAATATGGCACTTATCACTTATGCAGCAAGAATAGGCCCTCTATTGTGAAAAATACCGTATGATTTGACCACCTGTGGCTGCGAAAGAAAGCAGTCTACCCCAAAGTCAATGAAAAAGCTAAAATCACTCACTGATTGGATTCTTGACTTCCTCAACAGCCCCCAGCAGCCCGCGCCCCATGCGCGTGCGCACGCCCCGCCGTTGCTCGACTTTTTCCACCACCCCAGGCCGGCCGACAGCTGTCAAAGTGGACAACCTCCGCTCACCATCAGACAATGCTGACATCATCATCCTGCATCTTGCTGGTGTCACCTTGTTACGCAGTCCTACCCCACCACAAAGGTCTCTTGTTCGTGCCACGCCGCACAGAAAAGCGTCTCGATCGGGCAACACAAAGTTGGGGCGCAAACGTTTAAGAACGTCTGCAGCGGACCGACTCCTAATGCCCCGCCAGGAGGGCCGTAGGACTGCCCCAGCGGTCGTCTGCATGTTAAAAGCCCTATGGATATTGGGAGTAATGGACCGTAGAATATAAACTGCTATTTGCGAACTTTTATTTGGCAAAGATCAGTACATGAGGGAGGCCTTTTGTATGCCTCAACTCCCTGCCTTGTGGTGCTTTGGAATCAAACGTTTTGCAGCTGGCACGTTAAACAGCACGACCTCCCAGATGTTCCGTCAACAAGCGGGACGAAAAGACTCGAGTAACTTCTTAAAGGAAGTACGTACACCTTTTTCTCTTTCGTCTCTGCCAAATCGCAAGGTGGTCTGCCAAGTTCTCCCCCAAGTGCAAGGCAAAAGTGCCGGGTTAGGGCTGCGGTTAGAGCATTGTTAAGATAGACTGAAGCCGGGATGCGGGGCACCGACAACGGCAAACGCTGGAGCTAGGCGGTCGCTGTCTCACAAAGCATCGTGCCTACACAAGAGAACTGGAGACTGCGTTTCGCAGCGCCCAGGACCCCTCAATCTCTGCCGTTCTCGTTGCTTGTGACGGTTGTTTCAATTCGTCCGTCAACGCAGAACTGTTGCCCAAGTTCAAGCTTGGGTCTCTTCAGCCTTCACTTTCAGCCTCAGGTGTTGCCTCGGAGAGAGCAACTTTGGCCGAAGAGCACTGTGGACGTACAGCGCTTTTCAGATTTTTTGATAATATTAATCCTGTCCAGAGCTGGCACTGATTGTAACTTGAAGCGCACAGCAAGCGGCAACCCACAACTTGGTCATGAAAGTGTCTACCTGTTGTTTCTGTAAACCTCTCTCGAATGGTGGTGCGGGCAGCGCTGCAAAGAGCGGTGAGAAAGTCGTTGACTTCGCAGGCTGCACATTGGTGCACTCCTTTCAGCATCGCTTCGGATATCAGCAGTATCACCTGGCGCAGTCACGGGGAAAGCGTCAAGGTTCAGAGCGTGCGTGCTAGTACAGGCTCCCCTTTAAAAAGCCACCTGCAAATCAGCCTAAGGTCCGATCAAACAAATTTATTCCACGTAACCAGTGCTTCTAGTGGTCTTCTTTCTCCTGAAATTCCCTCTGCAAAGACAAAACTAGTGCGAGTCACTCACAGCCTGCAAAGCACCAACCCTGCAGCAAACCACCGCTTGTCGATGACTAGCTCGTACTGCACTGCTGGCCAGCGAGTGCAATCAACAGTTGATCTTTTGAACGGCATACAAGCCACACCCCGCACCGCTGCTACTGAAGGCTATGCAGTCGCTGCTCGGGCAAGGACTGGATTGCTAGCCAGAACAAATGGGACAATTCCGCCGACAGAACAACTGAGGCTCCAGTCAGCAGAGGCGTCTTGTCGCAGATACCCCTTGAAAAATTTCAGCTCCCTTCTGGCGATTAACTACTTGAAGCGTTTAGTTTGTGGTCAGTCTTGCAACTGTAGTTTAGCAGTCCCCTTGAGAACGCCCCTCTCGTTCAACGCTTCTTGTGGGCACTTTGGGAGCGTGTCAAATCGCCCCCTCAGCACAGCCAATCCACATTCTTCAACTTTGACGGCTCTGAATCAAACCGCAGCCCCACAGTCCCCGCGAACCCACCGACAGCTGTCGGGCCAAACAGCACAGGTGTCGTCAAACACCAGAGAGAGCCTCATGGTGGTTTCAAGTGAGGATGTGAGTGGCGTGGGGGGAAGCGTAGATGCGGCAGTGAAAGCACTTGAAGAAAAGCTCGGGGTGCCAATCGATCACGGGCCGCAAGTGCCTCCCCCAAAACCGCTAGTGATCATAATTAGTGGGCCGAGCGGAGTGGGAAAGGATGCGGTGATCAAGGTGAGGCAGGAACCATGTATATTGTCCATGTTCTGGCTTGATCACAAGCGAATTTGTCTAACATCGGTCGTAGACGGCTGGAGAAAAGTGCGGCAATGAGCTGGAAAGAAGTTGAGTTGAATTTATGGATGTTGTTTGCTGTTTTGACCAGGGGTCAAAGAGGATAGCATGTTGGTAGATTGTCTTTTCCAAGGTCGAATGTAGCAGGCCCTGGCTCGTTTCGTTGCTCATGACACAATGTGACTCGAGCTGACAATAGTCACAATTCGATGCAATTGCCCTGCCGCAGCTACAGTTGCCTTGTTGCGTGCCTTAATATGCTCATTACAAGCCTGGGTTTAGTAACCGAGTCATCTTGCAGACCCGGCTAGTTATCATTGGCTGCAGAAGCTTCATAGGTGGTGACGTGAGCTGCAGAAGCTCGCCAAACGTGTTTACGTTAGCTTTGTCGTTTTGTGTCAAGCCCATTCGCTTACCAAGCTGTTATCATCTTTTTGACACAGCAGCTTCAGGAGCGGCTGCCCGAGCTGCGCTCGCAAGTTCGACCTCTCTGGAGGCCCTTTCAAAGAAACCTCCGTGCTTAAGCCGGTGGTATGATACATCTGTCTTTCAACGCAGCGGCTCCAAGAAAGGCGGCCCGAGCTGCACATGGTCGTAACCGCAACGTCCCGGAAGGCGCGAGCCGGGGAAGTTCACGGGAAGGACTACTTCTTTATCAGCAAGGAGGAGTTTCAGGGAATGATCGACGGTGGGGAGCTGCTGGAGCATGCGGTCGTGTATGGGGAATTTAAGGGGATCCCCAAGCAGCAGGTGAGGTTTGCATTGCGGGTTATGCCCCTGGTTAAGTTTCCGGTTAGTCATTGGTAAATCGGATGGTATTCACGCTCTGGGTTGTCAAACTTTGCACAAATCCTGCCCTGGTTGCCTCTAACATGTGATCTTCGTCAAGATTGCGTTAAAAGCTTGGCTTCGAGGGAGGGGGCGCAGCGCCTTGTTGAAAGGTCGAGTATGCTTCTTTAGAAAGGGGCTCTTTAGTCTTGAAGGTATATCCCTCATCGATCCAACACACAGGCGGTCCTGCTTTACACATCTAGGCTCAACAAGTATAATCCCTTGACCTACAGTTCGAGATCCACAGTAGGCAAGTGACAGCACGATGGGAGAGCGTAAAAACGGAGCGAAGCTCCTGCATCACAACCGAGCGAAGCTCCTGCTCAATGAAATTTGAAGTCCGAGAGGTCTGTACGAATTGAGGCAGATCTCCCGCTCCTCTACAACCTTGTAGTGAGTGGGTACTTTTTCTGGCGGTAGACCATTTGGCCGCATGTGTACGTCTCCTTGTGCCGGTCATATTGAATCCATCCCTCCAGCTTCGATGGACAGCACTAACAGCGACCCAGACACTGGTCTAAGGTTCCGATGCTTTCAAGTATATAGCGCACAGGGGCCACGTCAGGACCGAAACAAGCTTAACGACCGTGTCATCACTGGACTGCTCAGATTGAATGGAAGGAAGACGGGCACTTGCTAGATATTTCACCAACGTCAGCATTGCCTCGAGCCTTACGTGCTATCTTCGGAACCATGAACAGTCACGCCGAGAAGGCTGATCGTATCAAAACAGAGGATGGAAGACACTAGGAGTCGGCCGACCTCGGTTCTACTTCGTTGACGTCACCACCTATCCCTTTCGCTGTCTTCATGATGCCGTCTTGCTGACGTCAGGTTCGCGAGACGATGGACCGAGGCACGGACGTGGTGCTGCGGATCGACGTCCAGGGGGCGGCCACGGTGCGGTCGATGCTGGGCGACGGGGGCGTGTTCATCTTTCTCGCGGCGGAAAGCGAGGCCGCTCTAGTTCGCCGGCTGGTGGAGCGGAAAACGGAGTCGCTCGAAAAGGTGCGTTCACTTCAGGACACCTCTTTGTGCGGCGAACAACCGTGGAAAAAAGCCCCACAATATCGAGGGCCTGAGAGGAGGCCGCTCTACTTTCGCCGGCTGATGGAACCAAATTTGGAGGATGTACGTGCAATCTGTGAGGTATTGATCCATGACCTTCAGCTCTGCGGGGTTTCCATTAAGGGGTATCAATGAAGTACTGCTTCTTGCCGTCAGATAATCGGATCAGGATAAGAGTTGAGTCGTTCCAGGATTTTTTTCACTCTCCAGGAAAAAGATAGTCGGCGTCTCACTGCGACTGAAGACGAACAGCCGACAAGCGGTCAAATGACGATGGCCTCGCCAAAAGCGCCTCGATTCCTTCATTTTGAGTGCGGACGGGCATTACCCACAAGTCTATCAATCTCGCTGTAGGTCCTCCTGCGGTTAGAGACCGCCCGAGAGGAGTCCAAACGGATGGCCGACTTCGATTACGTCGTTGTGAATGCGGACGGGCAGCTCGATCGGACGGTCGACATGATCGCGGCGATCATCGACGTGGAGAAGGCGCGGGTGCACCCGCGGGAGCCGAAACTATGACAGGAAACCTGCGGTCCCGGTTTAGGTGTTTACGGATTACAAGAACGCAGTTCGCACGGGCTTGCAGAGAAGACTTAAACCTGCGGTTCCTGTCCGCTTTGAGCCAAGAGGAGTCTGAGTACTGCAAGCGACCGTTTCTTCCTGTTCTTGAGATTTACAATGTTCTGACATTACAGCCGGTACGGATTCTAACAAAACGCCACCGAAAGAGTTGCAGCATTATGTATATTTCGTCAAGGCCGAAGGGTCCGAAGTTGGACCCGCTTGTACGAAACAACAAAGTGGAAGCTGATCAAGACAAGGAGCTTCAGAAACTTGAAAGCTCCCGAAGTCTTCTGTGAACGTCCGGGCCGAATACCGCATGTAGCCTGGCAAACGGTGCGGGTATCGAGGAGCTGATCCATGAAGCGAAATGATGGCCCATGCTGCGCAACAATTTGACATGCAGACGCACATAATGTGCCCGCCGTTGATATATCGTCCTGGACCATGCATGCATATGAGCCTGTGATTCCGCTGTGAAGTTGCGAGATTCTGTGATCGAGCTAGCGCGCCGCTGCCATATCTCTAAATGCATGATTCCACACGCAGTGCTTGGGTCGCATCATGGTCATCGTGATTTGGACGGATGCAACATGTTTTGATCACCGATGAGATTGAGTAAAGCCGATTACGATCTGTGCGGTCAACATACCGGTCCGCGCAACTTTTGCCGCCATGCAACAAGCAACACTAGTCGTGATCATAAATAGAGCCAGAAAGCTTACTGGCATGCCGTTGTTAGGTGTTTCAGGCTGATCCCCCAGTATGCAAACCTCTAAACAGGAGACGATAAGTTGGAGATCAGGATTAAACGATAGGTAGCCCATCAGGGAAAGAAAGCAACATCGATCCAAACGTAGAAATTAAGATGGGCGCGGCCGCCCACTTCGAAACTGACCTACATCAGTCCAGCTTCAGGTAGACTTGTAGGCAAAGCTACCAACCGATTGGAGTCACTTAGAAAGCCACAGGCCGATGCAGAAGAAGACGCTCCTTCTTCTGATCGGAAATATGGTTCTCCAGCTATGAACGTGAACGGGGTCCATACGAACGCTACCAATTGCTAGGTAAACTCCGGGTCGTGAGTGCTCCGCACATGTGACCGCAGGTTGTATGGAAGAGAGAAAGCCTGCAAGGCCGGAAAAAGGAATTTGGAGTGCGAATTGACACTCCAAAAGTCGATTCGATCCAGGGAAGCAACGCAAACTTCTGCCTGTGAATATTGGACCATCTAGGGCGCAGCCTAAATGTCTGCGGAGAGCGAAAAGGACAACCATAGGCCTCACAAATCTCTCGACGAGAACAAGTTCAACTAGTGGCGACATGGACTTCTTTGACAGAAACTAGTGGCGGCGCACTCTATTCAAGAGGAGTTCGTAAAGTTCTAGGCACGGCGCAATTTTTTGACCACAAGGAGGGGATCGATTCGGGCGACGTAAGGATACCAAAAGCGAAAGGCGCCGGGCGGAGATTGAAGAGGGTGAAAGAAGCAACTAGGTGCGGCGCTCACCTTTCTGCAACCCTCGTAGGGGCAGATCCAGCTCTTCTCTCCGGTGTGGATCAAAAAGTGGCGCTTCAACTTGGAACTGTCCACAAATCGCTGCAGCACCCAAAGAATGAAGTTAGTTTCGTGTCATCCATCAGCACTGGAGGCTGCACATTGCAGCATAGCCATCTTTGTGTCACCCACACTTGAGCGCTAGCAACCAAACTCAACAGTCCACCAGAAGGCATCGAGACACAAGCGTTCCAGCCCGTTATCTGCCTGGGAGGGACTGACGACACGTCAAAGTCATCATTGTGAAGATGAGGAAGGCACTTCTGCCCATGTGAAGTCTGGGTGAAGTCCTCAAAAGGTCACTGCACCACGAGGGCGTTGTGGTTGAAGGAACCCACGTGGCTCTGGCGCCGTCCTCCATGCGGCGAAAGTCACGGGCAATGTCGCTGCCAAGATTTAGCACATGCGGTTCGCGGCGACAGAAACAGCTGCATCCCTGGTTATCAGTTGCTAATCGCGGACGCGTCCGCCCACGCCCTCTTTAAGCAGGATCTGATGGCGGCATCGAAAACAATTAAGCAACTGAGAACCATTGATCATATATCCCCGCACCTTCCCGCAGCCTTCGAACGTGCACTGATACGCCTTCTCCCCATGGATCCTCGCGTGCTTCCGAATGGCCCCCATGTCTGGAAACACTTTCCCGCAACCCTCGTAGGGGCACACAATCTCCTGGTTGGGCGTTTCTCTGCGCCTCCGCTTCTGCCCCGAGGTCGGTGAAGTTAACGGCGCTTCAGTTTGAGCAGGCGTTCCTTGGCTGACGTCATCTTGTGGGTCGTACTTAACCCACTTGAGAACCTGGATTTTACCGGGCGCGATGGAGGAGCTGGTTTCTACCCTGCAAAGCAGGAGCAATGCTCTAATATGGGAGTGTCGCACAAAACATCGTACGGAAAAAAAACGAGAGAATTTCAGAAACAGTCGACTCAGTCTCAAAGTCAGGCAGCGAAAGACAAAGTGTTCCAAAGAAGATCAGTTGGTAGCTCCTGGTGGTGTGATTCTGATTCATGATCTTCTTCCGACGTGCCAGCTAAAATCTGAACGGCATTGCATTCCTCCTGACATGGCTCCTCACACAGGGAGCTGTGAACACCGACTGCAGTAATTGCAACCAAGTCCGGCATACTTTTGATTGCCACCCTCGTAAATTTCTTGTGGGCCCTACTCTGAAAAACCCTGCTCTGAACAAACCCTAAATTTCGAAAGTTTGTCAACAGTTTTCGATTGCTCCAATGCGAGTCGCGCCAATTCTCGTCCTTGCGAAACACATGAAGGAAAGCAGCATTCGTTCCTCTGCTAATCCTTACTGCTCACTACTACAGATGCGGTCGCTTGGCAACTTGTTCAACTTTTACCATGTGCCAAAACCCAAAATTCGGGAACCCAGCTCGCGTACCATCGCCGCACCCACAACGGCGGTTGTCCATCCTGACTGGTACCATACCGCGAACTCGGGGTTTCCTGCTCGGGCCTTTGTTCATCAGCTTCCTGCAAGCCCTCCTCGCCCCAGTTCGACGAAACCCCGTTTGCACTGTCAATCATGGGCCCCGCTGCCTCCATGAGCACGGATCAGAAAAGAAGATTCAATTCCTGAGGGCGCCGGCAAGCGAAAAACCTAACTCAACTGTCAAGAGGGCTCATTCTAACACTGATCTTCGCGAAGGCTGGACAGAGCTCTGGCTGTAAGCTGTGCGCCGGGTCTTCAATCGGCGGACCCCGCCGCCATTGTCACGTGAATACCTGCAAATAGCTAATATGCCAATGGATACGCTCACAATCGGCGACGCAATAAAGCCAGAGGCAGTAGAAGGATAATGATGACTTGGGGCTCATGTGCACATGCTCAACGCGCGGCACACTTGGGACTTGCATGAGTGCACATGGGATTCATTGCACAGGCAGGCAATCTCAGCCAATCAGAGCACCCGACATTATAGTCGGAGGCCTGCGTATCACCCTTCATCATGCGCCAGCCGTCCGATATACCACGTCACTGGTTGGAAACGTCATGCCTCTATGTGTCCCATTGGTAGAGATCTCGATCCGACCAATTGAAACCCTGGAAATGATCGTGGACACTTGCACCATGGTTCGCGCAGAGCGGCGCTCCTTCCAGATCTCACAGTGAAATGTTCATTCCCGAGTCTTTGAAGCTTGAGCAAGCACCGCCAACAGCTTTTGGACAGAAGCTGGTGTGACTTTCAGATTCTGTGAAAAGACAAAACGCGTAACCTGCTGGTATGTACCCTCGCACCAAGGTCCGTATACACCAAGGAGCCGGGTGCTCCAGGAGCTCCCGGTACAAGTTTTGAAACGTGACCGGAAGACTTCCGTGATGCTACGTCACACGTCCTCGAATTGGCCTCCAGGGAGGTCGGTTCGAACAACTTTGTTGAAGTTTGAAGGCTAGGTCGCAAGCACCGGGCATCTACAACCTTGAGGTGGGCAGACTGAGTTTACCAGGGTACGTACTGAAGTCGTAACCTGGACGCGTTAAATTCAAACCGCGGAGCGCGTTTGCTGTACCTATCCGGTACAGCAGAAACAGAAGCCGAGTACCTATCGTACGCTGTACGCCCTGTGCGGTACATACCTACCCGCTGTTGCGCAGGTCTGGAGCAAATAGGTAAGCCAGACTTCTGTTGGTCCGTATACGTTAGGTACCGGGTAATAGGTTCATACCGTAATCCGAGGGAGAGAACAGACCTGCAGGGCTGCAAGCCGTGTTGCAGAAGACTGGCACCAGTGCAAGTTCAACGTGAAGAAGGGCGCCTTGGCCCTGGGCAGGTAGGAAAGGACAAAAGGCGTTGCCGCAGGTCTCCCCTGAAGATGCTCTGCACCGCAACTGCCAGCCCCATGGGCAGGGACGCGCGCCGTAGTAAGAGGTAATAGATTGCTAGTATCTAGAGCCTTTATCTACAAGGCGCCGTATCCAGGAACAAGCAGCGACCATGGAGTTGGTCGACGAGGGCCTCTACGCCATTGATCGCCCCTACCCCAACCCTGCCGACCTCACGGACGAGGTTGAGAGGCCTGGCCCGGGTCCCCAGTCAGAAAAGCTGTCCCCCCATCCTATGTACTCCCCTGGTGCCCTTTCTTGGTTTGATGTCCGAGTAATCTACGTCCGAGTCTCTGGCTGTCCGCAGGAAGCTTCTCCGGACACCCTGCTCTGCCGCTTCCCTCCGCGGGGAAGTACAACGAGTGTAGAGTTGAACGGGGTTGTCATCCCCCCCCAGGAGGAGATTCTGGTGACTCTCAGACGGGACCGGGTGGACTGCAACTCAGAGGAAGCAACCTACGTAAGCACGGACAACATCCGTGCGAACGGGTCTCTCAATTTTGAGGTGGGCGCGGCACCCGAGAACGAGCTGATTGTGTGTGGTGTGCTGGAGAGAAACGAGACGCCGCTGAAAGGGTTCGGAGGATATGGGGTGCCGGTCAAGACGGAATGGAGCCTCGACGTCTCCTGTGCAGTCAGCAGCATCGGGTGCTGCTTCATCAAGCCGGACCCGCTCGACTTTGACACGCCGCCGTCACAGCCGCTTGTGGAGGTGTGCCTGGTGGGCAAGTTTGAGGCAGCCCCGGTGAGGTTAAGACTGCCGCACGCTTTTTGAAACGGGTCGAATAGTTTCCGAGCATAGGTGGTTGTTGTCTCCTTCACTTTGTCAAATCATTTGCAAGTGAATGGATGATGCCCTTGTGGTTGTTGTTGAGTTTCTTCATGCGGATGCAGCGCTCGTAGTTTCAGCCCCAACGATGGAGTCCTTACATTCTTGCTCAAACTGGAACATCGTGATGTCACCCTGTCTTTTCTGTGCGCTTGTTGTGGCAATGGTCGGTGCCTTTAGTGCCTGCATCAGGTTTAGGGTCTGCATCAGGTTTGGTTGCTCAAGGCACTATTACTGGCAGCATAGTGATTATTAAAGTCCGGTTCATTAGTTGCTCTGAGCTGATTGGCAATATTGTCTAGTTGCTGCTGTTTGAAGATTGCAGTCATGCAAATGGAGCGGGGAAATAGTGGTCATGGCAGAAGCTGCACCCGTCCACCAACTACCTGTTTCCGGCCGTCTCTTCACATTTGTGCAATGCATCTTCATCTCGCCAAATTGGTTTAAGAGGATGAAAATGTAGAGGAAAGCACCTGACGGGCACTGGTCCTGGTGATCTGAGTGTTCATCCTGGGAGGTTGAGGTTTGGGGTTTTGATGCAAAGCGGTGAAAGACTTTCTGAGCAGTTGACGAAGCAAAGTCGGCAGCTTGATTTGGTTTGTTCCTCTTCGCTTTTCTGAAGTCTGGGGTCCTTACACACGCAGCATATTCTGCTCGATGTGGTTTAATCTTCAGTATTTTCTCCCTCCCCTGCACGAGCTTTTCTTTGGAAAGCTCGTCCTTTTTTTCTTGAAAAGCTGGGAAGCAATCCTCTCTTCTCTACATTGGGTCAGATCAAGCATTGGTTGAGCACTTTGCATGCCACTAGATTGGGAGTGCATGAGCCAACTTAAGCAGCCAGTTGAGGACTCGTGTCCAACATTCCTCATAGGTTGATTTCTTGTAGGATGCAATCACGAGAAATCAAGAAACCCATCCTGCAAGGCCTGCATGGTTGCATCTTCTCTCAGAGGGGCAATTGAGAGCTCAGTTCTTGGCATGCCCCGTACTTCTCTGCAGAGCTATATTTCAGGAGGGGGGCAACTGAGAGCTCAGTTTCTTCGCATGCCCCATACTTTTTTGCAGAGCTGTTTTTATGATTGTTTCATCCTGCATTCTGCTTTCCTTGTAGCAGCCACCAAAACGATGGGCTCCCATATGTTGACGTCGGGGGCAACTTAAATGCCAGTTCTGTTTGAGCTTGTAAGACTGGTTAACGAAGCCTCCGATTCAATCTGGGCCAGCAGCGCTTGATATCAGTTGCATTGAGGCCTTGTGTTGCTTTGCCCAGCCAGCATTGAATGGTTTTTGATACACGGGTGACAATCCCCATCTGCTTTGGTCATGATGCCCCCAAGGAATTGCAAAAAGCTTCATCTTCAAGCGTTTTACTTGAAATGGTGACAAATGAGTCAGCACTTCAGTCTGTGTAGTTCACGGGCTCTGCAATTCATCGGGCAAGATTAGGAAAGCTGCCCCTCCAAGGCACCCTGAGTCTGTATTAAAGTAGGCCAACCCCCACTTTCAAGGATACTTTTCTCAAGTTTCTGGTTTTCACCTATCTCACAACTGCTGGGGATGGTCTCCGAAAGGGATTTTAAGCTTGTCAGAAGGCTCCAAGGTCTATTTTAACCTTGATTTGTCAAGACCAGGAGCTTCTGACAACCGCGGGATTGTAGGTCTGCGACTTGACCGCAGCAGCCCATGCTGTTCTGCTGACTCTGACCAAATGAAGATGGTTCCTCATGTGTGGCCTTTCTATCCATTTCAATGTTTTCTCACCAAAAGACAGTCTCTCTTGTGGTACAGGTGTGTCTGGAGCAGACCGTGAAGTTGGTGGCGCGCAGACGGAGTCTCCGGAAGACGGCTCTCGATGCAATCCCAGAGGATGATGAGGGGGCCAAGTTCTACAGGGAGGTCCATGGCGACATTTACGAGAAAGAGGTCAGTCCTCTTGTTGAGTTTCGCCAGCCCTAACTTCGATTGTTCCTGTCAATTGTTCCTGGTCTCAAAGCAGTCAAGCTAACTTTGACACAAGAGGGAGTCTTTGGAGGAAGACAGTAAGTAGGTAAGCGCTCAGCAGTGCAGACCTCTGAACTGCAGCAGTGAGTGCCTTCCTCAAGATGACGTCTCTGCTTCCATCTCTAAACCAGGCACACTACAATCTGCACTGTCTCTTGTTGAATCTGCTCGTTGGGGATTGGATGCCTGGCAAATCCATTTCTTGTTTCACCTTCTGAAGATTGTCGTTCTTGCTTGGCCAGGACCGGGAACTGATGCCTTACAGCAGGCAACAGCTCGCATACTACGAGAAGCTTTCCCTGGACGATTATGGAGAAGGGGAAGAAGGGGAGCTGACTTGGTTCACAGCAGGCGTGAGAGTTGGCGTCGGTCTTGGCCTTGGGCTTATGCTGGGCGTCGGAATCGGGATCGGATTGATGGTCAAAACGTATCATACGACAACTCGCACGCTGAAGAGGGGTCTGTTTTAAGCTGCTCATGTGGCCAGTTGAGTTCCTTTCAGAATAAGCAGAGTGCTCCGCTCGGAAGGAGTTTGCCTCTCAGGGTTTGACGGCCATTCTTCACGCGTTTGAAACACCTTGTTACCATGGTCCGTGAGCACCAATATCGATGTTAGGTTTAATGAAACTTGACTCTTAGTCAAAAGTCCTGTCAAACTGAAGCTCAGTTTGTCATGGGAGCTTCTCCCAGTTGCACTGCATAGGTGCTAGACACTGTCCTTGTCAATTTGTAAGTAATAAACCGATGTGGCCCTCCCAAGTTTGGGCAAACTTCCAATCTTCTGAATCCTTTTTAGTCCTAATCGGCATGAGCCGCTGATTACGTACAACCAGGAACGGGATTCTGCCCATCTCGATAATCCATCTTCTTTTTGCTTCTCTTTGCTTCTCTTTGCGGATGTGCATGACTGCATCATATGGTAATCCGCAATACTCCCTTATCTATACACATGACATTGCGGGTGGCAATCATAGCTATGTCCATTGTTGCAGGGCCCATGCACAACAGAGAGCCAAACGGTCTATCTGCGCGGTCCCGTTGTGCAGAAATGTTATAAGCGCAATCAAACGTCATGTGCTGCAGACATGGCAAATCCGACTCAACCACTACAAGTCCATATCGATTCTACGATGACTTGCCGGGTTGAACGCAGTCCATGCCGCAATGTCGAAATGCATGTAAACCTCAAATACTGGGTGCACCATCATGAAAACATTGTCTCAAGCTGTACACAGCATGTGCAGAGTCGGCGAACATTTCGAACATTTTTCACATCTTTCGGGGTTCGATCTGTAACTTCTGCACATGAGCCGTCAACGCGACTGAGGGCAATCGGGCAACAACACTGAGCGCAACTTATTGTACTTGCGTTGCCATCATTCATGCTGAGGAGCGATTGCCAGAGTGGATGAAGGACTGCAGCTTGACTACAGGTATGTATCATGATCGGAGAAGGCATGCACAGAAATCCTTTTCGAATTGAAATATGCAGTTAGTTGCTGTCTTTAGCATCTCAACTTCCTTGCGATGCTTTCTGCCACAAATTTAAGCACGCATGGAGTCTGGTTGACGATACAGAGTTGAAGATTCAACAGCCACTTAGCATTTCTGGTAAGCTCCATTGTCATCGCATCCGCAGAGACTTGCTAAGACGGGTCCACAAAGGACAGGCAGCTTAAACGCATTCTTAAACCCCAAAGTCCAGCATCTTATCTGCTCGTAACAGCAGTAGCGCCGCAACTACCTAGATGCGAGGTTGATGCCGCCGTTTCAGAGTGGCATGCATACGCTACAGGTACAACTGTTCGAAGCTCCTTAGCGGTAAACAGTAGGCAGTTGCTGTCATAGAGGCTTTTGCTCGGAAGGGTTTGCACCTCTCGATGCTGTGGCGCCCTCTCTCTGCATTCTAAGCAATTTCATCCGGGCCTGAACTTCACGCAACCGGTTTTCTGACCCCCGCATCCGGCCATAAGAGAAAGCGAGCGCCGCAGATAGGCTGCCTGCAAGGAGGACAAAGTCGAGGGGCAGTGATTACTTCTTCAATGAGTAAAGGGACAACAGAATCTACATGGCTGACCAAACGATTCAAGGGGACACCACCTTGTTGTTGACGCTGAAAAGACACCCGCCTGAGTCTGAAGAGCACTGAGAATGACCTAACGTATTTTGGATTTGAGGACAGCTTCCAGCTTCTGGTTTCATACAAACACCGAGATAAGGAGAAAACTGGCAAGAAACTCATTCGTCTGATGTGGTCGACCAAGCTCCAGGTTGATGGTGCAGCCAACAACTCAACAAGAGTCTGCCAATTAGATACTCAGGTTCTCAAAGGGGCACACGGTCCTTCCTTCTTTCTTTCAATCCTCTACAAATGCATCCACTCAGCTTAATAATCCTACGGGGTCTGTATGAACCAGCGGCAGCCGGCGTTCTGGTTTGCCTCTGGAGTCTGGAGCCACGATTCTGAGCAACTAACCACCGACTCGATGCACCACAGAGAATGAAACCAATTGGTTTTAAAAAGATACTCGTGGTCGAATTAAAGGGTGTTTTGCGCAACCAGCCCCTCCGTGGACCAGACGAGAAAACCGCAACATCTGCCTAGGGCTAGGCCACCCATCTATGGATGAAGTGCCCCTCAAGTTGTGAAGAATCGCGGAGAGGGGCTCAAAAAGTTGCCTGGAGAAACGTTTTCTCACCACCTTTGAAGTTCACCAGGTCAATGTCCAAAAGTTAAGATGGTGGCACAACCACACGCATAATGAGGTGAAGGCACCAGTGAACCTGCTGAACAGAGCCAGTCAATCAAACCACACGACCTTGCAGTGTTCCCATTTGTTGAGGTTCTGCCCCAAAACAACTCAAACTTGCACTTCCATGAGCGGGTTGGTACAATGTTGAAGCACGCAAGCAACGCCTGACTGCTGTATACTCACCAAAAACAGTGATGTATGAATACCACACGTATGGATAAGTGTGAAAGTGCTCCTTTGCTGCATAAAACTTCCCCTCCCAGCTCTCCTGCCCCTCCTGCGGACGGTCAGCACTATCTACCATGGTCTAAGATGGTTTGGCTTAACGGATGCACAAGCTCCTCGATGCCAATTTGCTGGCCGTTCAGCGGACCTATACGGCGGCTTTAGCTTGCACGGCTTTGCAGAACTTGGCAGCTGTACTTGCTACCTACTTTCACAAGCTGATTAATCTGCTATCGGCCCCTTATCGCTTCTCATACGTCATACCGTCCAGCAGTGAAGCAGTTCGAAGCCTCAAATTAGGGACCGGGAGGAGTTGTCAATCTTGCAAAAGCTGTTGGGGCCAGTCAAACCGAAGAGGCTCTCCCTTCCTCCTCCCTTCCTTTCCTGCAGCTGCTTGAGCCTTGAGCGTCCCCCTTCTTCGGACTTCCGCCCTCTTCCTGTGGCGAACAACTAGAGCTGAAGCTTCTTGGGCTCCAAGTTCCAACTTCGAAGTCCATCCATTGCAACAATTTCCACCAATGAAAATATTTCAAGAACCATTACCGGGCAACCCTCTCGCGATTGGGCCGGATGCATGGCAGTCCTACCTGGCATGAAAACCATCCACGTGTCCCGCTGCCGACAGTGTGACACCGAGTCTACGTGGCTTCTGCAGTGGTGCCGCGGTGAATTCTCGGCCAGGAATATTGGCTGCTCAAGATTCCTTGATCCTCGGACAATTTTGACGGCCCAACAGGCTACAGAGACTCGGAGCTCTGCTCAAGGAAGGACTGCGCCACAGAAGCAGAAGGCGCAGGGTGGAAGGCTATCGCGGCCAATTGGGGGTTCTGTGAGGACTGCATTCTGTCTTTCCTGCAGGAGCGAGGTGTGACAGAGCTGCTGTAGGTCTTTTAACGTCTTTTAGAAAGGGCGCGGCAGCCAGGGCGGCTCTTGTCGTCAGCAGTTCGAGCGCAGAATGGGAGATGGTCTATATGGTCTCGTGCGTCGCAATGCCGACAGTGGCTGCTCTTGCTGTCATGCTGGCTCGGTGGAAGGGCAAGAAGCCTGCCCCGTCTGTCCCCTTGTCAGGCAAAGCCCCCTCTCCTGAGGTTCAAGAAAGTTCAACAAGCAATCTGAAGTCCTGCAGTGATGACAGCATAGCATCCCCCCAGCATTGCAGAAAGCGGAGGGGAAAGTCACAGAGAAAAGAGAGCAATGAAAAGATTATTAGGCGGGTCACCAGTTGCCCCGACTTTGCGGTTGTTCGGGTGCTGAAAACGAGCGCCAAGAGCGGGCGGCAGGCGTCGTACAGCAACCTCAAAGATCGGCGCCTGCAAGACGAGATTGCGAAACTGGCTGATAAGCTATTGCACCAGGCAGAGCGGCGGTGTGAATGGGGGCAGGACTGTGGGTGCGAATGGGGGCAGGGCTGCCAAAAGTGGGGCTGTGACTGTGGAGAGAGTTGTCAGCAAATAAGCGCTTTTGGTGGGGCGAGCGCAGAGTGGTTCTCAGATGCGGCGATGTCAGACCGGGGTCGAAAGGCGTGCGCGTCGCTCGATGCGCTGTGGGCCAGGCGCGCGGTGACAAACCGGGCGAAACAGGTGGAGAACTTTGTGACGAAAGGGATCCCCTCAGAGGCGGAGGGGCCCTCTGGGAATAACCGCGCTGTGGCAAAGCAGGGAACGGGAATGCAGGGTGATGCGACGGTCGGGGTTGGTAGGAAAAATGAGCAGAAAGTAGGGGGGGCGCTGATGGGGCGATTAGACTACTACGACCAGCTGCGGCTGGCCTTGTTTGAGAAAACAGATGCAGCGCGAGTGAGCGTCCGTCGCTCGCTTCTGTCGGGGGCGCTGGCGAGGCCTGGAGACTGCAATGTGGTGAAATACTGGGGAAACCAGGATCGCGCCGGCGGCGTTGCGGAAGCGGGGCTGAGGGGAGAAAGCGACATGTTGTGGAGTGTCAGCACGGATGCAATCGTAGAAAGCTGGGATTTGAGGGCGGCGCACACACCGGTGCTGCGCCACGTAATGCAGCTAGGGGAAGGGAAGTGGGGCGTGAAAGGTTTGGAAGTGACTGGCTCGCAGCTGCTTGTCAAGTTGGCCGCTGAACAGGAGATTAGCTTAGACGGAAGAAGACTGACGGGAGCAGTGACATGTTGACAGGACGGCGTTAGGACAAGTAGGCGCGGGCCAATTGCCCATTTTGGTGTGGGCCACTGAGGCAGTTGTTCGACCGTAGATGTATACTGAAAGTCGGGAGTGAACGAGACAAGTTGAGTTGCCTTAGAAGTTCATTTGTAGAGTAGACTCGGATCACACCCTTCGACGACGGGCAGTTCTTTACAGGTTAGGAAGTGCATCGTGTTCATTCTGTAACATAGTCCATCTTTTGGGTTTTGTGGTCTGGTAAATTTGCAACGTAAGTGTACAAGCGGTGCTTTGCTAGCTGAACATCAAGTCGTCAATTCTGACAGTGCTAGCGGTCCCCACGGACATGTATTTTGCTCCTCAAAATACTGGTCAGGCAGGCCAACCATTTGTACCTTTGCTTCGAACCAGGTTCGACATTCATTACATGCTTGCCGCCAAGTGCAAATGGAACAATCACGTTTGCCAGTGCGAGGCTTTCAAGTCTAAGAAGGAAAATTTTTGCGCGTTCGTTTTAGACACATGTGAAGAGGACGTACGCATGACAATTCACTCTGGCAGAGTGTGACTGTTCTGAGCCAATGTATCATTCAGCATGGCCAGCGTTTGCAAGTCTCATGTATCTGGATTTGCAGCCAGGACTACGGTAGTGACGTAATACATACACACAGCTGTCGCACGGAATGACTAGCAAGCTAGACATACCAGTCATTCCCATCAGCTTAGCAATCTGGGCATTCGTTTATCACAACATTCATGTACGCTTCTCAGTCATTCGAAACCTAGCTCGAAACCCAGTAAGAAGGCCTCAATGATAGCTGCAGAGGGTCACTGCATCTTCAACATTGTTTGTTGTGCCGTTGGCCGGGGACGAACTTCAAGTTGGGGTGAGGGATACTACATAGGTAGTCGCCAGCTTGAATGGCATGACGGGGATGGATCATTATCATCCAGAATCATTCTCGTGCAGATGTAGGCAAGCTAGCGTCTAGAAACGAGCACCGACAATTACTCTAAACGTGAGTCGATGTGCGCGATCTTGTTGCAGCGTGATCATGAAGTCTGATAATCTCTCGATCGACTATGTGGGCTGAATTCACATGTTTACTTTCAAGTGTTTCACATGTTTATGAGTAAGCTACTGGGTTCGCAGTCGAGCAGAAACATGTTGGCCGTTTGGCGTCGTTTGCATCGTTTAACCATTAGTGTCAAGGTTTGAATACACGAATAGTGCTGAATCAACATGTATTGCAGTCTGATGACTTTGCAATCTGAAGGTTCCGTTTTCAGCATCTCGGCTGCGCCCATGTGCATCCCTCTTCGCCTCTCTCAGTCTAACAACCTCTGCGTGCCCGGCAGAGCAGGGTACCTCCCACAAGTAATACAACTCCACTACCTCAATCTTAAGAGTCATATCTGCTAAGCAACTTCGAAACGCTGAGGGCCATATATCATCCAAAACAGGGTGGCGTACAAACTGAGAAGACCCACAATAACGTTCCAAGCAATAAAGATAGATGTGGGTTTAGAGGGACGTCCGACTGACTGACGACTTGAATCCGTTGTACCGATTGCCTAGCTGCTTGCAGTTATCTGGGAATCCAACATAAGTGTTCCTTTTGGGCGCTTTGCGTAGTTTCAAACTCAGCCTTGTGCCCTCCCTCCCTTGAGCCCTTCAGACGGGTCGGGCAAGATTAGCGGCCCCAAGCTTCGGACAGCTGTCCTTGGTATCAATTCGTTCATCGCCGCGAAGGTCATGTAGACAGCCAGGACCACCACGAGAATAAAGGTGACCCGGAGATATGCAAGTATGAGAACCTCTGCTTGCTCGCGGGCAGACAGCTTCTTTCATTTTTGAGTTGTCTTTGCGCTCCGAATCCCTTGTCTCTTCTCGAATTTACCAGATTAAGACCGTGATGCCGAATCCACGGGCGCAGCGAGCGGCCGTTCAGAACCCTCCTTTCCTGCCCTTTGTCGATTCCACATTTAAGCTGCTCCGAGTCTGGTATACCGTATTGTGCTGCTTCCTGCGAAAGCAGCAGGGGCATACCCCACGAAGTCCATGATGTGCATCCTTAAAAGGATCAAAGTTGCGCAAAGCACCTTAAAGAACGAAGCCCAGTACTTGACGGTTCTCAAATGACAGGGACGCGTACGCACAGCGGTTTCGACCAGCCGCGGCTGATTACACGCGCTGTTGGGCGCCGGTACCTGGTACGATTTGCAGTGGGCCCAACGAATGTGAACTCAGGCTCGAATGCTGATCGAAACGCGTCTTCGGGGAAAAACCATGGCCAGCATCTAATCACCTTGAGAAGACCAGCGTCTGTTTCTCCAAATAGGGAAACGTTACGTCCGAGGCACTTCTTGAGCAGAAACTTTTTCATCACATCTGGCTCGGGGAGATTCAACCGGGCACCCGGGAAGCTGTGCTGAAGCCCAGCGCACCGCAGAGCAGACGCATACATGTAAGTCACACCAACAAGCCATTGGCCGTTGCTTCATATTGCCAATGTCCGCCTCTTGGCGAGCCTCGGACTTCCTCAATGCTGCCGGATTTTGGAGTCGACAGTTTTTAGCTCCAGCATCAGAAACTTCCAGAGTGCGCGGCAGCCCGGCCGTGGCAGCTGCCTCGCGGCCGCACCGCGGTCAGGGTTCGGCATACATGCCAGTGCCGGTGCACGCGGCCGCGCGGTCGCACGCTCCGGGTGGATCAGAAGGCAGCTTTAACATCACGTCACCTCGTGTTTGAAATAACACAGCCGTCATGAATATCTCAAGAGGGTAACAAGAGCGTCAGCGCAGCAATCTCGACGTTCTCGCGTCACGTGCGTGTTTCATTGTTGCTTTATCTGTCTGGCGACGCTTAGCTTCTGCCTAACTTCTGGCGATAAAGATCCTACGGACTCCGTAATGTTATTCTGGCCCCCTTCTGCTGGACCCACGTTCTGTCCTTAAGCTGAGCTGACGCACACTCATACGCCTCGACGAGACGCTCTTGTTGCCGTTCGCTCAGGTCCGAGTCTCTCTTCCTCTCTGATGAAGTTCTTATCAAGAAGCCCCATGCCAGGCTCGCTCGTTACCGTGTTGCTTGAAGAACACGGCTCCAGGAGGCAGAGACGGTGAACATCGTTATCTCGTACGCATGTGGAGCTGACGCCAAAGGTACGCATGTGAGTCACCGCGAGCAATAGCTGTCGCTAGGCATTAATATGGGAACCAACGGAGAGCCTACTGAAAGTCTCATTAGGGGCGTATATATCTGCATAGGTCTGATAGAATCAAGTGCCCGATATGCCAATACACATGAGTGGCTGCACTCTCCGCACCGTTGCATCGTCTGCTTGGGCCAGTACTCTTGACATGAGACACGAAAGAAAACGCAAGATCAACATTCAAACCAATAAGCAGCATGTGCTACTGATGCCACGTCTGTTTGAACAAGTCGTCGGAATTGAAGGTCCATTTGAAGCCACGAGTCGTCGATCAGATCAGCCACTTTGTTATCATGAGGCATCTGAAGTCGAGGTAACATGCCGGATTGGAGTAAACATCAATACGAGACATCTCAAACTCTACTGCCAACATCTTGTCCGTCACGTCTAGTAACGCCCACTCCTTAAAGAGCGGACCAAAGCGCTTCTCTTGTTTCAAATTTTCCTTGATACAGTCTCACGTTCCGGTCCAGCATAGTGATAGATTGATTGCTAGATTAACGGCTACTGCTCGTTATTGACAGAGTTCACCACTTATTCGAATGGGACGTTTGCCCATTTCAGTCTCGATTTCTCCCTTCCGTTCTATAAGCTCCACACGCAGAGCAGAGGCTACTTCTTTCAGCTGGTCGGCCTCGCACGTCCCGAGGAAGAGGAGAACAAGCGCCACATTTCCCGCGACGCTCAGAATGACGACCCAAAAGGCTGCCAAGTACAGGTGAAGGGACCCCAATTTTGTCAGCCACACAAGGAGGAACCGCTTCGACTTCGAGGGTCCGGTTTTCGCGGGCGCCTCGATGCCGCCGTACGGGTCGCCCAAGCGTTCGCAGTTGTCCGGAAAGCCCACGTAGAAGCTCATCTTTGGCGTTTTGCACAGCTCCAAGCTTAAGCTTCCGTCCATCTCTTTTAGGAACTGGTTGAGGCCCTGTGAGGGGTCCGGCAAAGCAACCGGCCCCAGGCGCTGAATGGTCGTCTTTGGGAACATCTCCTTCATTGCCGCGGAGGTCGTGAAGGCAGTTGCCACCAGGATGAAGATCAAGGAGAGCATATCATAGGATGTGATGAGATTACTGGCGTGCTCACGCGAGGCCATACTTTTCACACGCTCTTCCGCGTCCGCTTCCATTTCTGATTCATAATCAGGTTCCGCGAACGGATCCCCGCCCGCTGCCTCTTGGGGTGCCGCTTGTGGTTCCGACGCAGGCGCTTCCAGATCCGGAGCGGAGGGCTCTTCCGGCGGACTCGCTTTCCAGCGGTTTTCCAAAAAAGTACCGGCAGCGAAAGGGACCCCCAGAATCACGGTAGAGAGGAGTAAAAAAGACAAGCTTACGTAGACTGCTATGAACGAAGCCCAGTACTTAAAGGAACCCACGTGGTGATGATGCACAACAGTCTCTACTGGGGGCGGAAAGTTGCACGCCGTGTCAGGTGCCTGCACTTGGTAGAACTCGTAGGCAGGTCCAACGCTTTTCTTCGTGCTTCTAAGTTTTGGTTGGCACTTGATGACCTGGAGAGGTCGGGGGCCCTCCGCTCCAAACAGGGGGTTGAACAGATTTGTGGCGTTGTTCATCAGAAAGCTGTTCACCAAGTATGGCGCGGGGAGAGTCAACCGGGAAAGCACTGGCCCGCTGCTGGAGCCCTGGACTAAGGTGGAGGTGACAGAGATGAGGAAAAACACGGCGGCTACAGCAGGTAGCCGGTCCATATCTGCTCGCTTATAGGTGAAGCGGCAGAGCGTCTTGGCAAGGAATAACCAGTATGTATGTGACAGGAAGATGGGAAGAATAAGCGTTCAAAAAGACGCCGCTGTTGTAAAGTGGAGAGCGAAGCTGCTGTTTCCGCATTTTTTGAACGCTCTTCGAAATCTCTCTGCTTTCGAAACTGGATTTGTTCACACGTTAGTGTGGTGACCCAAGCCCACTGTGTGTGGTGACTTGGCGGGCCGCGCGGCCGCGTCGACAGATTGACGCGGTGCTGCAGGCGGCAGCGCGCAAACTCACTCTCCTTGCACTCTCAAGGTTACGTTACCTTCTGGTAAGAAATATGTTATAAATTTGTTCAGAGCGATTGGAGCGTCGGCGTAGCAATCCGAAAGCTGTGAAGCGTCCAATATGCATCAATCGTCGGTTCAATCCCGGCCGCCGACTTTTCGAAACCTTCCCTTTTGTGAGCTACGTTAATTACCAGCGTTTGTGCGGTCAATTCCTGCGCGAAGACGTCTTCGCGCACCGCGTCCAGCCGCTCGTCAAATTTGTCAGTCCTACTTTCGACCTTGGTAGAGATGACATCCATCGGGCGCTGCCTCTGTCCCCAGGGCACGGGCAAAATGGCGCCCCTCCGACCCTGCTCTTTTTCAAAGTCGGTTCAAAGGTCGATGACGTGTCCAGAGTCTGGAGATGGTTGGCGACATTGCTGTTCAAGTCGGAAGGCAAAGTAGTCCTGTGACGAAAACGGAAAGGGATTGACGCGAAAGCTTTCTGGCGCCAAGATGAATGACGCAGACATCGGCACTTCCATTTTCACTCTTTCGTCGCTGCGGAAGTGTGACGGACTCGGGTTCAACCGAACCGGAACGAGAGGCGGGAGCTTTTCTACTCAGCTCGGAGCTCTCCACAAAGTGACCCCCGGCCCCTGAAATACAACCGACCTGCACAACGGAGCGATTGAAAGACGAAGCCGCAGACGTCACTTTCTTCTGGGTCGACTGTTTCCCAGGCTTGCGAAAAGCGCTATCTACCCGCCCTCCTCGCCTGGGCTTTCCCATCCCGTTCCACAGACCTTATATTCGGACCGGGCGTTTACTAAGCCTGGCTTAATGATTGCCCGGTAAATGTTTGCTCTTAGTTCACTGCCTTCCGCTTCCCTGCTCTTTTTCTGTCATACTTATGTGCGCTGCGAAGCGCTCCGCAAAGGCCGACCCGGGCAGCCACAGGAGGGTTTCTGACGCCCGCGGCTGGCCGCGCGGCCGCATCGTTCAGATTACTCCGGGCGGGCACAAAGGCTTACTCTACAGTATTGTTTCTGTGTTGACTTCAACAATGTTGATTCGTGTGCCATGAACTTTACAGATTCAGCCATCGACCTCCATATTTCTTAGGTTTTCTCCTTCTTTGCAAAGCTTTTGTCCAGCACTTTCCAATGTATGCTGGATATTCCTAGACCAATACAATCTGCACGAGTTACAGAAGCTTATAGAATCTTCCTTTTGGATGATTTTGAAGCCCTCTCACTCGCGCTCGATTCAAGTCCACGGTACTAAAATGTTACTTTCTTTAGGAGGAAAATCAGGAACGAGGTACCAACGCTTACTAAGGCGGCTGTGCTGATTAACGGCTGGGAAGGCCTAGCAACATTGAAGAACAATGAAGTAACGCGTTTGAGAGGAATTGTGTGTTCCCATCGAACTAACTCTGCAGTAGTAAACATGAGTGCGGGGCTCGTGGCGTAGTGGCTGCACGCGAGAATTTTAAGCCGCTACGTCGCTTTGTTGCCCTAAACATAAGTACCAGATTCACCATTGAAAAAGCATGCTTTCATGCATTCAAAGGTCCTTGTAGATCCGGCTGAATGCATCTAAATCTCGGGGCCCATTAAAATCATGGGAGCTGCTAGCTTTCGGTCTCGAGAATCGCTTCCCTTATCAGAACGTAATCGACATTAAGATAATGGTCCGAAGTAAAGACATTCTGCGACGAGACAAAGTAGACCCTACTTGTTTATCGTATCTACTAACTTCCTCTCATCAAACAACCAGAACGTTAAAGCTTCTCTTCCTGTTGAAACATTTTAACAGAGTTACCGATTCCTGGCAAGCATAATTGATAGGATAGCTGCTACTGCGGAAGTTTTAATCGGACCGAGAGAACCATGTCTTCGATTGTTACCTGCGCGAGTCATCCGCCGTTGCTTCCTTCAAATGTATAAGCTCCACACGCAAAGCGTAAACAACTTCCTTCAGCTGATCGGATCCGCACACCCCGAGAAGAAGGCGGATGAGCGCGATGTTTCCCGCGACGCTCAGAAGGACGATGCTAAAGGCCGCGGAGTACAAGAGCAGGGACGCCAGTTTCGTCAGCCATACAAAGAGCCCCCGCTTCGGCTTCGAGGGTCCGGATTTCGCGGGCGCCTCGACGCCGCCGTACGGATCGCCCAGCCGTCCGCAGTTGTCCGGAAAGCCCACGTAGAAGCTCATTGTCGGCGTTTTGCACAGCTCCAAGCTTAATGTCGCGTCCGTCTCCCTCAAGAACTGGTTGAGCCCCTGCGAAGGGTCGGGCAAAGCAACCGGCCCCAGAGGCTCGATTGTGGTCTTTGGATACATCTCCTTCATTGCCGCCGTAGTCGCAAAGGCAGCTAACACCAGAACGAAGATCAAGGTGAACAAAGTATAAACACCGATGAGATCCTTAGCGGTCTCAAGGGAGGCCACACTTTTCACTCTTCCTTCACTTTCCGCTTCCGCTTCCGCTTCAGATCCTTGTCTCGGTTCCTCGACCGGATCGCTTTCTTGCGGTGCGTCTGAGATCGACAGCGGCGCTTCCAGGTCCGGAACGGAAGGCTCTTCCAGTGGAACTGCTTTCCAGCGTTTCTCTAGTAGGGATCCAGCAGCAATAGGAACCCCAAGAAGCGTTATCATTAGAAGTGCGAGGACCAAAGTGAGGTAGAACCATGCGAACAAAGCCCCGTAAACAAAGGAGCCCAAGTGATGATGACGCACAACAGCCTCCAAGGGGGGCGGAAAGTTGCATCCAGTCTCAGGTGCCTGCACTTGGTAGAATTCATAGGCAGGTCCAACGTTCTTCTTCAAGCTTTTAAGCAACGGTTGGCACTTGATGACCTGGAGAGGTCGGGGTCCCTCAGCTCCAACCAGGGGGTTGGTCCAGTTTGTTGCGTTGTTCACCAAAAAGATGTTCACCAAGTATGGCTCGGGGAGAGTCAGCCTAGCAAATTCTGGCCCGCTGCTGCTAGCGCTCCCAGCAAGGGTCGAGCTGAGAGCAAGTAGGACAAAGATGAACGCTGAAGTAGAAACCCGCGCCATACCTGCTTCACGGTGGGAATTCGAAGCAGGAGATTGTGTAAGCCAAGGACGTTTTGCCAAGAGGAATTCGCGTCTCAGAAATCAGAGGACCGCTGGTGTGTCAGTTAGGTAGCAAGAATGCTGCTTCCGCTTTAGCGAACGATGTTCTGCTGCAGCTGTCTTCTGCTTTCGAGTGTTCAAGCGCGTGTCTTGTTACCGGATCAGCGCCGCGGGCGCGTCGAGTCCGCGGCCGGACGACGCAAAGGATGCACGCGGCCGCGCGCAGGATCGCTCTCTTTCAAGAGGAAGTAACGTCACCTTGTGTGCACCAACTTGTTGAATACATCATAAAATTTTCTGAGAGCAGTTTGAGAGTCGGCGTAGCAATCTCAGACCAATGAAGCAATCATTCATAAACTGCCGGTTCGATCCCGGCCGCCGACCCCCCTTCCACATGTCTTTCTTTTTGCGAGCTCTACCCATGCCAGCGTCTGCTGTAATCTTTTGAACATTGATAGCTTCAGAGACCCGGTCGGTGAATAGTGAACTGCTTTTTGGATGGTCGCGCACGCTTGCCGGCGCAAAGCAATGTAGACAGCACTGAAAGAACCCGACTGCAGTAGCAGCACGCTCATTCGACGACTTTCGCAAGAACGAGATTGAAATGGAAGTTGGTGACGGACTTTGGGATTAAAGGTAACCTGGTATCAGACTGACTGTTTGCTAGATTCGACTTCGCTTGAAGCCGCCAATGCATTCAGCTGAAAATGCACGCACAAAAGGCCGTCTTCACAGGCACAAAAGGCCGTCTTCACAGGGATTCTTACCATGTCGGAGACCCATAAATCGTTGACTGATTCTCTCTTGATCGACTATATGCTGAAAGCGGCAAGGGTAAGCGCAATGGTCCTATACACCCTTCCCATTGGAAGTTCGAAGTCGAAGAGCACAAGTACTGAGTCACCATGACAGAAGCTCAGCATAGTCAGAATGGTAGCCCAAGTGGTTATAGGCCTGCCTGGCCTAAAGTGGTTGACGAAGTTTCACGCAGTAACTTTCAAGCGTTGCTGTCTTGGTCGCTGAGCAAGATATCGATCCATCCGAGTCAAGAGATTCAGACCGTCATGGCTGATGAATTGGCTTCATCAGTGTCAGGGTCGTGCTATTCATAATTCTTCAACCTAAGTGACATGCTGCTCGAGAAAGACGGATGTCAATTACATGATTTATATTCCACTTTGAATTGAATGTCCGCATCAGAAACATTTGAACGACTCTGTCCATCCATCTAACTAACCGGATCGCCGAGAACGTTGATACGTTGGTATTTGCCTTGAGGCTTCAACTTTTCAATGTTGATTCCGCATTGAACATCCAAAACTTGCTGATCTAAGATGGAAACCTGCCCGGCCGAGTCTTACCGCATACTAAGGAAAATCACGCTCGGAAAGGTTTTGGTACAAGATACATACATCGAAGACAAGATTCTGTCGGAAAATGAATGTCACAGATCCGTTGCTTACTGCGCTTTCTTATCTACACATTCTGCTTGCCATCCTTATCGCATATCCATGTGATTCATTTTAAGCTGGTAAACCCACAAATCATGATCTCTTCACTATGCGAGTTGGATAGCTCTCTTCCTTGCAGCCAGATTGCCGATGACCAATAGTATCTTTGATTGGTCCTGACGGCTCCAAAGAAGCGTAGCTTAATCTTCAGGGCCGGGAAAAACACTTCAGACAGCAACCCGCTGCTGCTACGCACTTCCCTTCCAAAAGCGACATCCACTTCTTCGCGGAATATTAGCGCGACTCCACCTGTCGGGTTTTGTGGCCTCAACATACTCTCTAACCGAAAGCAGAACGGCGTGCAGCGAAAAGGAGACGTCCTTCAGCTGCTCAAGCGTGTATACCCCGAGAAGAAGGTTAAGAAGGACAGCATTTCCGGAGAGGCTAAGAATGATGAACCAATATCCGCTCAGGTAAATGCAGATAAGCCCTGCTGCTTGAATCCAAGCGAGAAAGAACGACTTCGATTTAGACCGCGCCCCACTCTTCACAGGTGCCTCAAGTCTGCCGTACGGACTCCCCAGCTGTTTGCAACTGTCTGGAAACCCCACGTAGAAGCTCATCTTTGACTTCTTGCACAGCTCCAGGCGCAGACTCGCGTCCGAATCTTCCAGGAACTGGTTGAGTCCTTGCGAAGGGTCTGGCAGGTCAACCGGCCCCATCCGCTCGATGGTCGTCTCCGGAAGGATCTCTTTCATCTGTACGGACGTCACCAGAGCAGCCAAGCAGAGCAACAGATACACCGTAGTCCAGAAATAGGTTAGCTTGAGAACCTCCGCTGCTTGGAGGGGAGTAATACTTGCCAATCGGCCATAATACTTTGCTCCAATTTTTGCTCCTTCCTTAGTCTTGCTGGAGGCTGCGGTCTCTTCACATTCTTCACAACTTGACGCCGGCTGCCAGTCAGGCGCTTCCAAGTCGACAGGCTTCGGTTCCGAGCGATCCCTAAGAGCATAGTTGACTTCAAGAGGTATCTTGAAAGCGATAAGTAGTACAAGGATCCAGATCAGACTCACAGAATGCTATGGAAAGCAGCCAGTACCAGATTCTTCCCACATGGTGATGATGCTCGGTGGTCTCCACAGGCGGGGGGTGCTCGCATGCGCTGCTTGGTGCCTCAACCTGGTAGAAGTCATAGGCAGGTCCAAACCTCTTCTCCTGCACGAGCTTTGGCTGGCACTTGATCACCTGAAGAGGCCTAGGAATTCCCTTGAAAAGAGGGTTCGTGCACTTTGTGCAATTGTTGATCAGAAACTTGTTCACCAGATCTGCCTCAGGAAGGAGCAACTTGACGCATGAGCCGTTGCTGGCGCCCTTGACAGAGCAAACTGCTAGAAGCAGAAAGACGATGGCCACAGCATACCTCCCCATCTTTGATGCTTTGCAATCGACGATATCCTCTTTTGAACGTATCAACTGCTAGAATCGTTGGAGCGCCAGAGGTGCAAAGCCGATTGTGCAAGAACCCTACAGAGGGCGCCTTTGCCTTGTTTCCTTGTTGCCTTGGTTGCTTTTCTGACCCTGCAAGATGTTATTCGCAACTCTCAGTAGTTGCTCACGCTCATTCTCCTTGCCGCTGTACTGCACTAGTGAGCCTGAGGCGCTGCTATATATTTTTGCGGCTGCTCTCTGACTCTATTGTGGACACTGGAACTTCGCTGATTGCAAACTTCGAATTGGAGCTGGAGTTCGTGCAGGCCGCGTCGCGTTGGGAACGCGCCACCCGGGCGACCGCGACTCGCGGCGAAACCCTGAACCCTTCACTCAACAACCGCTTGATGCGCGCGGCTGCCGCGCGTCCAGGCGCGCGCGGCCGCGTTGGAAGTGTACGCGCTATGCGGCTTGGCAAGAAACTTGTCGAGTCCGCACTAGTCCCTGTACGCAGTCTTATGTAGAGAAGCGCCTTCGCAGCACTTTCGATCACACCTGTGTGCCTTGAGAGAGCCAGACCCTTTTCCTTCGCTGCCAACGAGGATTGAACAGACTCAGAAGCTTGGCAGTAGGAAGGAGTGAACAAACCCAGAAACAAAACATTCAAAAGGACTGGAAAGGAGAACAGCAACGCTGCGGCTTCTCATTAGACGTAGCGCCCTTTCATCCCCGCAAGACGTCCTTGGCTGAGACGACTGTTCGCCTTGATTCTGAGGAGGGATGGGGCGGCTTTCTAAAGTTGCTCTCGTCTTTTCTCTTTTTGCTCTAATCTGCGCCCTGGTCGGAAGCGCCAGCAGCAGCAGCGGACCGGTGTTTGCCAGGCTGACCCTCCCTGAGCCTTCTTTGGTGAACAGTTTCCTAATGAACAACGCCACGGACTGGACCAACCCCCTGTTTGGATTGGAGGATTCCCGACCACTCCAGGTCATCAAGTGCCTGCCCAAGCTTGAGAAGATGAAGCATACCTTCGGACCTGCCTATGAGTTCTACCAAGTGCAGGCACCTGAGACCGCCTGCAACTTTCCTCCCCCCCTGGAGACTGTGGTGCGTCACAACCACGTGGCCTTCTTTGAGTACTGGGCTTCGTTCATAGCTTTTCACGCAAGCTCCGCCATCGCCGTGTTTTTTACCGCCGTCATTGTGGGGTCTCCTTCTTCTCTCGGTAACCTCATAGACGGGCGCTGGAACGCGATTCCGCCGGAAGAGGTTTCCGCTCCGGATCTGGAAGCGCCTGCTTCGGAAACCCTCCAGGGCAGAGTGGGCAGTGATGCGATCGAGGATCCGGTACAAGACTTGGAACAGGGACCGGAGATTCAAGGGCGTTTGAAAAGCGTTTCCTCGCGTGAGTACGCAAACAAGTTCCTTGGTGCTTGGTGTGCGTTACCGACGATCTTCATTCTGGTGTCAGCTGCCTTCGCGACTCACGCGGCAATGGAGGAGATCTTCCCGAAGACAACGGTCGAGCGCGTGGGGCCTGTCGCTTTGCCGGACCCCTCGCAGGGCCTCAACCAGTTTTTGCAAGAAATGGACGCAAGCTTGAGCTTGGAGCTGTGCGTTACGCCGAAGATGAGCTTCTACGTGGGCTTCCCGGACAACTGCGGACGGCTTGGCGATCCGTACGGCGGTGTTGAGGCGTCCGTAAAGACCGGACCCTCGAAGTCAAAGTCGTTCTTCATCGCTTGGCTGAAAGAAGTGGTGTACCTACACCTGTACTTGGCAGGCTTCTGCTTCGTCCTTCTGAGCATTGCGGGGAATGTCGCGCTCGCTCTAGTTATCCTCGGGGTGTACCGGTCGGATCAGTTGATGGAAGTCGCTTCTGCTCTGCGTGCGGAGCTTATAGAAGAGAAAGACAGATTCGAGGCTGAAATGAAGCGGGGAAATCAGTCGAATGCACGGTGAAAAACAGCTTTTACTGCAGCCAAATCAGAAGCTTGCTGGGCTAGCTCGGAAAGTGTGACGTTTATTTGAGGAAGCCGCAGAGAAGCGGTCCGAGTGCGCCACAAGTAGACGCTAGCAAGTGTGACGGACGCTTGAAATCTTAAGTTAAGCAGTCCCATTATTTCTTTGGCGTCGGATACCTTATGACAAGGCGAAGGGATTGGATTCGAAGGTCGGGACCAATCGCTGGAAGCTTCGAATTTAATCAAACGAAGCCTAATCTTAACCCATGGAACCATGTGCTTGCTTTTTTCTAATTCATGATCGACTTGAGCTATATATGAGCCTTAACTGTATGACTACTGTTATAGTTTGTGAATCTAATTCGATGCTTGCATATGCATTCACCTCCATGTTTCGCTCTTATTCCATCAAGACTGTGGCATGCAAGCTCAAGTTCAAGCTCATGTGGCACGAGGCCGTGCATGATGCAGACGTACAATAGAACGAGATGCAGCCGCGGACTGGAGTATATGCTGGCTGTTCATGCATATGAACTACAGTGAATTCGAAGTTGTGGTAAAACGAGCTGTAAGTTACTTCACACGCCATAAACCGAGCTAGATACCCTATTCTCACCATGTCCAGCGCAGGTCTATAACGGTAAGGCTAGCAAACTGTCAATACCGTCTAAGAGGTACGTATGTACGTGGTCGCAAGTGACAATACCTCTTCACCGGCCTTTCTCCAAAAAGCAATCGCTGGCCTAGCCTGGCCACAACCACCATGATTATGGTCAACTAGACTTCCAGACTGGCAACTAATGGAAGCCAAACCTGGTGGCCCCTTCGCCCAAGACAAGTAATACCTAAGAAAGTACTAGCGCCTCAAGCAGCCGTTGTTCTACTTCGTCGCCTTTTGTCTCGCTGCTCCTGAATGCGCAGAACAGCACAGATGAGCGACCGGAAGCAGATGAGCGAGCGTACGAAGTGGAGTTCGGTATTTTGGATACTGGTAAGTTAACAGACCTGATTGACACAGCAAGCAGCTACTGACAAGTAGAAGCAGAGAATCAAACGAAGCGTTGGGAGCTACAAAGAAGATCCGCGTCGGTACTGGCCAGCCAAAGATGCCCCAGGTCAAGACTGGCGTCAGTCCAGTCAATCAGGGCCCCAGGACATGAGAGAACAGCTGGTCAAAATCAAGACCGCAAAGCCAACCGTTAAGCTCTGTCAAAGCGCTCAGGAACCAAGGCAAATCAGAACTTCGCCTTGCGGATATCGCATGGGATAAACATCATTCGCTTGCGCCGAGTTTCGAGAACTCGGAAGCACCACGCAAGACGAGCGACAAGTGTCGACCTAAGAAGCAACTGCAGCTATCCGGCGGTCGAAATGCCTCATGCGGAACCTTCATGAGAACCCCTACCAAACCTCGCAGTCTCTCGTATGATTTGAGAGTGGGCCACACAGAACCAAAGCTCCATAAGAACTAGCTGGATCGATCTTACGCACCTTGTCAAACGCGAGCGCCTTTTCCTTGAGCTCAATGGCCCGCTTCCGCTTCTCCGCCTCCTCCTTGCTCCCGGGGCGCCCCCCCGGGTCCTCCTCCGCCCCTGCCCTGAGGGTGTCCTCAAACCTCCTGCCAGGCTCCTTGACCCGGGCACTTAACCCGCTGGTTATGCTGCTCCAGGAGCTCGTGACCGAGCTCGGTGTGGGCGGACCGGACTCTCTGGACGGGCTTCGGACGGCGCCGCTTTCGCCGTCCGCAGCTGGGGAGAACTCCCCCCGTTGCTTACGGAGCTCCGCTGGCGGAATGGAAGCGGTTCCACGCCGTCCAGCGGAACTCGCGTTTCCACCCGGACCGGACACTTTGGACGGGCTTCGGACGGCGCCGAGTCCGCTGTCCGCAACCAGTGAAGTTCCCCCCGCTTGCTTCCGGAGTTCCGCCGACGGACTGGGGGCCTTTCCGCCCCGTCCAGCGGAATTTGCCGGCCCACTTTGCCTCGTTCGTTCCGCCGAGCGGGCCTTGTTCCGTGGGGGTTTGGGCAGAGGACTGAACGACCTCGAGCGCGCGGCCAGGAAGGTGCCTTTCCCGGCGACCATCCCCTTGCCCGCAGCAGACGCGGTCGCCCTTCCGGACGCAGAAACTGGCCGCTGCTCAGCTACTGTGGGCCGGCTCGAAGAAAGCTTTGCGATTTGGGGTGTCTTCCGGTCTTCTATCCGCTGTTCTTGACCCCCCGCCTCTTGTTGTCCCAAAACTCCAGACCCCCCTCTCCCCGCCGCTTTGCCGATGTCGGTACGAACCCCTCCTGACTCCGACTGCAAATCTGATCCGTGCAGAGAATTACCTAGATACGGTGACAAGTATTCTTCTCCTTCAGCTTCTATGCCTTTCTCAGACGCTGTCAGCCCACGACCGAAAGCTGGCTCCGAAAAGGGTACACTCGACTGCATGCCGGTGCCTCCTTTCGCTAGCCTCCCAAAAGCAGGCGACGGATCCGAGACGTCGCTTCCCCGCCAGGGCGAAAAGTCTGCGGATCCTGCGAGCAGCGAATCTGGGCCGTCGATGTCCAGCGCGGCAGCCCATCCGACGGACGAGAGTGACGCGATGTCGACCCGGCCCGCAACTGGGGGGAGTGCCCGCCTTTGCTCCGGACTTGCAGAGTTTTCTGGCTCCGTTCGAAGCTCGCTCGCTTTGGAAAGATCGCCGCTCCCGCTCCGTTCCGCTTCTGTTCCGTGCAAAGGGGCCCCCGACCGCACGTCCGAGTCCTCGCGAAGCGGACTGTTGGCGTCCGCTTCTCCGCCGCTGACGTCAGCAGTGCCGGCTTGAGGGGAAGCATCATCCGCCATTACACTCGATACACCGGCAGTGTCGCCACTCGTCGGGCTGGTGACGTCAGCACTCGCTCCCCCCCCAGCTTCGTCCCTTCGAACCGCGTCGCTGTCTCCGGGGGATCCCCTCCGATCGCCCACATCCCTGCTCTTTTCCCTCACACCTTCCCGGTAGACCTCCCTGCTTCCGTCATCGGGCGGCCCGCTTCCAAGAAGGCTGCTGACGCTCTGTGACGTCGCCACGTGTAGCCTTTGATCCAGCTTCCGCAACTCTCCGGCCAGGGCCTCCAGCTGTTCGTCGAACGTCAGCAGCTCCGAGGGGCGGTCGAGCAGCGCCAGGGCGGCCGCGACGTTCGGAGGTTTGAAGGTTTGCGCGGCGGCTGGGGGCGACAGCGATCGCCGCAGAAGGTCTTCCGCGAAGTGCGCCTTGGGCTTCTGCAGGGGAGGGGGCTGCCAGTGATTGGAAGACATGTCTTCGCTGGGAAGGAGACGGGGGCTGAGCGGGAGCGGCGCGAGCGACAGGGCCTCTTCGTGGAACTCTGCCTCAGCTCTGCTTTCGGAAGGCCCTGCAACGGGCGCCGCTGCTTCCGCTCTTCCATCCTTCCGTTCTGCGCCTTGCCCCGCCTGCCTTTCCGTGGAGACGGAACGTACCTCAACGCCGCTCCTCGGCACAGCAGCTCCCAAACTTTCCTCCTCCGAAACCCCTTCCTCCAAAGCCCTGAACCCCTCCGACCACTCCTCAGAAAGTGGCGCCATCTGTGTGCCCGTTTGATACGCAGCCGGAGCCGCAAGGAGCGAACTGCTCCGGTACTGCCACGTGGTCGTCAGCGACTGGTCGCTGGGAGACAACCGCTCGGACAAAGCTGGGCTAGACGGATTTGAGCTCTCGACAAACGGAGCAAGATCGCCCGCATCGGGTGACTTTCCGGAATGGTTGCTCTCTCCCGCAGATCTTTCTTGCTCGGCCCCTCGAAAAGCAGCCTCCCTGAATTCGCGGCCAGCTAACGTTGACCCTCCTCCTTCGGGAGAGCTAATGGCCGAGTTGGAAGAGAGCTCGCTCTTTCCTGAAGACCCTTCCCCAGACTTTCCGGTCTCGCCAAGCGCAGTCCGTTCCGTTTCCGCCGCTTCCGATTCTTCCGAGCTGGTTTCGCTGAGCCCCAGCGCGGCCGCAATCGACGGCCGCCCGGTTTCCGCGGACGGCTCCGCAGCCCGCATGTCAAAGTTAAGGCGACCGTCGAGGGCCGTGACGTCAGCATCTTCACTTTGCTGATCATCACTGGGATCAAGTTTCTGGGCGTGAGGACCTTCAGAGTCTGACGCCGAGTCGGGGGAAGCCCTGACGTCACGATGCACGTGTGGGTTTCCGGCAGGATTCACATGGGGGCTTTGACTAACCGGGCTGGAACCAGAGGTGGTTAGGCTGAAGCTGGAGACGGTCAAAGTGGCCGCCAGGAGGGAGGCAATCGTCGTCGACGTCAGCGTGGCGTCAGCAACGCGCTCAGGAGGCGCAGTCCCAGGGAGGAACGCTTCGACTACTGGAGGCAGGGCGACGTCAGCAGGGCGGCCTTCCGTGCTGACGTCAGCGGCCGGAGCGTCGGACGGCTTGGATTGGGACGAGGGGGGCAGGGGCGGGCGGGCGTTGCCGTCTGAAGTGCTCGTGGTGGGTGTCGAAGGGAGACCTGCAGACAGTAGTATCGATTCTAGGTTGAGGTCAAGCCGTGCTCGGAGAACGGGTGGGGTTATTTAAAATTTCAGCGTGGAAAGGAATGCGGAACGGATAAAGTTTGTCGATTATAATCCATTGCTTCCTCCCGAGTCCCCTTACATATCTCAACCGGTCCAGATCAACCCCAGAATGAGACTCATCCTGCAGAGGGGATGCGTCAAGAGAAAACGTTTCGTGCTCAATTGGATCAGTTGCTTCGCATATTATGTTTTATCACATTATGAAGCACAACAGAATCACGATTGGATGCAAGATACCACAGCGTAAGTTCGAAAATCGGTTTCCATCAAACGTCGACCCACTCCCACACGAAGGTTTGAGCGAGTGCAACATGACTTGGGAAGCAGTGGGAAGGTGCCCACTAGTAGTCATTAAGTCTGATTGAACAAGCAGAGGGCCGCGAGAGTTCAGTCAGCTTTCACATGTTCTGATGGGTGCAAACTTTTCTGTAAGCAGGATCGCGGGTGCGACTATTGGCAATAAGCTGCCACAAAAGAAGACTGAATGATGGCAGGAGTTCTTATTCATATGTACGCGGACTACAAAAGCACGGCAGAAAAGCGCGGACGGTCGGAGGTCATTCCGAACAAAGAAGAGACGAAAAGAGACCAGAGAAATGCAAGGATCATATTGTTATTAAGAAGCCAAATCATCCAAAGTGATTGTCCCTAGTTCCTGAATAGGTTCCTGATTCCTGGTTCTAAGGGAGACGAGATCTCCTTACCAGACGTCGAGCTGGGTAGCCGTGCAGCCGCTCCCCCTTGCGCGAACACGTCCGCGCGCACCGCGTCCAACCGCTCGTCGAACTCGTCCAGCTCGCGTTTCAACCGGGCAAAGATATCATCCACCGGGCGCTCACGTTCCCCGGGCAGATTGCCAATCGCGGCCGCCCTCTTCCCCTGCTGTTTTTCAGCGTTCGGTTCAGAATTGCTGGGAGCAAAAACACCCTCCGTCACCAGGTCAAGTGTAACCGGTTGGTGACCCTGTTCTTCTTCAGAGGTCGGTTCAAAGTCTCCGGGAGCAGAAGCACGGCCCGTATCCAGGGTCTGTGGAACCGGTTGGAAAACACCGGGGGACGAGGGCGGATAGGTGGGCGCTGTTTGCGACCCCGGGGAAGAGTGCCCCGAGGGAAAGGGGGCCTCGGCGGCACCAGTCTCCGACCGCTCGGTTGTACTGGTCGGGGGTAAGTCGGTGCTAGGGACCGTGCCGCTCGTCGTGAGCTCCGAGCTCGGTAACAAAGCCCCCGCTTCTAGTTCCGTCCGGTTGGACAGCCCGGTTCCACCGGACAGCATGGTGTCGCCGGACGTGAGCAGCGAGGAGCTGGTGGGAGCGGAGCTGCTGACGTGTTCCTTGGCTCCATCAGGCTCCCGCGTTCGTTCATTTTCCTCTCCCTCCGTCCTTCTCGCTGACAGCTCCGTATCAAAGCCAGTTCCACTTGTGACTTGCCCCTCGGCGCTGTGCAACTCCTCCCCTGCGTTCAATCCCAAACCCGGCTGTTCGCGGAATTCTGCCGTCTCTCCTTCCCGCAACGTCGCACCGTCGCCTGACCCCGACACGGGGCCAAGCGCAAAGCTCGACACGTGGACATCAAGAAGCACGTCCAGGTCGTCTTCGCTGAAGTTCGACAGGGGTGACGTCAGCAACGAGAACGGCGAGAGTCCGGACGTCGGCGATGACATCAGCGTGAAGTCCGAGGAGGCATAGTCCAGGCCCCAATGCCCAAGGCGCTGTCTGGCTGTGTTTACCTCTAACCCCTCTAACCCGCCCGGGTTTGCCAAACCCAGTTGGTCAGCTGCCAGCCCACTCGCGCCTCCGCTGAGCGCCTCTGAACCAGGGACCGCACCTATGCTGACGTCAACCTTGGGGGCAGCGGAAGCAGTTCCCAAAGCTCTCGAAACCACTCCGCCCTCGTTTTGTCTGTCCATCAAGCCGTCATCCCTTCTTTCTTCTCCTCTGTTTCTTCCCCTCTCTCCAGGAAACTTTGCTTGTGTTTCCAATTGCCCACTCCCCTCTAAATCGCGAACTCCAACACCAGACTCGAGTCTCCCCCTCAAGCGCTCCTTCTGCTGCTCCTTCTCGTACAGTTCCCGCTCTAGCACGATGAACTCCTCCAGCGACTGCCGCAGCTCGCTGGTGCCTTCCGCTCTCCTTGGAGCTTCTGCTCCCCTTCCTCCTTCTTCCGGATTGTGCGGCCGTGTCAGGTCGGCTCTCTCGTCCAGAATCCGCAAGGCTTCCCGCGCGTCGCCGCTCCTCGCGTCCTCCAATGCCACGAGCTGCTCCAGAACCTCCCGCAGGTCCATCCCCGGAACCTCCTCCGAGAAATCCGGCGCTGCTTCTTCGACACGACCCGCCGCACCTTCTTGACCTCCCCCCCGTACGTCCTCCGCCCGTGAAGAGTTCACAAGCTCCTCCGATGGGCCCCTCAAATCTCCCCGCGCCTGACCCCCCCGCTCAACAAACGGGCTGTCCTCGCCTATCCTTGGCAACCAGCCCCCTAACCCGCCGCTAACTCTAACCCCGCTTTCTTCCCCTTGAACACCGGGGCCTCCATCTGCTGACACGTGGCCGGCTTCCTCAGGCAACGGGGGCCTCCGAGTCTCAGCTCCGGAGGCCCCTGCCGATGATTCCTTTGCCCCTACCTTTTCGTCTGCTTCCGCTGCAGCGCCTTCTTCCGTTCCGGCTCCCTGTTCCGCTCTGGATCCGTCTGGCCGTGGCTCCACTGAACCCCCCGGGTGCCGTTCCCTGCTATCCTGGGCCAATACTTCAATCTCTTCGGGAGCCGTTTCCGGACGCTGAGCCGATGCTGCTTCGGACGAAGCCCCGGACGGTCCGTCAAGCTCAGCGGAGGACGTTGAGGCCTGAGCCGTTGCTGCTTCAGCAGGGGCCGGCTCCGGTCGCGCTGAGGCTGCTTGCACCGGCGCGCGCTCGTCCGAAACGGCTGCGGTCGGACGTTCTCCCGGACGGCCGCTTGGGGCAGCTGCGAAGCGGGCGTGACTTTCAGACCCCATAAACTCGAAGCGTCCAAGAAAAGTGAGCGATAAGGGTTGTACAGCTGTTTACGAAAGTTTGGTGTTCCAGCAGTCCGGTGACAAGGCTCACACAGAATTGGCAGGTCGCTCTACGACGAGCCTCTCTTAACGCTTGAGGTTATGGAATTTTCATTGCCGACTGGCCTACACCATGTTTCCAGAGCTTGTTGAAAAGGTTCAGCTGCTTCAAAACCGTGCAGGCGCAAAAAAGATTCTAAAGCAAGCTCAGAACGATCGCTTAGCAGCAAGCGCAACTTGCGACTAGGTGCAGTATGGGACACACGAACAATCAAATAAGAGCCGCAAAGTGCAATCTTGAAAGGAGGCTACGTCGGTTCACCGGAATTCAAACGAAAGCCCAAGCACTTACCAAGTCCTTCTATCTCTTCTTGTAGCGATGCCGCCTGTTGCTCCAGAGGTTGCGTCGGTAGCGTGCCCTCTTCGTCGATTGGAAACAGAGCCCGCTGTCTCTCCAGACCCTCGGCGCGCCTGGATCGGGCAAGCGCAATGGCCGCCTCCTTGCGTTGCTGCAACAGGGAGTAAATGATTCTTACATTCGCAAGCCGAAGAATAGACAAAGCCTGCCAAAGAATAGACGCATTTGAATATTCTCCGAAGGTTCATGATGATCGAGCAGGTTGTTCTGTTTGCGAGGACAGCGGTCTGCTATTGTTGAGGTGCCTCTCGGGAGTCCCAACTGATCCGAAAACCTGGCTCGTCAAACAATAATGAGGCGCTTGGGAAGAAAGTTCAGAAATTAGCATATTTAGGGTTTCAGTAAATGGAGGCCATGGCACTCGGTGCGACGTATATCTTTCTATCGAACCAGAGCGTGTTAGACCGACACAAAGTCTTCGTCTCACAGGTGGAACTCGTGATGCGCGCTGTCATCGTCCGGACCAACAGAAGGCTGGAAAGCAAGCTTAAGGCAGCAAAACGTCAAATACCGACGTTCCTCCTTCGCTTTCAAAGGTAGGCCCATGCTCCAACCACACTAAGCCTCTCATAGGTCACCATTGACCTACTGCTCATTTCCCTTCCGCCGGCTTCGAAGCTCACCCTCCAAACGCCGATTCGGAAGTGCGCCGCGGCCTCCCTCTCGACGGTCCGGCTGTGCGTCTCCCTCCGCTCTCGTTCTCGTCTCTCCTTTTCCGCCTCGATGCGCCGCCGCTCGACCTCCGCCGCCACGCGGCTGTCGTCCAGGCCCTTGATGTGAACGTTCGGGGGAGGGAACCTGCGCAAAAGCAACGAATATTATTGTCAATATCAAGCTTCCGACAAGCGTACCAACTTATAAGTTCAGCAATTCCGATGCATTGTACTCTTTCGAATCGAGTCGCTTTATCAGCAGGCTGCCAAGAAGTGTTCGGAGCATTTGCAGAGTGCGTTTTTCGGCCTATCCAAGGCAAATTTTAAAGGGAAGAAGTGCTCAGAATGCCAAGAAATCTTCCCGGCACATTTGCAAGCCTCTCGACCATTGTCGTTTCGACATACATTAAAGAAAAGCGATTAGAGGATGCTGACCTTTGGAGTTGGTACAGTATTATTTGTTGATTGCAAACAAGGTGAATGCTCAAAAGACTCAAGTCATTCAGGGATAGATGCACCGCAGGTATTCTGTGTCACATGTGAGACAGTAAAGGCAGATTCCTACAGAAAACCGCGCTTCATCGTGACTGAGTTTCTTACATGCCAATATCATGTGTTTGCCCAGGCTACTCTGTTGTCTTTTGCTCAAAGAGACTCCCTGGCTGAGTAAACTGTTATCTTACTTGACCACTTGCTGCGGAGGCGCGTTTTCGGCGCCCGGGATGTTGGTCAGCGGCGTCCGCTCCAGCAGCTGCCGGTGCAAGCACGTGAAGCGGAACGCGTCCAAGTCATCGATCACCGGAAGGATCCGGGGCTCGCGCGTCGCTGCTGCAGCTGCCTCCGCTCGCTGTCTGCAACGCGCAGAATTTCCGGCTCAACGTTTTGTGTTGAAAAAAGAGTCTTTTCCTTGTGCAGCGAGGCAACCTGTCAGAGCCACCTTTTGGGTGAGGCAAAAAATCAAGATACAATATTGTCGGGGTCAGACTTGACAGTCAAAGTGCGTATCTTCGCTCCCCAAAGTTGGAGCGAAGATCAAACGAAACTTTGTTTCCGGCGCAGCCCAGCCGAGTCTTGTGATAACAACCAAGAATCGGAATCAGAATGAGTTAATCAAAACGTAACCAGAAGAAAAACGAGAACTATGGCTGTCTCGATGATTTGAAGAGTCCTCTCTCTTTTAAGCATCTACCTGGCCTCCAAGCCTTAGCCCCAAGCAACCGGCTCGGTCCGAGAAAGGGTCAGTGTATGAATGCAATCAAAGGGGCTTGTCAACGTGGAAAAGCAGGATCAGTGCGGAAGCTTCTCATCTGTATTTTGGTGCCCCGTGATTGTGACGTTCACCGTGACAACTTGCGTGGTGAAGATCATTTTACGTTCCCCCGCTCGGCTTCCCGACTGAGAACATTGCTTTGACATCAAAAGCCAGAGATATTTTCTTGCGATACCAAGCGACTCGAGCACATCAATCAGACGAAGGCAGTGCCTATCTCAAAAACCAGAAGGCTGATCTTTCAACATTGGGGGCCGGGTCGCTTTCGAATTGAAGGGGCTGATAGGGACTCAACCTGCCAGCGTGGCACTATTTAACCCTTTGATGATTATCGGAAAGTCTCACGACTGAGTGTTTAAGCGGAGGATTTACTGCCAGAGCTGGCGTGATCGACTTTCAAGCCTTCCAGTTGACGAGGACCTAAGCAGCGTACCAGACCGATGGAAACACACTATGTCCTCCCTGTGCAGCATGCAGAGATGTGGGAAGTTACATACCTGAGCTCTGCATTCCGAGCGGCAATTTGCGCAAGCGCCCTCTCCATGCGCATCGTCTCTTCCATTGCCTTGCGCCGTGCTTCCGCGGCCCGCTGCTCAGCTTGGAGCTCAGTTCTCCTACTTTGCTCCTGTAGTGGAAGTTGTGACGAGCAGGGTTAGGCTCCACCAGTGTGGTTGACCGCGGGCGTCTCCCTCAAATAGCTCTATGTCAAATACAGTTTTACCAGAACGTTCATTCTATGAGCTCCATTTGTGTGTTTCACCAGGACAATCTCCCATGTAGCTCGATTCACAACACCAATACGTTTTCGTCTTCTCTTGTGTGTCATGAGTCACAGGCGGAGAGTAGGAATTTAAGGTTGCCGAAATTCCCATCATCTTTGTTGCAGTGCGGCACATTCAACTTTCGAGCGCGATTTAGACTTCTACCTGCCTCAGGAAAGTTCCATTCCAGATTGACTGTCTGAACGCTTCAGATCCACATCTTCCTCTACAAGCGCAACACCGCATCATTATCCTCACAAGTGCACCCTTCGCACTCCAACTAGGATCAAGCGGCCAGCTGAATTGCAGCGTACGGGTTGACACATCCACTAAATCGCTTAAAAGTGGCACTGATAAGCTCACCTCTCTTAGCGCCCCTTGGAATCTCGCTTGGGCGTTGCGCAGGTTTTCCACAGCCTGCACCGCTGCGGCCTCGGCCCTTTTCGCCTTCTCCTCAACAGCGTCCTGCGCCTGCCGCTGGCTGCGTCCCACGTCCGCCAGCGCGGCCGCCAGCTCCGCCTCTAGTTCCTCAATCTTCTGCTGCCGCTCTAGTTGCCATTGATTCTGGATATCAGATAAGGGAAAGGGGTTGCTTCAATGACTACAAGATATAGGTGGGGCGTAACTAGACCTTTCCTGGAGCGGCCAGGGCAGTAGCCGAGAAGTTGGCGGAACGTTTTCAGTCCGCCTCCTCTACTCCTGCTCAAGATGTCAACTCCCGTGTTTCCGGCTGTCTCGCAACAGTTCGAAGTAAGCATGTACTGTCAGTCTGGAAGAACTCCGATAGGGCCAGCTCTGTGTTGCAGAAAAGAAGGTTCTAACAACAGTGCGCTCAACTTTTTAAGAATCAACATTTACGGCAGAAGGCCAGCTAAACAAGACTCTTCAGCCCTTGTCCACCTTGGGAGTTCAACCTGCATCCTTATCAAGTACTCGGTCTTTCAATGTAGTCCAGCCGCTGCTTTGCCGACGCAAACGCTCTGATTGTGAGCAACCCTTCGTACAAAACCGTCCTGACTCCTTGGGGGCTTTGCAAGACCTCCTGAAGCCTGTAAAGTCATTACTAAAACCCCAAAAGCGTTCTGCTCTATATGCACAACCTTTCCAAACAGCATCAGACATCGGCTTCAGATTCTGCAAACCTCCTCCTTCGCCCCTTGAGTGCTTGCTGCAGGACTTTTACCACCTGAGGTAAGTCTCTGTGGCTTAGCTTTTCATGGTTCGCCCCTCTTTCTAGATGTCCTGAGGACACTCATTCACTCACCTCAAGCTGTTGAGCCAGACGCTGCTGACCGGTGGTCACTTGTGCTCGAAACTCTCTTACGCGATGTGCAGCCAAGATTGTGTCCTGGCGGCGAACCTGTAGATGTCAACAAGGGTCAGCTGTGCTTCCAGCCCCAACTGCAAGCAGATCATCACGAGACAAAAAAGGCAGCTCCTGGAGTCCTGCATTCCTTTAGTTACCCTTCACAATCTCCACACTGGCTACTAGCATGTTATTTGAAGCGATGACATTGCCCCAACATGTATGAACCAGGTTTTTCACTTATACCCATTCACTTCATTCGACCTTGGCCCGTAGAGAGTGCTTGCACGACTAAAGATGCCCGAAGTGCTACAGAGTAAGGTCATGTAGGTTGCTTTTCAGGTTTGCCAATTGCAGGTCCAAAACCCTAATTTCTGAGGAAGTCTTCTTACCTGCAGCAAGCGCTCCTTCCGTGCTCTGGAGCGCTGCTCCTCAATGAGCTTCATCTCCTCTTCGCTGCTAAGCACCTGAAGCCGTCTGCGGCGGGTGCCCTGACCAGAAAATGCACACCAATGTTTACTTCTTCCCAGTCTGATTCTTAATAACTTTGCTTTCCAGGAAAAGTTTGTGCTCATTTTTGATGGTAATCAGTCGCAACAAGCAATTGAAGAGGTTTTCCAATAGCTGGCATAGCTTGCAAAACTTACCACGATCATGCCAGTTGTTTCCCTCAAAGAGCGGCCGCCCCAGTCCCCGCTGTTTCAATCAGATGGACTCCTAAATGCTGCTGGGCTCAGACGACAGTGGAACAGTTTGTAGTCACCATCAAGCAGCATGGCCCCACAATACCTACTCGCCACCAACGCCAAGTTTACCTACCTTCGACCTACCTACATTCCCCCATGCTAAGGTGTCCTGCGAGTAGCGACTCTCCGGCCATTGGCATTGGCATTGGCACCACGGTGACCATTGTTGACAGACCATCATGGTCACCATGCAAATTGCAGACTCCAGAGCCAGTAGCAGAGCAGATTTTGAACTTGAAAACATAGGGTGGTCTGTCCCAACACGTGACCATGAAATCTGCGCCAGATTTCCTGACACCTGAAACATGCATGCAGGAAACCGCAGGCTGCAGGGAACTGGTTAGGACCAGGTTAGTGTCTGGTTAGCCAGTTGCAATAATTCTTCGACAGACTGCATCCTGGGCACCTGGTTAGCACAGGTTAGTGCCGTCATTTCGTCAAGACCAGTGTAGCAAGCTGTTCGACGTCGAGCGACTTCGAGGCGACGCCGTGCTTCTTCTGGAGACAACGCGTTATAACTTGGTGGCTGGACTTTGTCGACTGTTCCAGAACAAGGCCTTTTGTAACCTTTGTCGTCGAAAGTCTTCTCAGGTCCAACTTCCAGAATGATGCGCAACGGAAGCTTCAAGTTCAAGTACAGGCGTACAGGCTGCTGAACGGCTTCTTCCTTTCAGACTCGGTATTCCGCAGCTGCTGGCACCAGTTGCAGACTTTCAAAGAACCTCGCAGGGCTCCTTTTTGTCAGCTGCAGGCTGTCAGCAGCAGCAGAAGAAAAGGCAGATTGTCTCTGTGTGATTGGACGCCTTTTGCTCTCTGAGAGTTGCTGCTTCTTGAAATCTAGCTGACGAGCAATTGTCTGGTTTTCCTCCATCTTTCTGAAAGCTGTTGCAATGGCTGAGGATCACGGGCCTGTCATCATTGTGACCAGCAAAGCGCACTGGGACCAATTGCATCAGGAGAATGCGGGGTCCACTGTTGTGGTGAGTTGCGTACACCTTTGTGCGCTGTTTGTTGCTTCTGGTCATTGTTTTTTTGTGTCCATGCAGATTGCATGATAGAGATGCATCCCAATCGAGCAATCGATGAGTTGCTTCTGCAGTATGGATTTATCGCAAACATCCAGGATACTAAGTCTATGCTGTCTACTTTAGACACGCTCTACTAGTGCTTGTGTTCGGCCGCTTCTGCCAGCAGCTTATTTGAGTAGTTTGGCCTGCCATATTGTTACTCTGACATATTCAGTATCGAGTGCGGTGTGAAATCGTTGCAAAGTCAGTGCTCACTTTGAGGGTCTCGATTTAGATTTGTTGAATCCTTTCTATCAGAGGTATTGATCCAACAGAACGCTTTCAGCAAACCGACATGAGTAGGTTTCCAGTAGATATGACAATATTAGGATGCAGTACAGACAATTCCATCTCCAACTGTCTCTTCAGGTCGATTTTTGGGCCACATGGTGCGGGCCATGCAAGCACATTGCTCCCGTCTTCGTTGAATTGGCAAAGCAATACCCGCATGTGGTGTTCCTCAAGGTGGACGTGGACGAGAACCAAGTAAGTTCTCAGCTCAAGCTATCGTTGTCCTTGCGTCTGTCTTTCCAGCTTTCCTGCCTCCATTTGATCTGGTTTATGTTTCTGCAGCTTATTACTTGAATTTATGGATCTGTGCTGCCGGTATAGGAGCTTACAGCCTTCTTTGTGGCGGAGGCAGCATTTTGGCTGGTACTGGCAGGCATAGTATACACCTGGGCCTCATACATAGTTCAGCCAATCTGCCATTGGGAATGTCCTGAGTCGCAGCTTTTAGGGTTTGTCCATTCGGATCCATTCAAAATATATGTTGGCTGCCTAAGGTATCCCTGATGAGCAATCAGCATTTCAGCTAATGACAGCCAACGACTGTCACGAGTTTGGTCTGGAGCTTGAGGAGCTCACAGGAGGATTGTAAAACCGAGCACTTGCAAATCGCCCGCCAACTACAGTTTGAAGTGATTTTAGGTTTGGGTGAATGCATACACGGGCTACTTCTGTTGCTTGATCGTGGTAGTGGAGCACATGTATTCAAAGCCCCAGTCTGTTTGTTGCGCAGGACATTGCTCAGATGGAGGATATCAGTGCCATGCCAACTTTCCGTGTCTACAAACGCGGCAATAAGATCGACGAGCTGATTGGGGCAAGCAAAGAGAAATTGGAGCAACTGGTAGCCACGAACTCCTAGGCAAATTCTTGGGGAGTGTACATACTGCTCATTCATCATGCCCTCACTTCCTTGTATAGAGGAGCAGCACAAATAGTACTCACTGTAGTGAGAGGTTACTGAGAAAGGTGAGAGTTACTGAGAAAGGTCATGCTTTGAGATAGTGCAGTGTGCATCAATCAGCTTTTGATCTTCAAGCGGACAGAAAAGCTTGAACTCAACCAACCAAAGCCATGGAATTGTAACGTACTCCAAACAAGAGAGTAGCCTAGTGGGAGCATGCCCGCCCATATCGCGTATCAAAAAATATGTAAGAAAACTCAGCGGTCGATTGGCAATACAATGCTATGACATCATGACTCAACAACTCGTACTGCTATAGGTATCCAATTTTAGAGGCGCGGCTTGTGTACGGTATCTCAGGCATTGATTTGCAGAGGCCTTGAATCCCAGCGCATTACATTGGGTTATGCATGTGCGCCCTCAGTCTAATCCATGTACACTAAATTAACCCATCACATGGACGGTAGTTATTGGAAGCAGCCCGCCCTTTCGTGTCGTGTCAACTAGCTTCGATCTTAAGATTCAGGAGGTTGATGCAGCAGCTTGAGCCGCCCCCGATTTGAACGACCCCACTGACATTTGCTCCAACAAACCAAGTCCCCAACGCGCGACCTAGACCCCTGCCTCGCAATTAGCCCGGCCCCCACATTGCACGCCTACGACAACGACTTTCCAAAGAACCAGCTCCTCGCAATTCGAACCACAAACACCGAGCGAAGCTTGTCGGCCCCACACAAGCCTTGCAGTGCAGAACTTGCTATGCAAAGCAGACTACCCAGACGATACAATCAATCGGGCGCAGCGCCGGCGGGAGCACGCGGCGCACGGCCATCTTAATGATTGTGCGATTTGTCCACGATGTGCATGCGCGCGGAACCTGCTGTCGCATCTTTCCCCCGAGCCGAACAGCACCATAACTGCCCCGTGTCTTCAAACGCAAGGTTTACCAGTGTCCCGAAGCGAGGGGCCAGCGTCTCTGCTGTTTGCGTCAGCCATTGTGGGCCGGCCCAATTTTTCTCACAGCGGCCACATAGACTTAGGCGGGCCCCTTGTGTCACGCGAGGTGCCTTCTTTTGATGCCACTGCGCTCAAATACAATAGCACGCCGGGACGTGGATCATGCATGGCAACGCATCCTCGACACCTGCGGCGTACCGAGGCCAAAGACTCTATAATAGAAGCACCGATCTGAATATAGTAAAACCAACTAATTGGTTGTAGTCCTCATCTTATAGATGGTGATTTAAACGTTGGCTGCTTCAGCTATAGCGACAACACACACACAGTGCAAATGCAGCACGTCATCGGTTCTCTGGTTTCTGGGTTCTTAGGCTGTCCAGGAGTTCTTGAAAGGACATGTGTCCCCGAACAGCATTAACACTGCCCTGTACCCGCACTCCGCCCCATGCCTTTGATACGCACGGGCTTTAAGACAAATGTCCATGCAATGGTTGGTATGTGTCGGACACATCGCACGCAGTTGATATATTGCTGGGATGTCATGGGCATGCTTCCTACACCTCCATTTGCATTGGATACAATGAACCAGGTAATACGACGTCAACTTGATGAATTATCTGAGTCAAGTCAAACAGTGCGACAAATTTCCACTTGACATGGCAACGAGAGCCCTTGCCCAGGAATTAGAGCTGCGATGCACAGCATGCGCAGCCAATGATGCGCACAGTTAAAGTTTGTAATCCTTTTGGACCTTCTTTTCACCTTCACAACTGTTCCAGTACAATTTCACCGACCATATCCGACTCCAGTAACCATCTATAACCAGGGTAAATCCGCGGTAAACCCACACCGGGGCTAGAACCACGGATGCCACGTGGGATCCATCATACACAAGTGAGTCGGCATCGACGCCTCCGCGACCAACTCCGTGACGCCCCTCTGCACCGACAGCGGCACTTGCTCCGTCCCCTCCCCCTCCTCGGCATATGTCTGCGGGGCGATGGCCTTGACACGTGCCAGCACGTGGTCCACGTTCATGCCCACCTTCTGCTTGAGCTCGCCCGTCGTGAGCTGCAGCGTGCCCGTGGCGGGGGGCGCGGGCACGCGCTTGTACGACCATGACGTCAGCTCGTCCCGGAAGAACATGGCCAGCTGGCTCTCGATCGAGAACTGCGGCCGAAAGGACACAGAAGGCTCAGTAAAGGGGATTACGAAGTACAAGTTGGACGAACTTTGACCTATTTACAACATCAGATTTCCTGCAACCATTGCGAGGCAGCGCACCATTCAAATCCAGACCCAGACCCAAACCCAGACCCAAACCTCATCAAAGTCAAACCCTCACCTGGGGCGCCACGGTTGCCTGGGCGGCCGCGCACATCGACGCCACGAACAGCCCCTCGACGCCGAACGACGTGAAGAACGTCTGCAGGTTCCGCGTGAGCCGGAACGGAACCGGCTCCTTGCACTCGACCAGCCCGTTGTCATTGTAAGTCGGATGGAAGTCGTTCTGGAAGATCTTGCCGGTGTTGGTCGCGAAGAGCGTCTTGTTGGGCGAGCGCGCGCCAATGTGCAGCATGTAGGACATGAAACTAGAGAGGGCGAGCTGCGCCGCGAACTGCTTCTTGAAGGTCCACAGGTGGTTGCATGTGGGCAGGGTTTTGTACATGAACTGTGTGGAAAGCAAGGAAGCAGATTTGAGCTGGTGTTGGTGAAGTGCTTGGAGTTAGGATTTTGTGGCAGTCACGCTTCGGCCCTCCAATACACTGGGCCCCCCTTCAACACCAGTTTCTAGACACCGGCGAAAATTTAGATTGGTTAAATAGTCCCTCCTGGTACTACGCAGTCTCAAATCCACCCAATCCAGGATCTCCCCAGTGCCCTAGAAGCGGGAACCATTGTTTTCTCATTCTCCACTTACGGGTGAGAAGACATTTCCGCGGACGTAGTTTCTTGGTAACAGTCTTGTCCGTATTCAAAGGGATCACAGGCTATGACCAGGAATCTGCTGGCACTATACGTTCTGAATACTGATTCAAAATGTCGCCCACTTTTGCTAAACGCGGGGACAAACTCTTGTTATAGCCCCCACTTACCTGCGAGAAGACGTTTTCGGACACGTGGTTCTTGGTGATGCTCTCGTACGTCTTGAGCCGCAGCTCCATGATGGCCTCCTGCGTCATCGTCCCCGCGATCGCCTGGTTCAGCTGCTCCTTGAAGAACGTGATGGGCAGGTCCGCCTCGCGCCCGTACCGCGCGCAGCTGATCTCGTACACCTCGCCGAACGTGTTGAACGACCGCTCGTCCTCCACCAGACGCACCTAAACCAAGGGTTAGGGGTTTAGTTAGTTAGTTAGTTGGTTAGTTAGTGGGCTATTCAAGGGTTTGGTTCAGGGTTCAGTGGACTGGTTTCTTGGATTGTGAAGCTTGCAAGTAATCGATCCCGTACACCTCACCGAACGTGTTGAACGACCGCTCGTCCTCCACCAAACGCACCTGCAGAAGCAAAGCTCCAATTTGTGGTTAAACAGACACCAAGGCACTTTGAACGGCAGACTCCATAACCTCGAGGTGCATCCATCCTCAAGAGCCTTAGACGAGCCCCTTCTGCGGTCAGTCGGGGCAGCGTTGGGCGTGTGAAACGACTTGGTGGGTCTCGACATCCGTTACCTAGAACGCCTTCTGGAACAAGCTATAAATCTTCTTTGAAAATCTACCTCTCAGCGATTCACAGAACACACCCGCCGCAAGACGGGCCACATGTTGGGCGCCTTTCGGTGCAAGTAATCATTCCTTTTTCATGCCCTAAATCCCCTGCAAGCCTGATTCAACAGTACTCTCAAACACCTGAAACGCGCCCACCTGCGGCCAGACGGGGCAGATGATGGGCGCGTGGAAGGCAAGGTGGCGCCGCCGCGACTCCTTGTGCTTGTCCAGCAGCCGGTTGAGCACCCGGAACAGCTGCACCATGCGCTCGTCGCTGCGCGCGCTCAGCGTGAGTGACGTCTGCACCAAAAACTGCTTCACCGAGCCGTCGCTGCCGATCATCGTCAGGCGGCGGTGCGTGGTCCCGTGCCGGCGCACGACGGGGACGTCCGCGCCGATGCGGTCCAGCTTCACCGTGTGGTCGGGAGCAATCTCCTGGGGAGAGAATCATGTACAGATGTGGTTTTGTTGACTTTTAGTGGTCGGGGCAGTCGCTTGGGTGAAAGGTAGCGGTGAGGCAGACCGGAATCTGTCCGCGCCGATGCGGTCCAGCTTCACCGTGTGGTCGGGGGCGATCTCCTGGGGAAAAATTTACTTGGTAAGAACTGGGATTCTGTTGATTCTGATCTGATTGTAGGGCAAAGCTCTTCTCGAGAACGAGTGGCAGTTGAAACGGTGTGATAGCATCCAAGGTTAGTCCAACGTGCGAAAATGATGTCGTGGGCGCTGGGCGCAAATGCCCGAGCAGGTAAGAGCAGCCAAATCCCCTCACAGTACCCGAACGCGATTACGAACCCACTTGCAAGCACTCTTTATAGCACGGCCAGCGCACGCAAGTCCCTGCATGCATCTACTTTCCTATTACGCAATCTTGTTGGCACCTCTTTGGAACCACGCACGACTTCCTCCAAAACCGGGAATGCCCTCATCCCTTAGACCCTGTGATCCTCAGAAGCCTGAGCTCGTGCAATTCGGAATCCTCACCTGGTCGTTAAGGTACTGCCCCGGCACCTCGACGTCCAGCACGTGAAACTCGCGCAGCGCGCGGCTCTCCTCCTCTAGTTTCATCACGCTCGGAAGCCGCTCCTCCACGTTCCGCTGCAAGGAAACCAAGGGCTCAAACTTCAACCCGCAGAAAGCGTGGGTGCTGGAAATTTTAACGTCTGGAACATTTCACCTGAATGTCAAGAATAACTGTCTGGGCTGAAGCAGAGAGTGGGTCACGAAAGGTAAGAAGGCATTTTCGAGAGAACTGGAGATTTGTGGGTTTCAAGGATCAGAGTGCACGCACTGCGTTGGAGGCGGCGCCGCTTCTTCGACGAGACTCGTCGCATCCTGCCGCGTATGCCAGTCAGCAGTCTGGATCCGCCTCAAGAGGTGCTTGTGATCTGAAATAAGTTGCCACTATAACACACACGAGAACAAGAAGCTGAACACTTGACTAGGAAAACAGGAACGCACCTGCAGGATGGTCTTCCAGGCCTTGAGCTTTTCGGTGAGCTCCGCGAGCGTGGCCGGGAAGTTGCGGCTGTCGGGGTTGAGGTCGTTCTCGAACTCCTGCTTGTACTCTTGCACGAAGTCGTTGTGCTTGTTCACCGTGTCCATCGAGAAGCACGCGCGGCACACACCTGGCGGATGGCGAAAACTTTGATTTGATTCGTTTCGGAGAATTGTGACTATGTTTGGAAATTTCAATCAAGAGGAGAATGAAGACCACCGCCCTCTTCGCGACAGAGAGTGCGAGCCAGAAGAGCATGCGACTCTGTAGTTGGTCTAATCGTCACACATCTCGAAGACACGCGCGAGTGGCTACGCCTGCAGAACATGAAAAATGCTCAACACCAGAGCTGATAACAAAAGGGAAGACTGTAAACCAAAAAATCGTGTCTGAGACGTCTAAGATTATTGTGGATGGTAGCTTTAGGAGATTTGTAGTGACACTGCAGCGTCCAAAGTCATCGAAGCACCACGCGAAAGAGAAAGCCGAGAAGGAGTATTTTACATGGGGTCTTGAAGCAAAGAGGAAAAGCAAAAGTCCTTACCTGAGAGCTCCTTCTTAAGGTGCTTAGGCACTTCGGAGGTGGTGGCCGTTGGGACTTGTAGTGACACTGCGACATTTGAATCCCTTATAGCACCACGTAGAAAGAAAGCGAAGGAGGACTTAAACACGGAAATTCCAGAGCAACAGCAAATGAAAAGAGCCTCCTTACCCGAGAGCTCGTTTTTGAGATGCTTGGGCACTTCTGAGGTGGTGGCCGTTGGGAACTTGTAACAGCGGTGCAGCAACGCGTGGACTACGGCCAGCAGGCGCTCCTCGGGGAGGGGCACGAACCGGCTCCCGATCTCGGTTAGCATAACCTCCAGCTCGGTCGCAAGGTTTTGGTGCGCCAATCTGCAGGATGATGGGTTAAGGTGGGTTCAGTCGTGTAGCAGGATGCTTGGGAGGGGATGCTTCAGCCCACAAAACAAAATTGAGGACGGGTTATGACTTGCTAAGGAAGATAGAATCGTCACTGAATGAGACGGCTGCAACCGGTTAGGCAGAGACCGTGAAGTGTTCTTACAGTCTCAACTGCACCTCCGGTCGCAAGCAGAGTTGCAGACACATACATCCTAGGTTGCCACATCGCAAAATCAAAACTGACCAAATTGACAAGTCAGATTTCAAAGTATCCGTTATTGTAATCTGTTAGCCCCAGCACGCACCTCAGTTTCTCCATCACCTCCTTCGCCAGGTCAAACGCCGCCTTTGCCGCGTACGCCAGCGACCCTTTCGGGGGGGCCGCTGCATCCGGCCCGCCCTGGCTGGACTCACCCCCCTGAACCGAGAGCGCCCCCTGACTCGCATCTCCGTGCCCGCTAACCCCGTCGTCTTCCTGCTTAACCACCGAGCCACTCCCTGACCGGTTTCCTAACCCAGGTCCGGGCTGAGAAGACTGGTCGGGGCCTTGTGTTCCGGGCGACTGGTAATTGAGATTGCCGTCTGAGCCCTGCCCGGTGTGCGAGCCCAGTCCGCCGCGCTGCGGGACGCCCGTGTTCTTGACGGAGTTGGCCATCTCGCGGCGCTCGAGCAGGAAGCAGCGGAGGGAGTAGTAGACGGCCTGGGAGGAAGGAAAGAAAGTACTCCGTTAAGTTCCTTTGTTTGTTATTTTTGTCTTCGAGTCGATTCACAATAATGTGGTTTGAAGAAGTTTGCATACGTCTGTTGACTGTGCGACACTGCGGAACCAAAAACCATTAGGTGCGTTCTAAGCGAGCCCGTCAAGAAACCCGCTTGTCTCTCGAGCGGCCCAAGAGTCAAGGAAAGATAATACTTCAAGCCAAATTCTAGAAACATTAACCCCAAATACATCCAGTATGAGGGTCGACTGCGTGGAACCTTAAGTCTTAAGCCCCTCACGGCTTTGTGACAGGATTCGAGCGAGCTTGTCTGGCACCGCTTTCCGGCGCTCCGAATTCGCCATACATACAAGCACAGCATTTTCGTTTTCGTCTTTCCTCACCTGTGGAAACACTGACGCGAGCTTGATGAGCACCGCCTTGCAGTGCTGCGCCTCCGGCCGTTGCAACGCCAGCAGCAACTGCGGCACCCACGAGAGCCACACCCAATGTGGGATGTTATCCCCGTACTTGTCGAACGCTTTTCCGACTGTCCCTTCCTGGTTGTCGAAGCTCAGAAGATACAGAACGCGCGCCAAATGGTTCCGCCCGTCTGCGCTGCCGTATTTGACGCCTTGGAGGTAGCACGAGACGGCGTACTCGAGCCAGAGCTGCTCGCCGGTTTCGCGGTAGACCTTGTCGCAGTAGTTGCCCCAGCTGACCCAGCCCTTGGGGAGGTGCTTGAAAAGGGAGATGGCCGTCGAAAAAGCCTGGAAAAGAAGGGTTGAGATTTGAATAAAGCAGTCCTGAGGATTCAGAAACGTGGAATTTGAGTAACGGATGACTTGTCGCAGTAGTTGCCCCAGCTGACCCAGCCCTTGGGGAGGTGCTTGAAGAGGGAGATGCCCGTGGAGAACGCCTGGACAAGAATGGGCTTTCAGGATCTGCTTCGAGCGATCTCAAAGCATTGAAGGCACAAAAGTCAGCGACTGGGTAATTCGTTGAGAGTAGTCGCCACGGCTGATCCAGCTCATACTTGAAAAGGGAGATGGCCGTCGAGAAGGCCTGTATAGAAACGGGCACGAGTTGGTTTAAGAAATTTCAATAGGTTAGGGTTCAGGGGTGAAAACTTGTCGCAGAAGTTGCCGCGGCTGAGCCAGCCCTTGCAGAGGTGCTTGAATAGCGATATGGCCGTTGAGAACGCCTGGAAACGAACGGGTTTCCATATTTTGCTATGAAAAGTCTCCAGGTCCAAAGTCACAAAGTCGGACTACTGATCAAGGATTGTCCCGGCTGATCCAGCTCGTGAAAATGTGCTTGAACAGCAAAGTGCCCGTCGAGAAGACCTTGAGACCAATGGGTTTGTCTGACGTCAGCATTCTTGACAAATCAAAGCCCCTTAAAACGAGGAGTAGAATAGTTGTCGCATGGTTTGAGCAGATCAGAGGCATATGGAGTTATAGATTCTGCGACTTGGTGACCTTGTCGAAAGTGCTAAACTTCAGCTCGCCCAATCTTCTGCGAAGGTCCTAGAACAGCGGGATGGCGATTGCAACCCCGTGAAAAAAGATGGTGGTTGCTCTTCAGCCTATGATAATGGCCTCCTCACTCCCGTCTCAACCCGCCCACCTGGTTAGCGTTGTCCCCGTCGCCCATGCGCATGAGGAACTCGCCCTTGAGGCGGAAGATCTCGGCCTTGTGTTGCACGGGGAAGTACTCCAGATTGGTCGTGTTGATCGTGTTCATCCCCGTGCGCAGCTCGCCCTTCATGTCCAAGTACGCCTTCGCCTGCTCGCGGATCTTCACAAACGCCTCCTGTGAACGCAGGCAAAGAGTTGTATTGTATTTTATTCATTACATATCCTAAAAGACATATTTTTGATTCTGGTTGAGACGTTTGAACCGAGGCCGAAGGGTTTGTGGAAACGGGAGCCTGTCGTGAATGTCAGGGACAGAGATTTGCATTCTTTGTCCAAGTACGCGTTTGCCTGCTCGCGGATCTTTAGAAACGCCTCCTGCGGAGCACAGTTGAGAGGGGGATGAAGACACAGATCTTATGAACCAATATCGAGAACCATTGAAGGAGTGATCGCTTGCAACTTGCAGTTCATTTGTATCTACGAATGCCAAGATTCACCCTGCAATTGTAGTCCTTGTCTGAGGTTGTCAAGCTTTAGCCTTAGCCCGCACTACCCACTACCTAAAAGTTCCCACAAATTGAAATAGTTGCGATAGCGTGCCTCAACTGTCGATTGCACCTGTCGGCTTTACAACCACCTACTCTCCCTGCTTTTGTTCAACTGGTGCTTCATTTCTGTGCATCATACCATGAGAAGGTGCTACAGCAGTCAACCAGGATGCCCCGTTGTTTCTACACGAGCTTCTCGGAACAGATTGTGCACTTAAATAAAGCGAACCGCCAAGAGTTTGCCTAGTCAAGCCTTGCGAATGTGAATACGCACCTGGACCTCCATGGTCATAAACCCGTACAACTTATTGAGCACATTCACACAGACCTCCCCGAGCCCTTGCTTGCGCGCCACGTAGGCGAGCTTATTCACACTCCAGGCCTTGTCCCGGAAGCCCAGCTGGTGTAACTGCGGGTTGGTCTCCTGGAAGTGCTTGAACGCGTTGATGATGGTATTGTACCTGAAAACGGACGGCATGAAGAATCCGGGGATATTATACAAGCTACTAACTCAAAACCACCTCCCTTATCCTGTCAAGCAACTCGAGCATGTCATGATTGCGTGTGGTCAAACTGTTGAAGGGGGGACGCATGTGATTTAGCCAACAGATTCTCGGATAACCAGCAGCGGACCGTCGAACCTAGTTCCACTATTCTCTGGCGGAAACCCATAGTAATTGAGAGTCAAAAGCCACAAATGGAGTGGAATGAGGAACGCCGCAATCCATTGCAGGAGCGAAGCCACTGGCATATCCTTGGGCTCCATGCTTTTTTCTTTGAACTTTCACAGGTACCTAACGTTTTCCCGACGTTAGGACCTCTAACTCTGAGGGCTCACATGTCGCTGCGCAACAGGAGTAGGTCGTTCAGACCGTAGAATCCTCTCACTCCTTGGGCACACGTATTCCCCACGTTTCCAGCGTATCCTTGAACTTTGCACTCGTTTTCACTAAGATACGGATATTTTATGCACAAAATTTCAAGGTCCAGAACTGCTAAGAGCTCACATGTGGTTGCGCCACTGGAGAAGGTCGTTCCAGACCGTCAGATCGTCCCACTCGTTGGGCACGCGCAGGCGCCACGTCTCCAGCGTATCCTTGAGCTCCACGTACTGCGGCCCCGCCGCCGGGGGGACCGCCTGCCCTGCCGCCTGGGCCTGTTGAAGCGCGGCCTGCTGCTTGCTGGACTGGTTAATCTCTACCAGCACCTGAAAACGGGTCAAGTAGGGTTGACGGGATCTAGCTCTGCGATGCCCAACAAACAGCCTCATGTCCTGGCAGCATCATCTGTTGCTCGCTGAAATGGTGAATCTCAACCGGCACCTGGAAACGGGATAGGCGGGGTTGATATTACTGACTTTAAAGGTTTGAATTTGAATATGGAATCTTGTCTAGGTTTCAATGCTGACGGCGCTGCCCTGCTGCTTGCTGGCCTGGTTGATCTCCACCATCACCTGGAAACGGGTTAAGCAGGGTTAGACATCCCAAAGGTAACGATTTCATGTTTTAAGATTGTGGTTCAGGTTGCAATGTCTTGACGACTTTGATGGTCCTGCCCGCTTGCCAAGTGGTTGACGTTTACCAGCTCTAAGGGGGAAGACAGAGACAGCGTTTCAGAAGATGGAGTAGAGTTTTGAAAGTCACAGTCTGTGCTTTCGATTGCAGAGGCGTTGGATCTGGCAGCGCCGCTTCTTGCTGATGGTTCAGTTACAAAGCGCTTATAAGTTGACGGACTTTTGGGGCCTGACAAGCTGCTAGGACTGCTGCAGCAGCGGATTGCGACTTTGTGAGTAGAGTTTGGCAGTCGGGGTCTGCAAATGCGATTGGTCAGGTTAAGACTAACCCACTGCAAAAGTGCTGAACCCACATTGGATGACCTGCAGCTCGGGGAGCTGCTCGGACTGCCCCTGGAAACTTTCTGATGGTGCCCATAGAAGGAAAGAAGGGAATGCAAAGAAAATTCTATTCAATCCTCATAACACCCTCGGGGTGCAAGACTCACCTTGGCCGACTCCTGTAACTCGACGAGCTGCTGGAACTGCTGCAGCAGCGGGATGTGGTTCTGCACGCCCAGCTCCGGCAGCTGCCACCACCGCTGCAGCGCCAGCTCCATGCCCTGCGCGCACCGCACGTCCGCCTCGTGCAAGCTCGACATGCTGCCCTCGTGGAGCGCCACGTACGCCTGCAAGTGGGAAAGAGGATGAAATGAGCATGATGCCAGCAGAAACTTAGTGAAGGACGTGCTCGTTGAAGGTGGTTGAAAGTGATTTCACGACCTAAAAGCACCGCACAGCTGCCTCGTGCAGTCTCGACATGCTGCCCTCGTGGAGCGCCACGTATGCGTCTGTGAGGAAGGATGGCGTCAGCGTGACGCCAATGACAACCTGGTAAACAGAGCGTTTGTCAATAGCAGATTTTGCGACTTGGACGCAATGCACGTCCGCCTCGTGCAAACTCGACATGCTGCCCTCGTTGGAGCGCCCCGTACGCCTGCGGAGGGGGGAAAACGAACTACGTCAGCATGACGTGGGGAAGAGAGCGCTCCCGACAATACGATACATTCTACAGATATGAGCACCGTACGTCCGTTCCGTACGGGCTCGACATGCTGCCCTCGTGGAGTCGCAAGTATGCCTGTGGAAGCAAGACGATGACGTCAGGAGGGAATATGGAAACGGTACGGACAGCGTCTCATCGTTCAGTGCCTTCGTCAACACGAAGCACGGAAGCATCCTCTTCCAGAGCTTCTGCTTACGCCCTGTTTTCGAGATGCTGACCCGACCTTTAAGACGAGCTTGATGGACGATCCCTGCTGCTTAAAGCCCTTCACTTCTTCAAAAAGGCGGTTCTCCACCTATCGAGTTGTTCTTTATTTGTCAAGCACATTGTCCGACGACCAAGAACTTTTCATACCCGCCGATCCCCAAAACCCACTGAACCCTATCAAAACGCTCGTGACAAGAAGGTGGTCAAGGGAAAAGCAGCCCCAAAGAATACAGAAGTACAAAAGAAAAACCCTCGCCTCCTGACCTGGACCATGCGCAGCCGCGGCGTCTCCTCGACCTGCGCTTTCGGCAGCACGTTGTCTTTCAGCGCCGGCCAGTCCGGCAGCTTCCATAGCGTATCCATCAGGATGTCGTAATTCTCTACGGACCGTCCGAAGTCCGCCAACAGCTCCCACTGGTTGAGCCGCTTTGCGCTGGAGATCCACTGCTCTTCCCAGAGGCACATCTCGGCTTTCAAAACGGTCGCGTCGAAGCCGCCCTGCGCGGAGCGCGTCATCCCGCGGTAGAAGACCTCCTGCGCGCGCTGCCACATGCCGTGCTGGACGAGCGATCTGGACAGACGGGGACCCAGATTGACAACCCGCAATCTCGGTTCCAGGAGACTTGTAGAATATGTGGGTTGCTTCGCGCTTTGAATTGCTCTTCGAAATTTCGTGAATTTTCTGAAAGCTCAACAGGTGCGGATCCCCGTTATGAAACGACCAATTTGGGCTCCAAAGAAGCTCGCTTTCTGGACAAAGAGTCGAGAATATTGACCTCCGACTGCATATCACGTCCGAAAGCATGTTCGAGCGTCGAGCGAACGGTTGCACGGAGCGAAGAGTCCAACGGTTGGCGAGTCCCAAATTTGTGCACCCTTCAACCCCTGAAAGTGGAGGCGTTTACAGGACGGCCCTTATAGATCAAGCAGATAGGAAAGTTCCGAAACCCCTATACATCGAGCCATGGTAGCGTTGGAGACGAACAAACTGTCGGCTTTTCTGAACACTCAGAATAACACTTACAGGCCGGCCTTCGTTTCTGCGGTGAGCGCGCGCCGCTTCCACAGCCCGTACAGCACGTCCTCTTCATTCAACAACCGGTACAGCTCCCCGAGCGCGTCGAAGCAGCGGCTCTCGCCCGGGAACAGCATCACGTGGCTCTCCAGGAGCGGTATAGCTATGTGCCACGCATTATACGTCTTGCCCAGGAACTTGATAAGCTCCGACGGGAACTTGGGCTGCGGTTGGCTGAGCGAGATTCCTTCCAGGAGCGCTTGGACCACGTTCGGCCGCCGGTCTAGTTGCTTCGTGTGGTACTGTTTGGAGAGAAGCGCGATCATGGGCTTGGCGAGTTGAACCTGTTCGGACTGTTGGAGCGTCGCCCATACGATGGGGAAAATGAGGACCCACATGTGGTACGCAACCTGCAACGAAAAGGCGAGTCCTAAGTAAGAGAGAAGATGATCGAAGTATTGGCAAAATCATCGATCTGAACGGACTATATACACTCAAAGTTAAATCAACCTCTAGAGCATGTACTCGAAGTCAAAAAGGCTCTGGTGCACACTTGGTGTTTGGGTACAGACGTTGGCTTGCGTTGATTGCAGAGACTCCAGATCGAGCTCCGGCACAATTGTATCCTCTCCAAGTTCGTATGCTGTGGATATATCAGGCAAACTCAGGCTGTTACCTTTACTTATGACGTCAGAGCCACCAAGACAAAGTTCACTTCGCAAGAACCACGATGCCTCCGCAAGCAGCAGGAAAGCAGTGCGAAGATACCTCTGATATCTCCTTTCAGAAAAAAGAAAACTTCTCAAACATCGCCCGATAACGCCCTCACCTGAGAGTCGTAGTGTGCGAGCTCCCTCAGCGGAAGGATGAGATCCGACACCTGGAGTTTGGCCACGTCATTCAGGAACTTGGCGTGCTTCGTTAGCAGCCCGTAGAACGTCATCTCCTTCTCGCCCTCAGCCCCGCCCGCGCTCTCGTCCGTTTGCTCGACCGCCTCCGGGGCCCTCATCGGGGTGTCTACCGGGACGGGCTTTTCGGGCAATGAGCCCACGACCATGAGCGCCGGGACCTGCGGGTTAGAGACGGGGTTAGCAACAGGGCTTGAGCTCGACGTGTTGCGGGTTGACAATGGGAACGGGCTTTTCAGGCAGTGAGCCCACGACCATTAGCGCTGGAACCTGCGGGTTAATAAAAGGGTTTAACGACGGACTTCAGGTTTTAGTGACAGGCTTTAGGCTCGAGGTGTTGCACTGGGGTTGACTCTGAAATTGGGCTTCTTGGGGCAACCATAAGCGCCGGGACCTGCAGGTTAGTGAAAGGGTTTAGCAACAGGGTTTACTTTCAGTGACAAGGTTTAGGCTCCGGGGGCCTCATTGGGGTGTCTACCGGGACGGGCTTCTCGATGATTGAGCCCACGACCATGAGCGCCGGGACCTGCGGGTTAATACAGAAGTCTGCGGGTTTGCACGCCACCTCATTTGATGCCGTGACGCAAAGGACATGCGAGAAATCTTAGGTAAGGGGAGAGACAGACACCTTGGGAGCAGACGACAAAGAAGGCTGAAAAAATCCTTGAGAACAATTTTTCTGTACCGCGGGAACAGTCACCTTGCGCTGCTTGCCCGACCTCAATGGGTCCCTTTTGCACCAGGATCGCGAGCAGAACTCTCAGCCCCTGCTTGAGCTGAAGTCCGTGAGCGCTTTCTTATAAGCGTTAAAGCCCTTACCAAGATCGCTCAGCGTGTCTTGATAACTCCTAAAGAACAACGTAAAAGGAGCGGACCATCTTACCCTTGCACTGTTGGGAGCAACCTCGATCGGCCCTTTTTCCACCAAGTTCGCCAGCAGTACCTCCAGCCCCTGCTTGAGCCAGAGAACGTCTGCAAGCGCTTCAAGTTTTTGAGAAACTCTGAAGTGCGAAAAACACACACCCTGGCGCTGTTTGGCGCGACCTCGATCGGCCCCTTCTCCACCAGAATAGCGAGCAGTATGTCCAGCCCCTGTTTGAGCCCGCATTGCGTCCGCTAAGGCTTTTCAGAGACCCTTTAAACTTCTGAAAGACAAACACTTGAGACTCCAAAGTGCAACCGTACTCACCCTTGCGCTGTTTGGCGCAACCTCAATAAGCCCCTTCTCCACCAGGATTGCAAGCAGAATGTCCAGCCCCTGCTTGGGCCAGAAGAAGTCTGCGGGCAATTCAAATTTCTGAGGAAGACCCTCGAACCTCTGAACTGCAACGACACTCACCCTTGCACTGTTTGGCGCGACCTCGATCGGCCCCTTCTCCACCAGAATCGCCAGCAGAATGTCCAGCCCCTTGAGCCAGAAGACGTCCGCGAGCGTTTTCTTATATCCATGAAGGCCCTTTACAAGAGCGCTCAACATATTTTTGAAACTCCTAAAGAACAATTTGAGAGAATGGGACCATCTTACCCTTGCACTGTTGGGAGCGACCTCGATTGGCCCTTTCTCCACCAGGATCGCCAGCAGAATGTCCAGCCCCTGCTTGAGCCAGAAGACGTCCGCGAGCGCCTCCCAGTCTTGCTCGCTGATGATGTAGCACAGGCGCGCGAACAGCGTCTTGCCGATCGCCTCGTTGTACAGCGCAAAGAACTGCTGACGTAGGCCCGGCTCCGAGCAGCGCAGGCCGAGCATGAACGTGCGCTCCACCTTCTGGAAAACCTCCTGCGACTCGGTGGAAGAGGTGACGTCAGCCCTTGAGCCGTGACGTCAGCACGTGCGGATTACGGTTGGCAGCGAACTTCCGCCAGAGGCCCGGCTGCGAACAGCGCAGGCCGAGCGCGAACATGCGCTCCACCTACTGGAAGACTTCCTGCAAGGTCTAGTGAGTCAGGTGACGTCAGCATGTGAGGTCAGGGGACAAGAAGCACAAGTCAGCAAGTGCCCCAAAGGCGACGCCAAGAACCAAGCAAAAAGGACCCAAGAAAACCGTTAAGGAAGCATGGGCGTGATCTCCAACTTCCAGACCAGCTGCAGGGACAAAGCGAAAGGATCATACGAAAGCACGTGATAACAAGGTGACGTCAGCAAGCCACAAAAAACACGAGTACGAATCAAGCACTCAAAAGCACGGGCCTTCGATCCTGCTTTTCGCGAACGACCTGCCAGTAAATGGAGGAAGGTGACATAAGCATGCCCAAACATGACGCCAGCGTGACAACAAGATTTACCGAGGATTGGATGAGAAGATCATCTGGCATTCTTCGCAGCCTTGGCGCATGGCAAACCCTGGTGTTCAGATTCCTTCTCGATTCACGGCTTGAACCAATAGAACACAGATTAAGAGGATCGCTAGAAAATCCATGATTCACCAGAAATGTCACACGTAGCAGAGAGCAGATGAAAGTTGTAACGGACCTGGCGTAGACCCGGTGAGTGATGCGTCACGTCCGCGCACAACCGGTGCAGAAGCTTCAGCAACTTCCCGTCCCACTCTCCCGCCAGTTCCTTCCCAAAGTTCGCTTTATCCACTTGCGCCAACTTCGTCATCAGCATGAGCACGTCCGGCTGCTTCAGGTTCCCGGACGCTTTGCTGTCCGGCTTCTCAACCCACTCCTTAACCACGTCCAAAACCTCCATTCGGACGCTGGGATCCACCGCCGGTTCCGCGAGGATCGTGGGCAGCATTTGCAGGAACACGATTCGCTGCTGAGGGATCCCCAAAACCCGTAAAGACGCTAACCTCAGCGCGAGTTTCAGGTTACCCCAGGGGGGCAATTCCCCGGCGGTTTTTGCGGCCTGCACCAGGTTATACTGGAGCACCGCCTGCGGGTCTTGGGGGTGGCTTGTTTTCGGGTTAGGCAAACCCGCGCCGTCGATCATGAGCTTCAGGAAGCGCTGCCCGATGCGAACTAGGGCGGGGACGAACTTGTCCACGAACGACTTTTGCAGGGGGGAGAGGACCTTCAGGATTTGCAGCGAGACGGTGAGCCCCGTGTGCAGGGTTTTCAGCTCGACGGCCGGGTTAGTGGGCTGGTTAGACGCGTTGGTTAGCTGCTTGATCAGCATGTCTTCCACTTTGGTGTGGATGGACTTCACTTCGGGGGGGAGGCTGAGCGTGTCCGTCGGATAGGCTTGGTAGACCATTTCCAGAACGGAGCACAGCTTAGCGGTCAGCTCGGAGTTGCGGATCGCGAAACACGGGTCCAGCACCTTGAAAAAAGGGGAGACCCAAAGATCAGCACTTGAAGAACTCAACTAGCAGATGTTTTGTTAGGGTAGTGACGAACGAGCACCTTGAGTGGAGGGGAGCAAACTCAAACTTCGGAGGTTTAAGTCTTCCGAAAGACACCGATGGTGAAATGATAAACAGGGGGCACGCACCAGGAAGTATGTAACAGGAAAAGAAAGTGCTAGCCGTTGATCTTATTAAGCAAGTGATAGAGCCTCAGGCGAACGGATGAAGAAAGAGAGCTCAGATTGTGACCGTAACCCTTCTCCTCTTGCCGTGGCGTCTACATGTTGCTCGATAATATGCTCCAAGGAACCGACAAGCTGAGACCCTGACACTTTACACAAAGGACCCATCCTTTATAACTCAGGCAGAATCTGCTGGAACAGACTTAGACCAAGCCTCGACCCCTAATAGGATGCACACCTATGTAGTGTGCATCCTTCTGAGATACACAATCCTTGTAACCATCAAGCAGGTCATCTGAGCCGACATCTTAATCTAGCAACTATTGATATTGCCGGACTCGGGCAACTGGCACGCCTGCTCAGCACATCCAAGCTGGTGCATAGTTCAATCTGGTCGTTTTGGCAAATCCCAAACCCATATTTTAACCTGATCAGTCTTACTCTATCTGGGGTCTTCAGCCCTAAGCCTCATGTTACCTGGTGTATATGCATGTTGTCAGACTTGAGGAATTGGCGCACCTGCTTAGCAAGCACGACTTTGAGCACATCCAAGCCGGTGCTTATAATTACCCTGCCTAACCCAATCAAAACCCTTATGTGACTGGTTTCGATTGCTGCAACCGGTTACTCCTCCTAACGTCAAGTTCTAACCCACCTGTGTATCTGCATGTTGCCCAGTTTGGCGCGCCTGCTTGGCAAGAGCACGTCCAAGCCAGTAGTTAGAGTCCACTTGGAGACGAAAGGTAAAACCTCAGCCTTGCCATAACGTTTCCGCACGTTGCAGAACACCGTGACTCGAATGGTTTCTTACCTGGTGGATCTGCATGTTGCCAGACTTGAGGAACTGGCGCGCCTGTTTAGCGAGAACGACTTTGAGCACGTCCAGGCCGGTGTTGAGCGCGGGCGGGACCTCCAGGCCGCGGTTGTTGGGTGCGGACAGCAGCTTCTCCATGTAGTGGAACTTGACGGTTGCGGTTGGCCACAGGTCCAGGCACTGCAACAAGAACCGGATAGACAGATCTGGCATCCGCAGTGTTTATTGTTGGCATATTTACGAGCAAGGGTTTCTACTTGTTCGCCCTCTGCCTAGAGAATACAGCGGTAAATGATTCGGCCTTAGCGCATGGTGGTCAGAAGGTCAGAGCTGAAAGCCTGACGACGCCGGTCAGCTTGTAAGCTCACGGTAGCAATCCCTTCGCGACTGTTCCGAACTCCTATTCTTGTCGGTTCGGCACTGTAAGATAAGAGAAGAGAGCGGGCTCGGATCCTGGTGAAGGGGAATATCCACCCCAGGTCGGAGAGACTCCAATTCTGCACGAATAAGCCGGAGACTCTTTGTCCCTCAACGTGTACCTGACTTGGACAATAGTGGTTGGCCACAGATCTAGGCACTGCATCAGAAGGTGCAAATGTTTCCTTCATAACTGATAACCGACTTGAATCATTCGCAAGACGGACACAAGATTTCAGAGACCCGCGACGTGCTGTGGACGGGGATGGCAAAGCGCGGGTGGTAAAGGAATCGAGCCAAGGCTCGTTTCCGCAAGAGCTGACGTCTTAAGATTTGCATCCTTTCGGCGGGCACCAAGGTGACCAACGCTTGTGCCGCCTGCATTCAGATGCAGCTTGCAGCCATCTTGAGAAAGAAGCTTAAAGTCTGTCGACTGTAACATATAAATGAAGCCACCACTTCCCAATTCTGATCCCGAAACATGGTTGAGAATGAGTGGCCAGCGACAGTATGCGGACGAAGCAGGCTGGCACAGACTCTTAACCAATCAAGGGCTCCTCACCTGTCCCAACAGGTCCAACGAAGGCGTGTACATGACCTTGTGCTCCTTGTCCTTCGACGGCTCCGTCAAGAAGCAAACCCGCGTCAAGAAGCTGATGATCATCTCCTCCATCGCCGGACTCGGCCGGAACTCTTCCTCCGGCGGCCCGGTCGGGGTTCCCGCGTTTGCGCCGGGCGTCGGAGGGATCCCCCCGTCAACCGGTGTCGCGATCGGCGCCCCGCCCTCGCCCTTGAGCCGCTTGACACCATCCTTTTCGTCGTCGTCGAAGCCCGCGCCGGACGACGTCCGCTTGCTGCCGCTCCCCGGGTGGTCCACGTCCATGTCGAGGACCCCTTCCGGGTTCTGCGCGCCGCCCGGGATTTGCGGCGGGGGAGGCGGCGGGTTCTCCGCCTCCTCCATGCGGCGCTTCTCCCACTGGACCACCAGCCCCGCGAGGTCGATCGCGAGTTTGCGGCTCTCGGGGGGCGTGTTTTGGGGTAACCCTAACCGACTGAGGCTGTTAACCATCTGAGGGACGAACTGGGCTCTGCTCGGGTAGAACAAACTAGAGTGGCGAACTAGGAGCTGGAAGATGTGCGTCAGGTGCGCCATGGAGTGGCCCTCTTCTACCAGGACCTTTTTGGTGTACCGGATCCATATGGGCACCTTGGAGTCGCCCACTTTGAGGGGGAGCCGGACGGGGAGCGACGGGAGGAGCGTGTCAAGCGCCTGCTTGACGAGCTGGCGGGATTCGGGTTGGCACGTACGAAGCAGGGCGACGAAGACCTGAGAGGCGAAAGAGAGGGAGTTCAGGTTCTGAGTGTGCCAATAAGAAGGAAAGTCGACTAAAGCAGGAGACATTCGATCCGAAGCCAATCAAAATTTGAGCTAGTCCTTCTCAAGAGTGCCTCCGACCATGAAAGGGGTACCTCAGACCGATGCACCTGACCAAGTTTACTCTTTTAGATCGCTTTCGGCCATTCGTTAAAACCGAAACAACCCTTGCTGGCGTCGTTAGACGACGGAATCTGGAGACCAAAAAGTCCAAGCCTTGGGACCCTGACAGCACAAGCGAACCTTCTTTCTTGCTTGACCACAATGGCAAACCTGTATACGTCAGGACACCGGGTACATGCCCGGAAGCTATACTTCTCTGGCGCTTGGTAAGATTCCGTCTGCTAGCTTTCACAACAAAAGCTCTCCAAAACTCTCTTGCTCCAAACCTCGGACCCTGAACGTCGCGTCTCCGCAACACGGAAGCCAATTAGGACCCCTGTGCCCGGTTGATGATCTTCGGAGGCGCCTGACAGGCCCGGAAGGAACCAAAGGGTGATCGAGGCCCGCTGGTCGGAGGTGCTGCCTTCCTCGCTGACGAGATAGAGCGGCTCACAAGCTTCGAAATCCAAGAAATCTAGACAAACCCTAGAATCTTAGATCAAAAGAACCCGTAGGTTACAAAACTTGCCTGGAGGATGATCTTCTCGGGCGCTTGGTAGGCTTGCAGGAAGTGGCAGACGTTGACGAAGGCCCACTGCTTGGACGAGCTGGAGTCCTCGCGCTTGAGGTGATGCCAGCCGTGCTTGATGAGCTCCTTGCGGTGCGGGTTGAGCTCGCGCGGCATGTGGCTGATCAGCGCCGTCGCCAATTGCAACAGCTCGATGCGCAGCGGCTCCTCGAACGTCTCGCTGATCTGCAAAGACAATGTCATATTGGTTTGAACCCCTTTCTGATATACGCAAATTAAGCGATCCTATGTGTTGTTTAGAAGTGAGACACCAAGAGCTTTCCTTTTCCGAGCGGTCTGCTCGCGTGATCAACTCTCTGGTGTCTTGCCTACAGCAGCTCGATGCGCAGCTTCTTCTCGAAAGTCGCGCTGATTTGTTGAGAAAAAGGGCTTGGAAATGCATTTTCACCTCCTCCAGTTTTTGCGGGACAAATCTAAAGGAAGGAAAGTTGTTGGACGACGAGTTCCTTGATCCTCCGCAGCTGTTATCTCGGTAATCTAGTTAACTTTTTGAGTTTTTGCTTGAATTAGGAAGCTAAGGAAAAATACTGTGCGCTCAGAATGTTCCTTTCGTGGCGGTCTGTCCAGTTTCTTCCTTCTGAGCCCCCTCGTTCTTTCTCATATTGGGATCTGTCATAGAAACAATTAGCTCCTGAATGCAGCGCTATACTGGATTTACTAGTTCTTTTTCCTTTTTCTTCTTCGTTTCTACTCTCTGCTTGACATTTTGCGTTGGGGGTCATGTGTAGGGGGCCATCCCGTCCCCCTCCTGAATAGAATGGAATAGAACGGAACGGAATGAACCCACAAAAATGCACGACAAACTTTGTCCAATCAGGACCCTCACCTCCGCAGGCGGGTCCAGCAGGTGCTCCACAATGATCCCGATCGTCGCCTCCTCGATGACGTCATTCGCCTCGCCGTGCGTGAACGCGTACGTCAGCATGGGCAGGATCAGCAGCTGCATCGCGACCACCAGCAGCTCCTGGCTCAGCGCCTTCTGCCGGAACAGGTCCAGAAAGCGGAGCAGAACCGCCTTCTTTTCCGGGGGGGTGTACTGCTCCGGAACCTCGATCATGAAGAAGGCCTTGAGGAAGGTGTAGTCGATGCGCGTCGGCGTGAGGAAGATTGACAGCATGTCGAACAGGACGTTCACTTCGGACCGCTCGTGGCGCACAAAGTTGAGGAAGCACTTGATCAGCCGCTTGCTCTCCTTGGCCTGGAGAAGGCAGAAGAAGGGGTTTCGGTGTCGTTATAGACGATGTCACCTCTCTGTATCATTCCTGCCCCGCTTTCACAAGCTGATTAGGGGGCAAAGCATACCAAACGGGGTGTGCATGAGTCCGGAATATTCAGTCCGACACATGTCTGCAGAACTTAGTCGGAAGTTTGAAATGCACTTGACCAGACGGTCACTCTTTTTGTTCTGCACACTTGACAAACAGCAGCTATTATCGGACACAAACTGTCCAATTTTTGTCATCCTGCAAACCTACCAAAGGTAAGTTCGAATCAAGCCAGAGGTCAAGTTGCTTTCCACAAGAGCGGGAACGCCCGTGACTTTCGTCCAGCGCAGAAGTATCTGTCTATACACTTCGCGATTGCTTCGCGATCAGCCTTACTTGCGGCACGTTCAGCTTCTCCTCCTGCCGGATCCGCCCCGCGCGCTGCGGCGACCGCCACAGCTGTACGAGCGCGTCGAACATCGGCCGGTTCTCGTGGAGCCAGTTCGGCAGCAGCTTAACTAGAGCGGACACTAAAGCCACCCCCTGAAACTGTACCTCTCCGGGCGCCCCCAAATACTGCTGTGGAACCACGATCGCCACCGACGGCGTTCCGGGAGTTGCGGGGGGAGTGCCCGGGGTCGGGTTAGGGTTTTGGGTTTGCCCAGGGTTGACGTGCTGGTTTTGGGTTAGCATCTGGGTATTGGGCGGTTGGTGGGGGTTTAGGGGAGGTGCCGCCGGCGCGGCCGGGTTTTGGGGGTCCGGCGGGGGAGAGGCGGGCATTTGGAGGTTGGGGAAAGCTTTGGCGATGATCTTCTCGGGGCTCTTGGCGAGCTCGTTGCGCAGGGGCTCGCCCGCCTCGGACCGGATGATGTCCAGTAACCTGCAGTGGGTTTGCAATGAGTGTCAAGTCGATAAGCTTCTGAATTGAACACGATGGCGGATTTGGTTGCAAGCGAATGATGTCAAGTACCTGGCAGACCATGTAGAAAGGGTTTTGGATTCTAGTCTACGGAAGTGATGCCCGCCTGCGGATGTCGTGATTTAAGGATATGTCGTGCCTTAAAGATTCAACGTCTTTGTTGAGTGAGTGAAGCAAGGCAAGATCGTGGAAGCTATTACACTGCTTCGTTGGTTCTGTGGATCCCTTGAGGCTCCACAGACTGGCAATCTTCTGTCACTGGATCGAGAGCGAGGTCTTTCTTGTGGAACTCCATAATCGCAGCTCACGTTCGACCTGGATATGCTCTTGCTGAACGACAGACTTGCAGCCGAAGTCTTCCGTACCCATGCGGTTCTCGTGGAGCTTTCCCCTGTCCAGAGCTCCTATACGTACGAGGTTGAATGACTTTGTCACCCGCCATGAACATGTCCTCACCTTGTGAAGAAGGCCGGTTGGTTCAGCCGCTGCAGGAAGTAGTCGACTGCGTCCGTCGAGTAGCGGTTAAGGAACTTGGTTAACGGGAGGCGGTAGGGGCTGTTGAGCTCGCTGTAGACCCCCGTGGGCGGCAGCGCCTTCTCTAACTGGATGGTTAAGCAAACCATGGGGTCCAGGAACTTGGCGGCGGCCGGCGGGAGCAGGTGGAATAGCTCGAGCACGGCTGCGGACAGAAACGGACAGGATGTAGGTTTGCAGCTTTTGGTGCGGACAGGGAACGGACGGATTTGCGTTGCAGCTTTTGATGCGGACAGGGTACGGACGAAGTGTGCATTTGCACATATCGTTGCGGAGAGGGAACGGAGGGAAGCTGCCTTGGCAATGTCTGATGCGGACAGGAACGGACGGAGTTTGTTGCAGCTCTTGGTGCGAACAAGAACAGTCGGAATTTTGGCTTGCAGCTTTTGGGCGGCCAAACGGGTATTGAAATTGAAAAAGGCAAAGAAACTGAGGCGCACCCGAAGCGTTCTAGAGGGCGGATTCGATCAAGGAAGCTGTCAAAAAGTGAATGGTCCAACGGACAATCCCTTGGTGCTTCCCATGAAAATTGGCTTCCAAGGTATCTGACAGAGAAAAGTGGACTGACAGGCAATAAATCGGGCACCCGCAAGCAGAACCACAGACAGGAAGCTAGCTCCGAGCAAAAAAAAGGAACATTCCAGTCAGGGAGAAAGCTTTGACAAGACAACCAGTTATTCGTCTGTTCTTCGGCTTTAACACAAACTCAAGATCGGGCGAACAACAGAAGCAAGAAATCGAGTCATATGGAAAAACGGGCATGGACATTATTGACACAAGAAGCAAAAAGCCCTCACCGGCGGCAATCTTGGGCTCGTCCCCGTTCTTCCACCCCTTCCCCGTTGTCGCGATCAGCTTATCCAGCTCCAGCCACTTCTTCAGATGCTCCATCAGCTTCTCCCCGAGTGTCACGTTGAACCAGTTCGCTAGCAGCTCCAGCAACCGGGCCAGGCCTTGGAGCAGGGGCATGTTCAGGTTCTTGTAATGCGCCAAGTTGACCAGAATTGGTCGCAGGCTGGTTTGGAGGAGCTCTTTCGGCATCTTCTGGTCGCGGATAACCTGGCAAGGTCAAGGGTGAAGGTTAGAATCCCGATGTCCCAGGCTCTAGTGGACAGTCGGTATGTAACAGTGCGCCAGGTTAACCAGTATCGGTCGTAACTGAAGGAGTTTGGAGGAGTTACTTCGGCACCTTCTGGGCTCAATAACTTGGCGGGATACGTAATAACTTTCCAAATGTTGAGATGTGGCCATACTTTCGACTTTCAAGTTTATTGTTCGCTGCTCATAATGCGCCAGATTAATCGAAACAGGGTTCGTTGCTCAAAGCTCGTAGACTTACATATTTACCTCTGCATAAGCATAGACTTCCAACATGTGTACCTGTCGGAGACCCTCCTTGGCAACTACGAACGAGTGTTCGGCGAGTGAGCCGCTGGCAAAACCTTCACCAATCTTCACTCAGTATCACCTACAAGTCTTCTTATTAGAACAACAAGATAAGTCCAGCTTCTGCCAGTTCTCACCTGTCGCAGCCCCTCCTTGGCGACGGCGACGATGTCCTGGTTCTGGCAGGTGAGCCGCTTGAAGAACATGCCGATGATACGCGTGCGCAGCTCCGTGTGCTGCGCGTGCTTCAGGTCCGCCCACGCCATCGCGGTGCACAGCAGCTCGATGCACGCCGTGCGCAGCTTCGTCAGCGTCGCCGTCGTCTTGGGATTCAAGTACTTCCCGTGCATCGCCTAAAAGAAAGTCAAGTGAATTTGGGCTTCTTTCCTTTCATCGATCGTACAAGTGAGATCTCCCGTGCATCGCCTGCATCAAATGAGAGCTCAGATCAAGAATGCACGTCAAGAAGCATATTAACCAAAGCTGCACAGCTGCCCCTGCTCCGCTCTCAGCCGCTCCTCTTCCTCGACACGCCTGAGCGTCGCTGCTCTACTCGCTGCTCCCCTAGGCCAGACCCTCCTACCCGACGGTTTGCGCTCAACCTCGTCCGAGCACACGCAAACAGAGGACGGACTAAGAATCCTCAGAAGCTTCATTATCTTCCTCTCGTTCTCACCCGCTCGTCCGTCTCGACGTTCCTAAATACCCTGTCCAACATCAGTTCTCCCCATGTAACCCTTCTCTTGGACGGCTTTCGGCTTACTTACATTCACCAACATGAGGAAAAAGTGGTGTAGTCTTGCCCCGTTCTCACCTGCTCGTCCGTCTCGGCAATACCCAGCGCCTCCTGCAGGATCATGAGCAGCTCCGGCGTGACCTTCAGCAGCGGCGGCCGCAGCGCGAGGCAGAAGTTGAGCGCCATTACTGTGCCCACCTGGCAGACACGTCGGGTGACGTCAGCAAGTCCTTAAAAGACGCAGGCAAGGTGGACACTTGACCTCGATTAGACTGGCATGACGTCCCAAATAATCGCATGTCGCGTCCACATATTGTAAGAGATCCACGTAGCTTGACGTGATGGGGCGCCTCCTTGCCTCATAAACGGCAAACCGATGCAGACTGCCGAAGGGATTGAGCTCCATAATAAAGGAGAAGTACCAGCGATTCGTGAATCAAGCATCAGGAGTCAGCATATAAGCTTGTAACCCGTATTTAAAACATCGCAGGCGTAGGAGAGAAAATCAAACAAGTGTTGGTTCTTCCCGTCGTTCCTAGATTGCTCATTCTGAAGCCAAGTGCCTTCCTTGCAACCAGCTGGAGGAACGTAAAAAGACGAACGAGTAAAAGAGTACAAGTAGCCCTTGAGAAGGAGGGAAGGAATGCTCGCCTGCGCCTCAGCGTGCTTGGCGCGCAGCGGCCGCCCGACGAGCATGTTGAGCAGCGGCCCGTGCAGCGGCTCCAACAGTTCGGACACTTCCGTGCCCCATCGCTTCGCCAGGAACCCCAGGCAAGTTTGGACGTTCTTCCGGACGTTCTGACTCGCCGCCGGGTTGAAGAGCTCCGCGGCTAACACTTCGACGACGCCCTGGAAGCTCTGCTTGTCTTGGGCGTCGGAAGTGGAGGCGTCAACGGCAGGGTTGACCACCCTGTGAAAAAGAGGTTAGGAGGGGTTAGGGGTTGTGGTTATGTGGATTTAGGGTTTTGAAGTGCCGGGAATTGGGGGTTGAGGAGCTCCGGGGTAAGAACCTCAAAGAGGCTTTAAAAGCTCTGCTTGTCCTGGGCGTCGGAAGTGGACGCAGGGCTACCCACCCTGTGAAACAGAGATTATATCGGGTTAGGAAAGATGGGTTTAGACGATTTGAACGAGCTTTTGGACGTTCTTCCGGACGTTCTGGCTTGCGGCTGGGTTGAAGAGCTCCGCGGTAGAACCTTCGACGACGCCCTGGAAGCTCTTCTTGTCTTGGGCGTCGGAGGTGGAGGCATCGACTGCGGGATTGACAACCCTGTAAGAAGAAGGTCGAAAGTGTCGGGGATAGAGTGTTTACAAAACGAAACATTTGAATCTCTAGGCTGGTAAGAGCTCCGTCAGTCTGAAAGCAGATTTTATCCTGAGCATCGGATTTGGCAGCGCAAACAGAGGGGCAACTGCCCAATGCAGAATTGCGTTCCAATCATCGTACAATAGGCTATTGGGGACTTTCGGGAAAGAACTCGATGGCGAGGTATCTCTTATTCACTTCTATCGGCTTGAACGGAGCTTTCCGGCCAGACGCAATGGAGTAACAGCAGTGTCCAGCGTCTTTCGCGATCGCCAACCAAACGATAAGTCTTCAGCGGCCGCCTAGGGTGAGGGCGAGAAGCACGAGCACGCCCCCACCTGAGGACCTGCGTGAGCACGAGGCTGGTCTCCTCCTGCTCCTTGTTCGCAGTCACCGGCAGCTGCTTGAGCACGTACAGCAGCGCGCGCACCGTCTTCACCTGGAACTGGCACAGCGTGTCCACCGGGGCCTTGCCCACCAGCGCGCCGATGCCCTGTACGATAAGCTTTCACGTGTTCCGCAAGTTTCCATGATCCTTCAAGGGTTTTGCGGTGTTCGGCGTCTCTGTAGACAGATTATAGGGGCAGGTCGGCCTGCCACACCGTGTTCACCGGCCCCTTGACCACCAAAGCGCATAGCTTCTAAAACTTTCAGCACGGAAGGTTCCTTGATTGCCAAATATCTTGATTTGACCACGACAAAGACACACAATGTCCACAGGATGCTTGCTCATCAGCAAACTGGATATCCTGTATGCAGGAGACCTTTTATTTGCAGGCTCCAGAGTTCCAATCCTCAACTAAAGCTGAGCAAAGATATCCGAGAACTGGGCTTTACACCCTTCTCTTGTAAGCGAACTTGAAACGGAACGCTCGATAGGCTACGCAGATGATGTTAACATGTCGTCAGCGTCGTTCTCCTAGGGGAAAATCAACAAACATTAAGCCAGCAAGTAGCTGAGAAAAGGAACGGTTATGATAGACGCACCTGCACGCCGCCCATCTGCGACTGCCACGTGCCCCCGTAGCAGCAGTGCAGGAGCCGCGGGATGAGGTGCTCGAACACCGGGATCTTGACGGTGGCCGGGGGCGACACAACCGGGTTGACCGACGGGCTAGAAACGATCATGGGAGTACTCGGGAGAGACGCCTTCTGGGGACTGATGCCGCTGCGCTTCACCTTGGCCAGCAGGAGGAGCGTCTCGCAGAAGACGTGCAGGCCTTGCAGGGCGGCCTACGCAAGGGGGGAGAGAGAAGAGGGACGTCAGCGGATCGTTTAATGGCGTCAGCACTTTGGTTTTGGACTTTTTAGGAGCTAAGCTGATGCCGCTGTGTTTCATTTTGGGCCAGCAGCACGAGCGTCTCGCAGAACACGTGCAGGCCTTGCAGGGCGGCCTGCGTGAGAAGGGGAATGGAGCCTGACGTCAGCGTTAGTTCAACGGCGTCAGGACTTTGAAATTGGTCTGCGGGGACGTCAAGCTGGTTCTGTGAGTTCACCTTGGCCAGCAGCAAGAGCGCTTCACAAAAGACGTGCAGGCCTTGCAGGGCGGCCTGTGCAAAGCAGGGAGGGAAGAGTGACTTCAGCGAACAGTATGATAACGCTAGAGTTTTGAAAGCGGTACGTGAAGACGTCTAGTCAAACTTCCTGCGTTCAGCACTGGCCAGCAGGAGGAGCGCTTTGCAGAAGACGTGCAGGCCTTGCAGGCGGCCTGAAAAGGACGACAAAGGGATGGATTCAGCAAAAGAACGGTGATATTCAGGAGACGACTGCAATTTTCAGCAGACCGATGGCGAGGGCGTTATATTGGCAAGAAGGGAGCTGGGGCAAAAAAGACACGATTGATGCGTTGAATGGACACCGGTCATTTGCGCGTGCATTTGCCGGCCCCTTTCGCTACAGCTCTCAAGAGGCTCGCAAAGTTTGAAGGGACATAGCGCTGTCAAGGTTAGTGTGCTACTACCCGCAGGTACGAAGGCTATTGGGACATCAGCAAACACACGTCCCCGTCCCTTCCACGGCTGTTACCAGAAACTTGCTTTGCACGCGCGAAGATCCATAAACCCGCTGTTTCAAAGATCATAGAAGCTACACTTTAAAATCGCCCACCTTGGCCTGCTCCCGGTTCTCGTCCGCCAGCACTGCCACGAGCGCATCCAAGAAAAGTACCGGGTCTAGTTCCTTCAGATTCGCCGACGCCATGATACTCTGCGCCGCGGGCCCCAGCCCCTCCTGCTTCGCGCCCCTCTTTCCCGGCGGGGGGGCCGCAGAGGGCATCTCCCTAGGGGCGCCCCGCCCCCCTGGAGGAGAAGGGGGCTCCGCGGTGAAGAGCATCGCGAAGTGGCGGCAGAGATTGGCGACGAACTCGTCGTCCGGATCGGAGAGATCGGGTTCTGCGCTTGCGGCAATGACGGCCATCAGGAGCTGCTTGAAGACGGTGCGCTCCGCGAGCAGCTGCGTCTTCGTCTTGACGCCCAAGTCCACCTGGAGTAAGAAAGAGTTTTAGTTTGTCCGGATAACCTTTGTGGGTTTTGTCGGCCCCCTAACTAACGTCCTTCTTCTCCTTTCTCCTTGGTTACTCTGCTCCTGAATTCAGAGCTCATGACGACGGTGCACTCAGCGAGCAGCTTGGTCTTGACGCCCAGATCCACCTAGGGCACAAAAACAGTTGTGCACATTCTTCCTCCCTCAAAATGGCTCTCCGCTCCTAAGGACCAAGTCTGTCCTCTCGTGTCCTGTGTCCCCAATCATTCTGTCTCTCTCCTTAAATATTTCCTATCTTGCTCATTCTTTTGACTGGAAGAGGAAACTCAAAGACGTCCTCCTGGGGAAGGAAGACAGATCCTTCACCAGAAAGCTTCACCGAACCATCCACAGTTATGACCGTCAAAAGATCCTGTGCAATTTCAAGTGCTAAGAGCAAACAACCGACGAGCCGCGTCCACTCTAGTCGGTTGATTGAAGGGATCCCCCACCTTGAGCTGTTCCTTCTCCGGCCGCCTCAGTGCAGGATCCACGTGCGTAAGCAGGACGCCGCTCAATTGACCGATGCCCACCCCCTCGCCGCCGATGTTGCCGTTCAGGTTCGCGACGCCCCCAAGGCACACCTTCAGAAACGTGAGCGCCGACTTGCGGCAGTGCAGCTCCATCCCTGGCAGAGAGGACGGAAGCAGATAAGCTTAGGCAGACGCTAATGTAGGAGCTGCGAGTCCCCAATGGTTAGAGCTCGATGTACGAGGCAGGGATTCTAGATACAAGAATGGTCAAAGTAGACTCCTCAAAGTCGCAGAAGCGGTCCCATAGGCTATAACTTTCTCGCTCCCTTGTACTGGGTTCCTGATACAAACCAAGAGTAGCGGTCAGAGTAGTCCTGGTAAGTAAGGGCAGGCTGCGCAGGGTGGGCCGAGACCCAACGCCCAAAAAGGAGAAAATGCCGGACTGCTGGGATGGAAGCCGGATGCACACGCGGATTGTAGGCTTCACAATAAGGAGCGCTCGCAGAAAAAAGGATTGTTTTAACAACCCAGTGATCACCTGGCGGCAGGTGCTGGACGGCGAATGCTTCACAAAAAGTGGATACAACGATACTCATATACTTCAAGTAGGATAGTTTCTAGGTGCTATAGTAACAGTCTTCAAGGGTGAACAAAAGTACAAACCTAAACCGAGAAATGTCCCCGCTCCGCAACCATACCCACCCGAATCCCAAATGGCAACCTCACCCGTTCCCCGGGCCACGACCATATTCTTCCTAGAATTATCCTACCTATACTACAGGTTTGAGATATAATGGTCACCTGGCGATTGCAGGCGGACGCAGAACAAATACTTTCAAAGAACTACAGAAGCTTACCTGGCGGGGGACTCTGGACCGCGGTCCGCGCAAGGTGGATGCAGCGGTCGAGCGGAACCAGGAACGAGGTTTGCGTCTCAAAGGTGAGGATCATCCGCAGGCCGTGCTCCGGGTTCTCCTTGTACTCCAGCTCGAGCATCTCCTTCAGGAAGCGTCGGTTGCGGCCGCCCAGCTTGCCAAGCAGCTGCCAAGAAATGCAAGAAACTTTAATAATGAATTATTCTGCTTTTTCCTTCTGTGCTCTTTCTTGTATTTCCCTGTCTTCTTAGACAGGGATCAATTCTTCTATTGTCTTAGTCTTGCCCTCGTTGCCCACAAAAGGTGGCCATCAGTCACTACAGACTGGCTAGGCGATGAAAGAGTCAGCTCGAGACCGTTCTCCACAACGGGCTTCCTCAGGGAAAGAATCTGATTGTGCGTCCATTTGAGTCGATGGATGATTTGCCGTCTGATGCCTTCAGAGCATTGCAGACAGCATGATGTTCGAGTAGCTGGCTTCCTCTTGAAAAGATGTTTCCTTCTTCGCCTAAAAGCTTCGGCTTCGTACCACAAACCATCGTTTCCGGCAGCAGCTTTACACCAACAAGCGTGCGAAAGAGAAAAACGGACGTCCAGTCAGCAAAAAAAAGGAGACTCCGACTCCGTGCCAGACTCACCTGGAGGCTTTTCGCACCGAACGGGTACGGCTTCGGCCGCAGGTGCCCCCACAGGGTGAGAATAAGCTCCGTCATGACGCTCGCCATGCTGGGCTCCAGGAACTCCGGGTTAAGACTATCCACCCAAAACTCGAGCGTCCGTAACCCGAGCGCAACGAGGTCATCGCTCCCCTTCAGCGCCAGGACGAGCGGTTTCATTAACCGGGGCAGGTGCGGTAGCAGCGCGCTTAACCGCGCCGGCAGGGTTAGGCATAACTCGACGAGTAGGTCCCGCATATCCTGACCGCTCGGACCGTCGAGCATCGACAGGAGCGCGTTGAGACAGGGTTGCAGGGTGCCGATAAACTCTTGGTAGAGAGCCGCAAACTTTCCGCCGGAAAGTGCACGGAACATGATCCGGAGGAGCTGCATGTAACCGATGGGTTTGTCTAACTCCGTAGCGTTCTTCATGCAGGTTTCCATCAGGGTGAGCACGTGGGGGCGCATGACGGACTCGCATTCCGCCGGATACTTGGCCACAGCGGAAAAGAGCAGCCGGAGCAGCTGTAAGAGCAGCTTCGCTTGCGGCAGGTCGGGCTGTTTCAGGAGGTCCAGCTTGTTGGTCACGAGGTAGTGCGCGAGGACGTCGGCGAACGTGCGGCTGATCTGGGCGTTCTGGAGGAGCGCTGCGAAGACGGTGACCAGCTGGATGGAGTCGACCATCACGTCAAAGAGCCTGTGAAAGATCGGAAGAGGGGTCAGAGTAGGTTAAAACCGGGGGTGAAAAGTAGATACGGACGACAGCGTTGTATGTTACGACGAGTGTAGCAAAGACAGTGACCATCTGGATGGAATCGACCATCACATCGAGCAGCCTGTGGGGAATGGGATCTCGAATTGGAGAAGTGGGTAATGGGATGGTTTTAGAGTCAGGTAACGGAACAGTGTTAGGATGGAGGATGGAGGAGCGAAGGACGGAGGAGGTTCGCAGAAACGGAGACCAGCTGGATCGAACGGAACATCGGGTCGAAGGGCCTGGCAGGAGTGGGAAAGCTGGAATCAAACATTGGGTTTAGAAGCGGGTTAAGGCGAAAAGGAGAGGAGGTTACGATCCGCGATTTGGAGGAGAGCAGTCAAGACGGAGACCAGTAGCATGAAGTCGACCATCACGTCGAACAAAGTGTAGCGCACATTGTTTCACCAAAACACTTGGTAACGACACTGAATGGATAACTCAAGGCGGCCGGGAATCAAGCAACGGAAAACGGACTTGATGGGAGGAGATTTGACTGGGACCCATGTGATCAAAGTAGGCTCCATGAAGGGACGCAATATAAATGGCCGATCGAAACGACACACAGCCATAACATTTCCAAGCAGAGACAGTGACAGTTCCTCCCTTTGCTAGAAGAGTACGCTCGGGCCGGTAAGCTGGAGACAGTTTAACTTTTCTGAGGCATCTGGTCCGACAATAGAAACTCACTGGTAGGGACGTGCTCTACCTGTCGCCTCGCTTGAAGTCATTATGTAGGAAAACGCTGGACAAAGATGAGTAACCCGAGCGGCAGAGACAGGGGACACTGGGAAAGGGATGTAAACGTCGTGGAGCGTATTCCCACCTGGGCATGCACATGCTGAACAGGTCCATGAAGTTGCGCTCCGCCATGACTGAGAACACGCCCGCGAAGTGCAGCAGGTTCTCCTCCTCGTTCTTCTCCTTGAACAGCGCCAGGCAGTAGACGCCGCTCTTCAGCAAACCCGCGATCAGCCGCACTTCGTCTTCGCGCATTCCTTTCGGCCCGTTGGGGTTCATTTGCGGCGGCCCCGGACCGATCTGCTGCGGCTGCGCGGTGCGATTGAAGTTGGTGATGCTCCAGAGAAGGGTCTTCATGCCTGCAAGAGAAGGAAAGATGAGAAATATAGCGTTTTGCTCTTTTACGGCTTGATTACATCTAGACCTTTCGGGCGTCCGAGAATTTGGAGCTGGTGATGGTTCATTAAAGGGTCTTCATGTCTGTGCGAGAAAACAGCAGAAAGGGAGTCGAATGAATAGCTCGCAGGGATTTTGAAGTTCCGCTTTGAAGAATGTAGGACAAAAGTGATCCGGAATGTCGAAGCTGGGGCGCTTCAAAGCAGCTCTTCATGCTGGCAAGAAGTCCTGGTGGTTGCAGCAGCAGTCCGTAAATCGATTTGTGCTCTGCTTTTGCGCTTTTGCGAGTTCGGGGATCTGGAGATTTCAAGGCTTTTGGCGCTGGAAGGGTAGCGATAAACCAGAGAAGGGACTTTGTGCGTGGAACAAGAAAGCTCGGGTAAAGATCACAATCTTCGGGCAACAGGTTAAGAGGCTCAGGAGCATCTCTGCAGATCGAAACTCTCTGTGACCAATGTCACTTAAGACATGAGGAGACAGGAAAGATGAGACTGCAAAAGCTCCGCAAGTCTTGTGGACAATGGCAAGTGAATCAAATCTTCCACTGGCAAGAGAGATGACTACACAAAAATAAAAGCTCCGGATTGCGATGCATCGAAATGTCGACTTTATTCTGCGTCCGTAAGTGGAGAATGTTGATCAACCTGTTCTGAAAGACCTGAGTATCATCCACGAAATCTCTCGCACTTGGTCAACAAGCTCAACGTTCCGAAGCAGACGAACAAAGCTATGCACAGGAGAGACCAGAACAATACCTCCACTTTCTTGCGCTGAACCTTCCCAGAAAAACAAATGCGCATCTTCCTCGCTACACGCACCTTGGATCAGCGTCCGGGTGAGGTACTTGCAGTCCGCAAGCTCTTTCGCGTGCTCCATCGGTGTGATCAGATTCAGCGCCGCCTTCTGCACCGGCAGCTCCAGCCGCGACCGCAGCGTCGGCTTTTCCTCCCCCTCTGCGTCGCTATCTTTGAGAACCTCTTCCGGTTTCTCCGGGCCGCCTTTTTTGCTGCCCGGTGGGGGTAACAGATAGGGGATCGCCCGCCGGAGCGTCCCGAACTTGCTGACGAAGCAGTCGAGGATGCGCCGCAGCAGTTGGCGGCCCTCCTCCTTGTTGCGCTCGTCCATCCGACGACTGAAGATCGTCTCCACCTGCAAGGGAATAATTCTAGACCGCTGATTTTCCGAACAATACCACGTCTCCTCGCATGCCTCTTTCTTTCTCGTTTTCCTATCGCGCGTGTCCATCCGACGTCTGCAAAACATATACACCGGCGACGAATGTATCCTAGACCGTTGAGTTCTGCCTTGCTGGAGAAAGCGGCAGCGATCAACTGTCACATTCTCGAAAAAGATGTCGATGACACTCCTATTTCTGACAACTTACACTGAATTGAACCGGTCTCACTTGGTTCGCTCGGTTCTAGTCGCTTGTCAGATTGAGCATGGTGTGCACGGAGTTCCTTTAAACGACGAGCGGCAGCATGAGGTACATGTTCCCAATCACGAAGAGCCCGATTGTCCGTCCTCTGACAAATTACCGCACCAAAGTTCCCACGTCCTTCTACTCGAAACGAAACGTCCTAACACCAGCTTGAGCATGAGCCAAACGCACGTCGTTTGCACCGAGAGCGGGCAGCAGGCGATCATGCACGTTTTTGAAAGAAGAGGCAGCTAACACTTGCCAAAAGTGATATTCTGTTGAAAGTATCCAGGCATTTCCGCTCGAAACGAAACGCCTTACCAGATTCAGCATGAGCCGCACGCACGTCGTCTGCACCGACAGCGGCAGCGAGTGGTCGTGCACGTTCTTGGAGAAGAGGTAGATGATGCGGCTCAGCTGCTGCAGGCTCAGGTCGATGCGCACATGGTGGATCAACTCCGCCAACAGACTGTACGCCAGCGGGCGGAGCGTCTCGTAGCAAGACCGCCCAGTGCCCACCAGCACCCTGCACCAAAGTGGGGAAAGGTTTTAAGGGTTAAAGATTGGGTTAGCTAAGGCTTAGGTCGATGCGCACGTGGTGAATCAGCTCCGCCAGCAAACTGTATGCCAACGGGCACAGCGTCTCGTAGCACGACCGCCCAGTGCCATTCAGCACTCTGCACGAAATTGAAGTTGGAGTTTCTTTTACATTCTTAACATTCTGATTTTCGCTTATTGCAGGAGTAGAATGAAGCGCGTGTTGCGGAACTGATTTCGCCAGTAAAGTGTACACAGGCGAGCGCAGGGTCTCGTAGCACGACCGCCCACTCTGCACCGACTGAGAACGAAATTTTAGGCTCGCGAACTTTGAGGTTGCATAGGAACCGGGAGATGTTCACGGGAGGCTCTCAGTGCACACATGGTGGATGAGCTCCGCTGGCAAACTGTATGCCTGCGGACGCCGAGTCTCTCATGACGACCGATGGCCACCGAAAGCATACGCAAAAATCGGACTCTAGGCTCCGAATATCGAGCCTATACGGCGTTTGTATGCCACACACTGGAAGGTCAGGTCGATGGGCACGCGGTGCATCAGCTGAGCCAGCATAGAGAAGGCCAGCGGGCGGACCGTCTCATAGCCTGACTTGCGGACAGCACGGAAGTCATTTCCATGCTAGGCTGCGGGCATCAAGTAAATCGCCCAATTCGTAGCCGCTGCTTTTAGAACCTTTTCTACAGAGGAAGTTCTCCTTGCCTCTCGTCCAGTAGGATGTCGATGTGCGTGAAGAAGCCCTTGCGAAAGTCGGTCGCAAGCACGTGCCTCGTCGCAACCAGCAGCTCCTGCAAACATAACGACACCTTGTGAACCCGCAAAGAAACGCACCAGGTTGACGATCCGACCGCCGGTCGTCAAGAGGAGAAGGATTCCAAAAACGGCAAGTCCTCGACGGCTGAGAGTTTGGTTTTGAGTGGCTGTATAGAAAGGTTATTGTGTCCGGGATCTCAACCTTCTTTCTTCGCCCGCTGGATTCAATCATCAAGGATTTCAAAGCTCAATCTAAAAACGCAATTTCGCACGCAAGAAAGATTGCAATCATTGCGTACTGAGAAGCGAAGAGCCCACCTTGCGCGTGGCGATGGAGTCGGGGCACGTGACGAGCAGGTTGACGATGCTCTTGGACACGTTCTCCGTGTACGGCCGGATGTCGTCCGAGAAGCTCCGCAGCAGGTACGTCATGAAGGACACCGTCTGCACAAGAGAAGATCTCAAGTAGTCCCACAAAGGTTGACCACGGAAGTGAGAAGCTAAGAATTGAACCGGGCCCTTTTCAAAACTCCTGCTGGCAAGCTTGACCATTTCAATCATGTTCGCGTGCACAGGTCAAGGGACGCCCAACAGACTGGATCTCAGCGCTGCCTTTCGTTTCAATCTGTTTTTCCTTTGCGACTGCTTGTTGAGGATCTTTGAAACTTCAACGTTCTCTAACCTATTGTAATACATTGATGTAAAACAACCGACAACCAAGTCCTCCGACGAGCTTGGCTGAAAGATTGTGTCGGGCTTACTAGACACAACGGCCGAAAGCCGCCCTCCATTGCCTGTACTCCTTCCAAACTTCCAAACACAGGCACTGGTAAGTTCCATCTTGTCAAAAGCTCGACTCCGTAAACCCTCGAAATTGGAAAACCGCAGCCTTCTTTACCTTGACCTGCGCCGCCTTGAGGTCGCTGAACGTCTGCTTCAGGTGGGGGGGCACGTTGTTCGGCCCGGGGATCGAGATCGTGGTCACCATAAGCGGGAGGAGCGTCGGGATATTCACACCCAGGAACCGGGGGTAAAGTTGGAACAGAAACATCACGATCAGGGGGCATTCCGTGACCACTTTGAAGGAGCGGACGCTGGGGTTTAGCTGCCCCAGAGGGGGGCCACGCGGGCTGGAGGGGACCCCCCCAGGGGCGTCGGGGCCGGCGCCGTCTTGAAAGAAGTAGAGGACGGTCTCCTTGAAGTTTTGGTAGATCTGCGAAGTGGGAGGGGGGAACGGTCTGAATACTTCGTTAACGGCAGTGCCGCGACCAGATTCATCCAATAAAGAGAGACTCTGCTCTCATGTTGGAGCAGAGTGAAAGCAAGAAAGGACCATTCTTTCAACGACTGCTGCAAGAACGGAGGCGATGAGGACGTCATCTGAAGCTCGACAGCGTCAGGTTCTCAACGGCCAAGATCGTTGAAGGTTCAACCAGTGCAACTGCATCCATCTTGCGAAGGCACCCGACAGCTCGCTTGTCAACCGTAACCTTAATAACTGCGCCTCTTCTTTTTTCCCCTTCCTTTCCTCGGCCCTTCCGAAGCTTGTTCAGTCATATATACCCATACTCTAACGTCGCTTGACTAATTCGTTAAATGTGGAACGGGTTTTGAGGTCACTTTCACCAGCTCCTCACCTTGACCACGAAGTCCAAGAACGGCTGCACTTCGTCCTCCAGGTTCGGCCGGTAGTTCTTGTGCAAGTCGAAGATGATCCGCAGCGCAATCAGTGCGTTCTCCTCGTTGTCGGTAGCCGCCACGTGCATGCTCAGCTTCATAAGGTCTACCACGTACGGCTTGAGCGTTTCGCTGTGCGGCATGCGGTTCAGCACCTCGAGAATGATGTTGCGCACCTTGTGCTCGACGGTGTCTGTTGCCTGGGTTAGTAAAAGCTGGGTTAAATATCCAGTGCCACAAAATCAGCTATCAACCAGGACGGTTAACTTCGAATTTGATCCGATTAAGGTCTACTACGTACGGCTTGAGCGTCTCGCTGTGCGGCATGCGGTTTAGCACCTCCAGAATGATGTTGCGCACCTTGTTGCTCAACCGTGTCCGTCGCCTGGGTTAACAAAGACAGGTTACGTCTCTAGTTCGGGGAATTGAGCTTTCGACCGGGACGGTTTACTTTGATTTGGATCCGATTAAGATCTACCACATACGGCTTGAGGGTCTCGCTGTGCGGCATGCGGTTCAACACCTCCAGAATGATGTTTGCGCACCCTATGCTCAACCGTGTCCGTCGCCTGGGTTAACGAAGGTGCCTTAAGGTCCACATTCAGAAGGCGGGTACACCCAGGTTGAATCTTGAAGTAGAGGCTGTCTTCCGGCATGCAATTCAGCACCTCAAAATTGAAGTTGCGAACCTTGTGATCGACTGTGTCCGTCGCCTGGGTATGGTTCCGATCTGGTAGTGAGTCCGGTTCCAGATCTCGGGTTTTACCGGATCTGGGTTGAATGTGATACACGCGAGCTCTGACGCATCCATCATTATGATTTGGATACCGAATTAGCCCTGGTAGGGCTCGGTGCTGACGGATTTGAACACCACTCAGTCCAGCGATCAAGCCAACTCTCATTCCTCCAAGCACCCTCGTTAATCTGTTCCAAGTTTCGATCAGCAAGCTTGTCTACGTTAAAAGACCCTTCCACCAAGATTTCCATCAGATCAAAGTGGCTGGGTGGTAGTAGGACCAATTCGTGAGTGACCTGACCTCGACACTGCTTACCTGCGGCTGCGTCAGCGAGAGCAGCCCCGTCTGGAGCGCCTTGAAGCAGTGCTTGAGGAAGTTCTGGTACTCGGACGTGTGCACGATCTCAATGCTGTCCCGGATCTCAGTCACAAGCGTCAGCTTCATCTGCATGTCTGCAATTTGGGGAAGTAGCGATGGTGTCAGAAAGGTACAGTGATGGGGGGGAAACATGAAAACCCAGCAATGACTGAACATCGAAAACCAGGATATTTTCATGCAGTTTCAGCGGGGCTTCTTGTTGACAGATTGATACTTATCTCGACAGGCGGAAGGGAACTCGTTACAGAGGCAAGTCCAAAGAGCTGTCACTGTCACAGCGAAACTTGGATCGTCCACGATGCGGGGTGGTCGACCAAAACAATGCATATTCTGGGCACCACAAGTAGCCTTCCATAGAAAGAAGTGAGCATTATGAGGTGGTGACAGAACGTGCCCACTTGGTACACAGATGAGCTGTTCTAAATAACGCTTTTTCTCAGACGGCCAGCACAAGTTTTTGAATAAAAGTGCTTGCTCTATTTCCCCATGCTCTAGCTTCTTCGGACGGTGGCCCCCCGCGTTCTTTTGCAGCATATATTGCAAACGAGACAGTATTGATGAATCTTGGTCTTCTTCGCAATGTTTTGTAGCACTCAACAGGAGTGGACAAGGGATGACCTTTCAAAGGGGCACTGAGCGGAAAGATCAGTCGGCCCATTTTGCATCTATTTCCACAAAGATCCTGAAAACTGTATTGCAGGAAGTTTTGAGCAATCTGTCAAAGAACCGCATCAGAACTGAAGAAGGGAACCACATCACACTCAACGAAAATTTGATTCAAAAGCCAGCTCTTGGAATCAACCAGAACAACAACGCGCAGGATTCTGTCAGCCCGCAGTTGCAGTGCACTGCTCATCAAACCAAGTAGATATCAAGAAAGAGGAAAGGGCGCCAGAGCACTCACTCGTCTCCGGATCCAGGAACTTCTTGGCGTGCCCCTCAAAGTTCCCCAGCATCAGGGTGGCCCCCGACCGGTGGGGGTTCCCATGCTGACTCCCCCCCAAATCCATCGCCCCCCCGTCGGCCTGACTCTGCTGAGACGGCGGAAGAGCAGCGCCGCTGTCTGGGGGCTGTCCTCCCGGGGGGGTAGGCTGCACTCCCTGAAGCGCACCCCCTTTCTTCTGCTGTTGCAATTGGGCCTGCCGAGCGGCTTGTGGGTCTCGGGCAGGTGGTACCATTGCTAAATTTTGGTGGCACCCCCCGAGGAGTCACCGATGTACATTGGATCAAGGGCGTTGAAATGCACGGGCAGCGAATTTCTTAGCAAGCTGATGTGACAATGGACTGCGCAATCCGTGTGCCCCTCTTTGCATACCTATCCAAAGGGAAGAGAAGCGTTAAGAAATTGAAGAATCAATCTGATGACACGAGAGTCGTCCAAACACCTCAGAAACCATTCAGTGTGCACGCTGAGGGAGCGCCAAGCTCTGGATAGTTTCACTTTCAGCCATTGCCTTTCACCAAATAGTACTTGTCGGAACTTCAGAGAAGCTCAACCGTCTGCCAATTGGAGCTCGCTCAGACGTCTGAGTCAGCGTCCTCTCCGAAGAGTGTGCGCTCGAGCTCCTGAGTCAGGCCCTCTCAGGAAGGCTTTTAATGCTGTCCAGCTTGTCCAGCTCCAACTGCAACTTTTCTGCCAGGCCAGTTGGTCTGAAACCTGTAGCTATAAAAAGAAGTCCTGCCCCCTCATTTATCATTCGCTCAACACCATCTTTTGCCGTAGCATCTCACAATCACAATGTCAACGTAGAATACTTCATCATTTCAGCATTCTGCAGAATTTGCAGCAGTGTTTACCACGAACTTTTGAGGTTGCCGGTCGCCCAGACGATCGGTCCCCGATCAGTCGGTTGAGAGCAAGTGACGGCCGGTTTGCCAGGGCCGGCTCTCTGGATTTCGGCCGGTTGGATTAGATCCGAGCGACATTGCGGCGGTCAGTTTTGCGGCCATTTCCGTCCAATCTGTAACATTTTGCAGGGCTCGATGGTCTCTCGAACTCTATAAGCTTCCAAAAGCTACAATACAGGAAGAAACCCAGGATAGAGACTCGAACACTCAATCAAGCGGTTCTAAAACACTGTATTTTGTTGAAATTGAGTTGATAGTTGCTCGTAACGCAACTGACTGGACTGAATTTACCCGGCTCCTAATTGAACCGACAGCCTCTGTTTGAGCCGGCTTCTCAACCGGCCTCCGGCCGGCCACCTTCGTCTCGGTCGGCTGCCGCCAATTTCAGTCGGTTGCAATACCACTGCAAGTCGGTTCGTGGGAAACACTGATTTGCAGTGGCAAGGTTTGCAGCAGGGACCAAGGGTCTAACCAAAATTGTGGCCCGTAGAGGAGACGTAAAACCTAACCGGCACATTTTGCCCCAGGTTTTGGTGACAGCGGCATGACCGGGGTCAAGCCACGGCAAATTGCTGCCAGCTAGGATCGTCTTTTGCCGTCGATTTATGTAGACGTGTATACATCGACCATAGATATCAAGAGTTAGATTATCCTCTACAGCTACGTTTCTGTGCTTCTCTCTTGCAGACGGCGACCGCAGCCATCCAACGGCTGACTTTAAGCCGTCCAGATGAAGCATTTGGATATTTCAACGTCCCCGATCATGCAGCTTATTCTCTACGGTCGCTCGTAATCTTCCTTAGGGCAACCCCTTCATGCCCAGCTTCCTTCTCTCCGAGTCCAAGTCAGAAAGTCGTTGCTAAACCACCATGAGGAATCCCTTTTCCATCTTAGGACTTGGATGAGGGACGCAGGTACGTTGGAAGAGTTGGAAGAGTTCTCGTTGATCTCCAGCTGTCTTCTGAGTTGTGATTTTTTGTTGCAAGAAATTTCGTGCTGCGTCTTAGTTCAAACGCTCAGCAGCTTATATGAAGATGGTCTTTGTCAAGCATTGAAGTCGAAAAAGAGCAGCAAACAAGAGTTTGGTAAGTCCTGCAACATGGATCCGACAGGGATGCCCCAGCAAACCGGACAGGTGACATACCCTCCCCAGATCAATCATTACCAAGGGCAGATCCCGCCTCCGCAGCAGGGGTACAATGTAGGGGCCCAAGGGCTGGGCGCCTTTTCCCCCCAGTATGGAGTTGGCGGCCCAATCCCTTTGCAGCAACAAATGGCCCCAATGGGGGTCCCTCAGAACAATCTCTCGTCCACGTCATACGGAGGGCTCCCAACAAACTCTATGACACCGGGCGCTCCGAATGCTGGCGCCGCGCTCTCCGGCGCCCCGATGGTGTCAAACCAAGCCGCCTCCGAAACGGCCCCGGCGCCCTTCCCTCCTTTCTACGGCCCGCAGCTAAACCCTGCGACGGCGCAGTTCTTCTCTGTCTACGAGCCCCCCCCGCCCGTGTCGGCCCCTCCCACGGACCCTGAGGAAGCGAAACGCATCGACAAAGTGGCGGAATACGCGGCAAAAAACGGGCAGCAGTTTGAGGCGCTCATGAGGGAGAAGCAGAAGGGCAACCCTGCGTACGCGTTTCTGGTGGGGGGGGAGAACAGCGGGTATTACAGGTATAAGCTGTGGTCGCTGCTGAACCCGCACATCCCCCCGGAACAGATGCACCTGGTTTACCTGCAACCGGCCCCCCAGCAGGCGGGCTTTGCATACGGAGGAGCGCCACCGGAGGCGGCGTTTGCTGGTGAGCGCACATGATGGCTGGAAAAGTTTAGTTGCGGCCTAGTGAGTCTGAAACTTGTTTGTTATGATTGGTGGTTCAAAGTCGCAACTCTGACCATGCTGAAAAAGGTAAGTAGCACTTTGCAGGGTTCTGTGAAGGGACATTATGTTTCTCGATGAACCCATTTTAGGGTCACCTTAGACTACGCCCTCCCTCATAAGGTGGCCCGATGCGGTGGTCAAAGAAAATGTCTCTGAACGTAAAATTGATGAGGGTTTCTCGGTCTTCGATCAACAGGTGGATGATCTCAGATTGACGTTATGTCATTGTGTCTAGCTAGACTATGGCCCGGAGAAATCATTTCTGCAGAAATACGCCTGCAGACTGGTGCTTACACCCAGGCTCGTTGGCTTCGTATCGCAATTCCCGAAGAGCTTTTCGTTTGCTTTCGCAAAACCTTCAACATTCAGTGTTTCCTATCCTTCTTCAGGCTAACACTTCACGGACCCTTCCCGTCCTACAGGCCAACCACCGTTTGCTCAGTTCCCCCCTCCCGCAGCAGCCCCGCCCGCGCCGTCCCTCCCCACTGACGTCAGCTCGGAGCTTGCTGACGTTTTGGAAAAGCTGACGGGAACGAAAGAGTCGATCAAGGGCACGAAGGCCTGGTTCATGGAACGGGTGGGGGTGCATTTGACGGGGATGGTCGGGGCGCTGCGAGACAGGGTGCTGAACCTCGAGGAGGTTGACAAGCAATTGCATGTGATCTATCTCGTGAACGACATTCTGTTTAGCTGGTGAGTGTTGTAAGATGAAAGCTTCTGGTTTCTGGTTCTTTTGGACTGTGAGGTGGCTTTCAGTATGACAAATCGAGAAGCAGCTGCATGTGATTTAACTCGTGAATCGCATCTTGTTCGACTGGTGAGTGCCTAGAGATTTCATAGTTTGGGGCCTCCGGTGGAAAAAATTCCGAGTTGCGTCTAGTTGTGACGACAGATGAAGGACGAGAGATGAAAGATTGGAGAAGAGACTAAGCCCCACAAGCTGCAGCAAGATGCTGGTTGGGAATCCAAAATTCAAGAGCATAGTCTGTGGTTGGTGAGTTTGTGAATGAGATTGTTGTTGAAATCAACATTGTACGAACTCTTGTGAAGGTGACAGTCTGGACGCAACCGTGACCATACAGCCGGCAGCCATGCTCTCTAAAGTTTATCTCAAGGATTAAGGTCACACAGATCCCAAGCGAACGGTCTCGTTAGTGGCCTTCATGGATCGTGACAAGTCCCTTTCGAATTGAACGACTTAGGGATAGGATCCATTTCTGACCTAATCAAGCTTGCAGCCGTCTTTGAGCTTTCCTTCGGACCCATCTGAACGTTCATTCTTACACAAGGCTGGAAGAAGTTCTGGACTGTCGCTTCAAATCGCAGCTTTCTTTGTGCACAGTTTGAGCCAACGGACGACCCCGTCCGAATTGGACGCTATCTCTCTGGACTTCAGCCCCGTCCTGGGCCAAATGCTCGCCGCCGCTTATAATAACGCGACTGCTACAGAGACCAACAAGGAGCGGCTAACGAAGATTCTCCACTTCTGGGGTTCCAAGGTGAGCGGAGCGAAGATCTTTTCCTTCTTCAACTCGTTGATACTTCGTGAGTTACTCGTGCTCGCCGCCCCTTTAACAACGCAACTGCTACGGATATCAATAAGGAGTGGCTAACAAAGATTCTCCACTTCTGGGGCTCTAAGGTGAGCTGAGGGTTAAAGGTTACTCTTCTCCATCTCATTGAGAGCTTGCGAGCTTTGATAGATGTGGCGGTCAGCTTTTGGGCTTTGTGTCTAAACATCCCAAGCGCAATCGGAAGTGTTCCAGATTCCTGAGGATAGTAACATCCGATGAGATCGTAGAATTCAATGGTTAGAAGCGAAAGGGTTCGTCTGAAGGAAATCGGACAAGAATTGGATATGTACTGTGAAGAGGACGGGGAAGGGAGGAAGCTGCAATTGCTTGTAAGAGTCGACGTTGCGTCAAGAAAGGCCCGGCTATCGACAATGACCAGTCAACGACTCTCTTACGAGCTTGAAAAGGGATGGACCACTGCGTGTAAGGTTGACCAAAGTGCTCCAAATGTTTTTCACCGGAGCTGCACTTCCCACATTTGACCCACGGCACAAGAAGCAAAGGACATGGCTGAACGGACCGGCTATGATCCGTGAGGGTCATCGCAGCAAGGCCAATCATCCCTGGAGTTGTCGATGCTTCCAAGTGGGATTCCGAGTGTGCTGCGACAGTTAAGATTTGTCATGTCGTCAGCCTACAGAGTCACACTTCGATTCCTTCAGGCAAGTACAGCGGGCTGATCTGATCTATTTCACACGCAGGACGTTTTCGACTCGACGACAATTGCAGCCCTCGAGAAAGAAATGCAGGCCGGTCTGCCAGCTAACCCCCCCATTTCAACTCCCCCCCACGCCCCCGTGCCCATTCCCCCCCAGACGTACGCTCATTCCCCCAGCCCCTACGTCCCCCCGACTTCGTGGACCCCCCCTCCCCAGCAGTACCCCATGATACCCCCCCAGCAGGACCCCTACCTTTTTGGGGGGCACCCTATGCCCGCCACACAGCCCCCCCCGCAGTTCGCCCCTCGCTCCACCGGCTTCTCGTCGAGTCCCTTCCCTCCTGGGGGTGACTTCGCCCAGCCGGGTGGCCCCCCGGCGGAGCCGGATTTTCCACCGTTCCCCCCGGGACTGATTCCTGGGATGGTCCGGAAAATGCAAGTGGGCAGTGGGGTTCCGTACTCGCCGATCAGCCCGCTCGACATCCCGACAGTGATCCCCCCAGCCGCGCAAACAGAGACGTACTTGATTTCGCGGTTGAGGAATTTCTACAAAGAAGTTGGTGTTGGGGGGGACGATTTGGAAGTAGACGCGGGGCCCGATGTCGAGGAGCGCAAGACGGACCGCCGATTTACGGATACGAAAGAGATGCCGATGCCGACGCTGAACATGGAAGTGAACGCGGAAACGGGCGCGCTAGATGACGGCAGTTTCTACGGTGGGCTTGGGACTGGGCGGGCGGGGCTTGGCGCCGCGGAACAAACAGAGGAAAATTCTGACGAGTTCTCGTCGTATAGGAAAGCGAGGAGTACGAACTATCACATGTCGATCGGAGTACGGACGGGCTGACCTTATGGGCTGTTTGCCAGTTGTCTGCACACCAGATTTTGAAGTCAACTTGCAAAGCGCGTCGGCCAAGTGCGAAGTTGGTGCGTCTCATGCTTGCACCAAAATCAGCAACCAGTTTTCTGTTCATTTTTGCAGCCGCGCTCTGCATAAGTCACTTGCATAATTTGGAACTTTGGATATGGACGCGGAACTGGAACGGCCGCCAGTCGGAGCCTTGCATATGGCGCGGCTGCTAATGTTTAGTACGTAGCTAGGGCCTTTTGTTCGTACATGTATACGCTAAACCCGTCACCAACGATCTGCACTTTAGGAGCCACTAGAATCCATGCAATCCCCATGCGCCAGCTTGGTTCCGAAATGGGCGCGAGACCAGCTTCCTAGATAGACGGTTGCGGCGCAATTTGCTGATCCATGCCAGGTTTCGCATGTGTGTTGCATGCTCTAAGTTAGGCGCGCGGCCATGCTTATGTCTATACGTACAGCGGCAGCTGTAATGATCTATCGTTGTTAGCTACTTGACTTTGGAAATCAGAAAGCCCATGAAGCGTCCGCGCCGAATTGGCCAGTCATACAATCATGCAGCATTAGGCGAAATCACGTATTTGACTTAATGTGTCAGTGTGCAGTGCCTATAATTGACCAGTGCCTAGGTCTGTGACGAGTGGGGGGGGGTCGTCAATGATACCAGACTGCGACACGTGTTTGGACGTTCGACAATTATGACGGAAGAAGTTGTCAGCATGACACGTTCGTTAGGATGCTGAGTACTGTTCCTTGGTGGGTTCCATCCGCGCATACGAGGCGCCACTTCGCGCTCTTCTGGCCGATGAAAATTTCTATGCACGGGGCGCTCGTGGACAAGCGCAGACAAACGTGCATGGTTTCTGCATAAGCGCCGCAATCTTCGTGGATCAACTAGGCGGCCCTTGGCCCTGCACCTCAAACAGGGACGGTGGAAACGGCAACTCTAACCCGAGAGCTGAAAGGCGCAAAGTTTCAGCTTTGGCTAGCAGCGGCTCAGCTTGTTCAACCGAGCGTTGCCTTTCTTCCAACCGAGAGGGGCCGGCAAGGACACTCTCGGGCGACCTTGTGAGGTGGGTGATCAGACAATCAACTCCATGCGCATGCGTCACAGGCTCTGTCATCTGGTATGCGAAGCAACGCCATCAAAGACAGCTGCATTTGTCCACGAAGGCGCCGACAGTCTTCAGCCTTTTAAGTATGCCGAGTTGTTCAGCTCGAGCACTTCTCCCTTTGTGTCTCTTCGAACATCTGTAGCTGAAGTCAAGAAAGTCTGCATGAGCATCTGGTGTTTGTTATGCTTAGGCTGCTGAAAAGGTGGACTAGGAAGAGAAGACAGACTTGAGAGTAGTTTTTCAAGCTGCTGCAAACAAACATTTGAGCTCTCTGCTACGAACAGCTCTAAGCAGCATGCTTTTGTTTTAAAAGTCGCTCCCCCTTCAAAGCACCCACGGCTCAAACCATCTCAGTCTCCCACCTGCTTTGCACAGCTGCTAGTCTGAGTTGCATGGCCGTAGAGGAGAGCTGTTTAGGAGTAGGAAACAAACGTCGCAGAAGTAGCGAGACCGCTGAATGCACGGAGCTACTCGAAGAGGCCGCAATGCATGGCTGTATGAGAATGATCAAGAGCCGTAAGAAGCAGCTGATGACGTGGGCAGACGCAGAGTCTGACTCTTCTTCTTCGAGCTCTGGGTCAGATGTTGAAGATGTGACGTCGGTGCGGATCCGCGCGCTTCTACTTTGTCGGCCTTTCCGCATTGGCTGGAACTTCTCTTGCGCTACCATGTTCAAAGGCTTTATCTCGTCGATCATATCAGATGTCGTGGGATATGCCATAAAACCCCCAAAGCATGTACACGGTCTTTTACGTGCTTCGTGACCTCTCTTCAGTCACAAGGTTCTACTTGTGATCTCGTCTGATTTGGCAATGCCCATCTTTTTTCACGCTGCCAAAGTTGAAAGTAGTACCGTCGCAACGGTTTAGAAAGGAAACAATCGAAACCATTATATTCTCCCATCCCTTCCTTGATTGTTCCAACGTTGCCTCTCATTAGTCATCCACTATTTGTTGCGATCTTTTTTCTTCGAAAAGGTGTTTTCAATTAAGGAATCCCTGTCTCGTTTTGTGAAGAGACCTTGATTTAGCGCCCTCAAACGCTATCACAAACCTATGGACTTGCGATTATTCTTGGAGGGACTGCCTTCATTGTTGACGAGAACTTGAAAAAGGGATGCTACTGACCAATTGACCTTACGAACATGTGAACCGATGTCACGGTGATCTGGAATCCTTTTGAAGTTGCCAAGTTGCTGGCCTGTGCCCCGTCTCCTCGTAAAGCTGTCTCTTAGTCAAGGTGGTCTCAAAGACTCGCTGCTCTAATCAGGACAAGATCAGATCACGTATTCGTACTGTCTTCTGGTTTTCAGGTCATGGCAAATACCAAAGGCCAACGTGGCTCAAATGCAACACGCAAGCTCAACCGGGAACCTGGACGGGATGCGGGCAAAGCGGGGAGCGGAACCGGAACGACCAAAGTGAAGCATCAGAACGGAAGCAAAATTGGAACGGTAAAGCCGACATGGAAAAGCGCCGGAACAGGAAGCGGAACCGGTGCCAAAGTCGTCCCCAGCAAATCAGCGAAGGAGACAGTGCAGACATTGCCTGACACGACATCCGACGAAGAAAGCGAAGCCGGGAATCGATCTTTGAACGGGCGTGTAAGCGGAAGCGAACCGGAGCCGGAATGGGTGGAGCCTCGGAGGAAGCTCGTTCCGGTGACAGAGACCGGAAGGAACTACGTCAGCCGCTTCGCATACCAGGTCCGTGGAAAGCGCTTCAGAATTTATCTTCAACTTTCCAACTCCTGGAAGCGACTGCGAAACCTTTCCTTCTGTAATATAAGCTCTCTTGATACATATTTTCGCCTTGCCTGGATGCTTCGTCAGAGAGAATCAACGGTGGCCAAAAATCAGTCCTTTTTTGAACGCCCTTGTGGGACACAGAAGACTCGTATGGTCGCCCTCACTTCTGGAACACAGACTGGAACTGGTGAAAGTGAACGAAACAATTTTAAGAACGAAAATTTTCGCTGGATCCGTTCCTTCCTTCAAGCCGCGCCCGACGATTCTGTACCAGGTCTTAATGACAGCGGAGCAAAGATACGAAAGCGCGTCATTTGTTTTTGGAGAATAGAAAAAGAAACGCACGGACCTTGATCTGACTCGATTTCGTTTTCCAAGTCCGATTTAAGCCGCGCGCGGTGGTAAAAACGGCTTCCCGACGTGGGAACAGTGCCACGCAAACGGAAAGTAGTAGTAAAGATCACAGAATCGAACGGACCTAGTTCTATGCAAATCTGATTCTTTGTCAAGGTCTTGAGTCTCAAGCCGCGCGCGGTGCTGTACCACGGCTTCGCAACTTCGAAGCAAGCTGAACGTAGGGAAACGAAGAATTTCCGGAAAAACAGCAGATCACAACAATCGTTTAGCTTATTTATTTTTGCTTTCCAGGTCCTGAGCTTCAAGCCGCGCGCGCTGCTGTACCACGGCTTCGCGACGTCGGAGCAGTGCGATGAGATGGTCGCACTGGCCAAGCGGAAGAAGCTGACGCCATCGCTGACGAAGGGGCAGCGCCCAGGGGACCCGCAGAGGGCCAGGACCAGGTGGGTCCGCTGACGTCACTGAGAACAAACAACTTTTTTTCGTATTGAACGGTAGCGCGAGGCGACATGAATTCTTTAATTGAATTGGAGAGGTCGTTCTGCCCAAAGTCTCCATTTGGATCGTTTTCTGGCGCTGATCGGTCGTCGTCCGCAATTGCTGCCTTCACCCAAGTCGATTCACAGCTATTGGTTGTGCTTATAGCTTCCGATTTATGTTGATGTCCTGGCATTCATCAAATGTCGTGCGCAACGTTCCCGTGCCCTTCGAGGCATGCTTCTGCAGAAATGTAAAGAGGCGCTTAAGAAAGAAGGACCGAGTTTGGCAGAGGCCTCGAGCACAGCCAGCGTCGATCCAGACTGCTGGACAAAAGCGGAGTTGGTCGAGATGCTTCTTGCGAACCTGCTTCCACTATAGCTTTTTCACTACCCTTACGTTCCGCCTTAGATCGCGCGGTTTTCCAAATAAATATCTGCATCCTGCTTGCAGCTGGGGCGTCTTCCTTCCTCCAAAAGCGGACGGCTCCGGCGTCGTAGGGGAGTTGGAGCGGAAGCTAGCGGAAGCCATCATGATACCGGAAGATCACGGCGAGGTAAACTGAACCTCAGTCTGACAGTAGTCCCATAGAATAAAGGTGAATCGACCACTTAATTGATGACTGTAAAAACCAACCCGCTAACTACCCTTTCAAAGAACAACAGTCGTTTCTCTGAACCATTTTCTCTGTAATGGAGTTGCAAGGCGCGCAGTTACATGCCGATCATTTTGCTGGCAGCGTTTGCAAGTACTTCTCTCAACCTATTCTTCACTTGGAACGAAGCTAAAATCAACCTATGTCCCTCAACATTGTCATCAATGCAACAGCTTCCCATTCCGGTTCTTCGTCGAAATGACACTCAGATCTCAAAGTCATGCTAAGATTGACTCGACGTGGCATCTTCCAGCACCAGAAACCCGAGCCGCGGATGTCGGTTTTAAAAGTTGGATCTTTGTAAGTTTCGGAGTTTTTTCTGGAGAAGTTTTGAAGAACTTGCACTTACGTGCAGGAGTTCAACGTTCTGCGATATGAGATCGGCCAAAAGTACACCGCGCATTTCGATGACCCGTGCCGGAACCCCGGACTGCGCGAGAGTGGACGGGTACGTTTCCGGCGACCCCGTTTCTCGGCTCGCAACCCGTATGGTCGCCGAGCCGAGGTAGCTGACGTGCTGGGAACTTGCCTGCTTCTGGCGCTTTCACACCGTCATCGACTTCAGAAAGGCCTCCGGCCAAGGGTTTGTACGTTCAGTGCAGTAACTAGATGCGCGGGGAGCTTCAGCGCTGGCTCTGGGAAGATCCCTAGCGTCCAAGTCATCACTCTCAACGTTTCGAGTGCAACAAGCAGAGGCGCCCACGATCCATTGTTTACGGATCGTAAAACCGTAAACAAGCCCGATCTAGAAGGGGGTTTACCTTTCACTTATCGAAAGAACATTGAATTGGGCTTCTGGTTTTACCGCAAGCCGTCGTCTGCAACGGCACACTGGAAGGATTCGCGATCGGTTGGATATATTGTCAAAGCGGTTGCTGGTCTTTCGAAAGGTCCATCTTGTCAATTTTACTTGAGGCGCTCGCCCGCACTAATTCTTTTGCAGCTTTGACTTTGACCGGTCAAGGCGCTCTCCGGTTCCGTCCGTCACCAATCCGGTGATTTTCCACGCAGCGCTTTTTGACAGCGCGATCATTTTGGCATCACGATCCTGACAATCTCAGCCCGCTCAGAATTTCGAAGTTGTTAAAAGCGCGGTTCTAAGCGACGGCTTCACGTCCCCCGCAGATGGCTTCGTTTCTGCTGTACCTTTCTGACGTGGCGGAGGGTGGAGAAACGTGCTTCCCCTGCGAGGTGAGCACCCAATCCGCGCGCGATTTTGAAACCTTTCGCGCGTTGTTGGCTTCGTTCTGCTGTACTTTACGCTCGTTTTGATCCTTGTTCAAAGCCTTTCTAACGTGGACAAAGGCAGGCCGGAGACGGGCTTCCCCCTGCGAGGTTGCATCCGATTGCGGGCGCGACCCAGAGGGATGATCCGCGCGCGTTTTGATTTCCTTTCCTAATTTTAATTCCTGGAACACTGAGCGCAATAGGTGGGCCCCATAAAGGCGTCGAATTCTTTGCTTCTCGAGTACGCGTGCGCCTATGGGCGACCCTGGCTGTGTTTTTGGGGCTGGCTCAGAACTGCGAGAAATCGCATGGCCAGCTTCAATCCGAGACGGGGATTCTTGCGCTTATACAAGGGAAGGATTGGATATCGATAGGAAAAATATCGATAGATCTCCAATGGATATTCTCAGCCGTGGCGCCGTTGTTCTGAACTAGATCAGTGGTTTGATGGGTTTTGCCTCGAGGTTTCGCCCGTTTGACTTGAGGCTTTTGGGGTTCTGCTTGATCAAAGAGCATGATCTGGAATCTCGACAACGCTTACCTCAGGCCTTGAGAACTTGAGTGCAAATTGACGGTTATAAATCCAAAAAAAAGTCTTAAAAATACAAAGTTACGGTTATAAAATATGAAAGACATTTTTTTCAAAAGATTTTTTCAATTTCATCATTTTTAAAAAGATTTTTTCAATATTATCTTTACTACTCAACATAGGCCACCGCGAGATCGACATTTACTCCCGTAAAACCAATATTGACTCCCGCAAAAGCCAACATTGACTCTAGCACTCCGCTTGGTGCAGAACGGCGACGAGGCGGATAGCGACTGCGACGGGTTTGCGGGGTTCAAGGTCAAGCCGCGCAAGGGCGACGCGCTCCTGTTCTACACCTTCCGGCCCGACGGGACGCACGACGAGGTAAAGACGTCAGAAAGCTTATTTTCTCAAGCTCGTCCTTTCCATTTTGACTTTTAGTGCATCTGGCTTGACATGTTTTCCTATAATAACTTTGAAGTTTGAGACCTGAGCGGCCGTCGCGGTAGCTTCGACGTGCAACGTCTGCTTTTGACGTCGCTTCACGAGCGCTTGTAAGAGAATCTGGTGTTGCGACAGGAACGGCGGTGGGCATTTTTCATTCTATACTCGCACTTTTGATCCGCTGCAAGCACGTTTTTCGGCACAGGCGCCTGTTGATACACGCACCACTACCTACGGTGAATGAGGTAACGCAAATCTAACTCTGTGATTGGGTTGCGGTAGTCTTCATTCAGCTGTCTGAGCCACTCGAATAGTGAACGGAAGAAAGACTGACGGCTGCTATGACAACGTCTGCGTGCGTCCGCGAAAATTTTGCTCCTCAGTCTGTAAGAGATACTTCATGTTATCTCTTGGAGTAAACTGAATGCAGGTATCGGTCGATATACCCAGTTGTGCACATGGAGCTTGCTTCCGTTCTTGTACATGATCCAAATGTAACATATCGCGCGATGTTAGCCGCGATTCAATGCGCTTTCATTCATTCTCTGCTTTTGCAGGCTTCCCTCCACTGTAGCTGCCCGGTGGTCCGAGGGGAGAAGTGGGTAGCAACCAAATGGATTCATGAGAAGCCGGTCTACTGAAGGTCGAAGGCAACCGGAGTCCCAAACGCCGTCCGTACAGCAGATCTCCTTCTTTTGCAAGAAGATCGCGGTCGAATACATGAGATGGCATTAGGCGACAGCTTGACGCTGAATGAAGTCGGTCTCTCGGCCTGCAAAGACTGGGCCACTCAAGTACGGATGCCTGCGTTATTCATTTTGCCCATCGTGTTTCGAGCCGTATCAGAATCTTAGCCGCCTACTGCAGCAATGCGTCACTGCATCAATGGGCTGAATTCTAAAACCAATAGAAGCCAACAAAGGGAGCTTTTTGTTGTCAACATGAACACGACGTATAAAAGTCCATCGGCCATACCGCGAAATAAAGACCGCATTGGCACGAACTTCTCAAAAGTATATATTCGTGGCCGAAAGCTGACACTGACATACTTAGACGTCTAGAATATTGTCGAATAGTCGATGATGCTACAACTAGGCGAAAGAAGCCACTTTTGCATATGAGTCTAGTACAAGTCAACTCATCCCTTAGACGACTGATCCAACTCCTCTTTTGAGAGTCAGTATAATTAGCTAGGCAGCATAGGGCCACGACGGTCAGACAGCGGGGCCTTCAACCCTAAAACCTTGAAAGCCTTGAAATGCTATTGGAGCTGAACCGCTTTCGGGCTTCAGGTGTTTCAGGGGGCGGTTCTTGCAGTTCCAGATTCAATGAGTGGTCGAGTCTCGACTCTCGTGGCTCTCGCCTCGCTCGGTTTACTTGGTCAATGATTGCGGCAATGATTGTGTAAAAAGAGCACATCCGAAAGTGTCCCATCCGAACTTTTCGTTAACGTTACGGGCGGGGCCCGCGGGAGGTCCCGGTTAGGACAGCCGGGCCAGGATTTGGACAAAAATACGTTGAAATGAACGGCCGGTACGGTACCCCGGCCGGTCCTTTACGTACCGCCTACGCATGGATAGTCAAATCTCACCCGGTCCGTCTGGTCAGCGGTGTGCCGGTGGCGTCATGACCCGCGAGAATCGCGCCCGGCTGGGATAAAAGTGGTCAAAAGAAACCCTGTTTAGTAACCCGAGAGAATAGAGTGCTTCGCTGGTCCACCAAATAGGGTTTCTCCTTGACCCAGCTCAGGCAGCGTATCTGTATCAATGTGACAAGCCTGAAGCACGAAACACGGAGGGTGAAAGTGGAAGGGTACAGAACTGGAAGGAAGGAGAAACTGGCAGGGTGGAACTGGAAGTGGAACTTGAAGAAGAAGTCTGGAAGGGGCATGGTCATTGTTCCCACGAAGAGGTAGCTGGTACTAAGGTCGCTTCTTCAGCCGGATCTTAGGAAAGACCCTCAACTTAGGTGCTCGATAATCTTCAAAGAGCTGCGGCAGTTTCACAGCCATATGATAGACGTTGAGTTCAATGTGGGATCTGCTTGTTTTCGCAGAAAGCAGTGAGCTAGCTGAACATCAGCGGTGCCTTGTCTTGTCCGGGTGCCGGTACTTCAGGTGAGTATATTTCTTCTATCCACAACTTTGCAAACCTCTTGCGTTGGATAAGTGGCTTGCCAGAATTTTCCAGGACACTGCATGGCTGTTGAAATCTCTGCTCGCGTTTCTTGCGATCGTGCAGTCCCGTTGGTGGTATCGCGTTTGCTTCCGCTTAGCTGTGAATAATGCGAAACATGATGCCGCTGACAATGTTAAAAGTGGTGGCATCAACTCAGGATCTGTGAAGATCCTGTTGTATGTAAAGGTGCTTGCTGGTTGTTGGTGGCCCCTCTAGCTGGCCGTCGATGAGAATGTGGTCTGTGCTTAATTTTCTGCATATAATGTGATTAAACACAGAAAGCTGAGCTTAAATCTATAGTTTGTGTTTGACGCAGCTCCTTCTGAGCAGCTTGCCGGTTCTAGACAGATTGGGAAGCCTAAAGGTTAGAAACTTAGTCAAATCTAGACGAATTAACTAACCCTGACTAACGTTTAAGCTCCCCCATCCTAGTAAGAGTGGCACGTTGCTTGAAAGCGCTGTCCCTCTCACCTTCTAACAAGGCCAGCGCTCTCACAGCCTGCTTTCGCAAGCCGCTACTTCAAATTTAACATCCGCTCCGTCTCCAGGCTCCAGAGAGCCCCGTCTACAAGCTGACCACAACACTTTTGCAAAGCTTCCAAGCCACTACTTTAAACGTGACCTCTGCTCATATTTCAGGGATCAGAAGAACCCCATCTACAAGCCGACAGCAACGACTTAACACCAGATGCGGGAATGAGCAGCGCCTCCCTCCAACAAGATGTTATCGTCGCTGCGGAAGAAGCACCCATCCTCGTTCTTCTCCCTGCGGTGCTTCTCGCTGTTCCGCATCGTGATCGGGATCCTGCTGTCAGCTCACATCCTCCTCCATCTGCGTCACTCGCACGTCTTATCTCTAGAAGGCCAGACGGACGCATTAGGTGAGGGTTTATCGAGCAATTTAAATATGTTGTTAAGATTGCGGCCTTGTAGAAATGCCATCAATTTGTCAGCGACAGTGTTTTGCAACAGTTGGCAACTTCTCTGCTTGTCCAGCTTTTGAGAGCCGCAGCTGGACTCAGAAGCGTTTCCCTTCAGATTGTCAATCCTACGCAGTTCTGGGTTCTGTTTAGCCTGTTTCGGAGTAGGAGGCTTGTTGTACCGTAAGATTTCAAAGGTTTCACTCGCTTTGGTTGAGAAGAGTACTTACGATACGTTTGCGTGGCTTGCAATGAAAGGCTGCCATCGCTCGCCAGTGCCGTGTTGAAGAATATCAGCGGCCTGCTAATCGCAGGTGTCAACGCTCGGCTTCAGGCTTCCTGGTTCGTCTGATCATATCTTTTGGACAGGTCTCTGTATGACAACATCAAGCATGATCATTTTCATCTTTAGCTCAGCTATTCTAGATGGGGCTGTCATAGAGGTTTCTTGCATACCCTAAGGACGAAGTGTGCCAGTCTCGGCACCAGAGGTCTTGAGCTGACCATTTTGGGGAGTCTTGTCACGTCAGTTGCAGTGCGACAATCGTTTTAGGTGTTCCACAGGCTCCAGAAACCGAGAGTGAATAGTAGTGTGTTTGTTGTCTCTCTTGGCTATTCCGTCTCAGCAATTGCTGTCCTCTGACAAGACTCAAAGTTCGTTTTGAGAGATGAAGAAATGCCCCTCTTTTACGGCGGAGGAACCTGCTACAAAGAAGGACAGCCGTTTCGCCTTGATGCTTGTAGTCCTTCATAGCATGTTGGTCCTTTCTCCATGGACTGCTGTCCGCTCAATGATGCTCGTTCTCAGTACCAGAATCCAGACAACCAAGTGTTGTCATCCGCATCGCAGGTGACGATGACTTTGACAGAGGTGCCACAAGCTCACCGTCCCGCTTCGGGCAAGCCGCTAAGCTCGTGGGATCTTTTCTGCCGAAGACCAGAGCTGGGAACGCCGTTCCGAAAAGCGCGCAATCTAGACGCGCACTTTTTGGGGATTTTGTGAATGGCCTTACCGGGGGGAAGCATGCGGGGGTGTCTGAGGGGGGGGTTGGCAAGGGGCGCCAAGCGGGGGGCAAACAGGGTGAGCTGACTTTGTCCCCCCTTGACAAGGAAAACGAAAAAGCTGGTTCGCTGCCTGACTCCCAGGGGGGTGGTACTGGTAGCTCAAATGACCCCCAGGAAGAGGCGAAAACGGGGGCAGGGGTTGAAGGGGGCGAGGAGGAGACGTCAAGGGATCCCCCTGGAGAGGGAGCTTCACAGGAGGGGGAGTCGGAAGAGGAGCAAACAGACCTCCCAAGGGAGGACCCGCTAATGGGTGTGCTGTCACCGGAGGATAATGAAGAGCTCCAGCAGATCGAGGGGTTGCTGGAGTATGAGATCTACGTCGCAGATAGGGCGGCAGCAGGCGACTTTGATGAGGGAGAACTAGACCGGGAAGAGGAGCCGTCCGGACCGGTATCGACAGAGAAGCATTGCTTTGGGGGGGGCTGCGCGAGCAGTGGAAAATCTGAGGGGGCTGCGACGGAGAGCGCGAGTGCGGCAACGCAGGGGAGCGATGCTGATTCAGAGGATGAGCAGGCGTCAGAGAAGCATGGAAAGGACGGAGAAGGGTTCGAGCCTGTTGACGAGCGGCAGTCTACGGACGGACGGGCTTTAGAGGTGCAAGAAAAGGACGGGGCAGAGGTTGCGTCTTTGGAGAAGGCCGGGAAAGAAGAGCGTGAGTTGGAAGAGTCTGATACCGATGCAGCGTCGGGGGAGGCCGATGAACCCGACTCAGAGGTTTCTGAGAGTGGGGATGTTCAGACGGGGAGTGACAAGAAGAACGCCGAAGAAACTCTCAAAGAAGCTCCTGTTGTTGCGAAACCCGAAACCGACAAGTTGAGTAAGAGCCGAGGGGCCTTCGAGGGCCCCCTCTCGTCGGATGACGTCAGAGACCCAAAGCGGCGGCGCGCGCTGCTGCAAAAGAAGATCGACGAGCAGCTCAAGCCGTACAAAAAGGGGGGGTTCACGTTTGCTGACGTGGCAGCGCAGAAGGAGAAGAACCGGATGAGCACGCACTTCATCATTGAGCCGGGGAATATTACTCTGCTCAAGGATCCGGCCGAGTTGAGCGACAACTGGAGCTACTGGTTTAGGTGAGGCTGTGGTTGGTAATCCATTCTCATGACTTCGGAAACGCTGAACTGCTTGAAAGCGGGCTTGCTTTCCAACTTCGCGCTTGCGCCTTCTACGCGCGTAGCCGCGGGGTTCGGACTAGACTCTCATTGCACTGGAAAGTGTTGAGCTGCTGTCCACAGTATACGACGACTCAATGAGTCTTGCTTTCAGAGTATATTAGCGGATAAGTGGGAACAGTGCAACACCCTCTGTTGCTCGGACTTTTGATTTTGGAGCTCGCCAGAGGGCAGCAATTGCTGTTGCCCTGGGTCAACAGATTTTGTTCACAGCAGGGCTTGTGAAGGCTTCGCATCAAAACGTACGCCAGGAGATTGTCCAAGTCCCAGCATCGCCTTTATTGCTCGCGTCTGCAAGCCAGGATGAGCGATTGGGGCCGAACTTTTCTGCTGTGGTCACCTGATGCAGCATATATTCTGGCCCTTACCTTCAACACAACAACGATTCATTATTGCTCGGACGGAATCTGCATTGTCATTGCCGAACGCTGAGATGTCTCTGAAGTAAGGACCAAGCAATCACGCGGTTTCTTTGACGCTGACTGTTGCAGTTTGCCTTGCACAACCGAAGCTTGTTGTTGAATCGCCCGAAAGTCCTCTTGCTTCTTTCTGCTCTCTGCATGCTACTCCACTTTGCTCGGACTCTCAAAACCTTTCCCTCGGCCCCCTGTTTCGTGCTTAGTCTCATGCGACCAACATCGCCGTCTACGATGAAGCATCGCTCTTCACTTCTGTGCTCACCCACGTTCTCACCTTTCGGCAGAGCCGATCAGGTTCGGCAGATCTTCCAAAAGCTGAGCAAACAGGGGCGAATGCCCCACCACGTGGAGTTGGTTCCTTGAATTTTATTTCAACCCTCCTCAGCCGCTACTAACCCATGTTTTTTCTGCTCTCGGCAGGGCCGATCAGGTTCGGCAGATCTTCCAAAAGCTAAGCGAACAGAAGCGCATCCCCGACCATGTGGAAATCGTGGTCAACATAGAGGCCTCCCCCCGGTTGCTTCGCTCGGAGGGATCCCCCGACCTGCCCCCGGTTCTCAGTTACTGTTCGACGGCGGACCACTACGATCTGATTGGCGTGGGGTATCAGTACCACCGGTGTCTCATGAAAGAAGAGTACGCCAACGACGAGATGTGTAAAAAACAACGGTGGAACCCGGAAGCGATCCGGAAAGAGCACCCCTGGAAAAAGCGAATGGATACGGCGCTGTGGCGTGGGTCTCCAACGGGTGAGCACGAATCAAACTTCGTCCTTCTTGTCTGAATCTTGAGTCTTTGCTTCGGACAAACAAGTGTGGTCTTGCTTGTCCAAAACGAGCTTCGCGTTCGTTGTGTGTCTACCCTCGTGGAGTTTCACGCCATGCTAGATGGAGCAGTTTTGAACGTTCATCTAGTGGACCATTTCCGGTTTCAGTCGCTTGAAAATGAGGGACTTTCGGAGTGCGTGAAACCTCTCTTCCTCGGTGCTTGTTTGATCAACCTGTACGCATAACGTGACATCGAGCAGGCTTGCTACCCTCTGACTGAGCATTAATCCCTAACAAACGGCTCCTCTCGGATTCAATGGCACTTTATGTGAAGCCCTCCCGCTCAAAGAGATCAAGTTCGTTCCGTTCTGCCTGCAGGCGGGTTGTACCGGATTGAAGACTGGAAGGAGAAGCCGCGGAGCCGGCTCGTGATTATGTCCAAAACCTATCCCGACGTGCTGGACGCTATGTTCACGCCGTGCTCCGATGGGCAGTGCACGAAGGACGGCGCAGCTGCGATTGGCGAGGTGAGCGATCCCGAGCAGCTTTGGAGTGTGCACTAAAGTGTAGAATTAGAGGTATCCTATGTCAATCGGAGCTATTTGAGCAACTCGCGAGCTCCTTCAAAGTTCCTTGAAAGTGTGCACGAAACCTGGTTTGAAAGCAAGTTATGGAGGAAATTTTGGTTGTGTGCGTTCGGTTCGCGAGGGCGGTCGAACCAGACTGCCAGCTGTGTGCCGTCCCGATCTGTTACAGTCCCAGGGAATCAATGGCAAAGTACTCAACAGCTCGCTACGAGCTGACCAAGGGTCACATCCTTCTTCGGCGTCCTTCTTCAATCATTAGCTGGTCAGGAAAACGCTCAATGATTCGTGTACAAATTCTAGTTGTTGCATCTGTCTCATGTGTCTCTTTTTGACCGGGACCTGAGTTAAGCTGAGCGGCTGGCTCAGGGTAAACGTAACCAGTCCTCAACCCTGTCTAGTGACTGAGTCTCAATCCTGTCTACTCACTGAGTCTTTCCCTTTGTTCTCCCTTCGTAACCAGGAGCTGGGTTACGCTGACCGGCTGGCTAATTTCACGGACTACGTGCATCACAAGTACCTGGTGGACATCGACGGGGAATCGTGGAGCTCGCGCTTCTTCCAACTGCTCGCGTCGGGGGCGACCATTTTCAAGCAGGTGGGCGCTCATTGGTCGCCCTTGATCCTTTTCCGATTGAGAGCGATCGTTGTTTTCCACTCCAGATCACGGTCGCGACACCCTTGCTCTTCTCAGGACTAGTTCAACTCTTTACTTCCCCGAAGTTGATGATTCGCCAGTGCTTTCCGTCTGTTTGTGAGCGGTTAGTGCAAGCAATTTCTAACGTGATCCATCCAACCCAGGGTACACACGCTTCCACGATGATAGCGATGTTTGTTTGACAGCCGTGACGTTTCGGGGAGACGCTGCGGAGAAGGGAACGTGGATTGAAAGCTGTGGCACCTGCCTCCATTTTCAGCACTCCGGGAAAGTCTAGCTCGGCTGTCGCTGACGTCAGCAAGGCTTTTCTCTGCTTGAGGTCCGTTTGCTTTCGAGTAGCTATGAAGGAGCAGGAGACCGATGGAGGACCGGTTTGCCACCTCAATCAGTCGCGTTATCTTTGCCGTTAGTGCGTACCCTTAGCATCTCCCTCTCCATCCGCTTCGCTAACAAAAGATGCTTCATCAACTCTACGCCCCTCAAATCACGTCAATACCCGAGGACCCGAGGACCCAGAAAACATAAGCACCCCGAAACCCGAGGATCCAGAAACCATAAACACCCCGAAACCCGAGGATCTAGAAACCATAAGCACCCCGAAACCCGCGACCATAAAATCTGACGACGATCATAAACCCTGACGACGGTCCCCCCCGTGTTGGTGCAGTCCACCCACTACCGCGAGTTTTCCGACTTCTTCTTCGAAGCGGGGAAGCACTACGAGCGGTACGCCAAGGATCTCGGCGACCTGCTCCCTCTGCTCCAGGGGGCGGAGGGTCGCCAAGAAGAGCTCCGGGCCATGGGCGAGCGGTCCCTCGGGCTGGTCGAGCAGCTGGTCAAGGATGACGTCGTCCTAGAGTATCTGGGCATGTTGCTGACGTCATACACGGAGCTGTTTGCGGAGGAGGGGGGCGCGAGCGACAGCTGAGGCTGTCGGCCCAAGACGTCATCGTTGTCAAAGGGCGGAATGCGAGGGCGGAATGCGAGACCGGAATGTGCTTGGCGGATGCTGGGGGTTTGCGTGGGGTCAGCAGGGCAGCCTGGAAAACGTATAGGGCCATCGAACGCATCTAAGCATGAACTTAAAAGTCAGTACCCTAGAAGCCTCTGTAAGCTAACCACCTTACTATGAATCGCTAACGTGTTGACGCTTGCTGTTGAAGAGTCGAAGTCCTTGTCGCGTGCTTGCAGGGCACTTACCGAACTTAGATATAGACTGCCGTTAAAGTCGTCGACTGTTATCCGTAGTGGATATGTGACTCGGCTAAGATAGGACATGTTCAGTAGAAGGACCAAACCCTCGCAGGCGTACGCTATCCTGGAATCTGCTTAAGTAATATCGAGACCCGCAAGGACGTGCGTACTAGGGATGTGTATGCAATTGGTGTGGAGCGTTGCGGAAATTCCTTTGCAGCCTGTCCTCGACAGACACGAAAGAGCGCGCAGACCGTGTTGCAAACCCTAAAACAGCCGAGCGAAGCTGAACCTAGTAGTATGCATTGGGACTATGCCTCCCATGGTGAAACATAATCGAAATGATCCGTGAATCCTAAGTTAGTTTGCGGGAACTTCGGAATGATGCCGAATATGAACGATACACAGTAGCGACGTTGCATATATCCAATACCGGCAATCCATTCATGGCGCATGCCTTTTGCAGGACTGATGATCTAATTCTGTAGTTGCACAAACACGTTCATGCGAACTGCATGTACAATCCCTTGTATTCAGCTGCACTCCGCCCCATGCCTTTGCAATACGCACGTACGGGCTGTATAAGATAAGTGTCCATTCTGCATGTTACTTTGTAATCGGACTGAGGTTCCGTGTATGTTACACGCGCGCAACATACATTGACTGCATAGCTGAGAAAAGAGTCTTGCCTGGCTGCGCGGATCGACGGTCGTTACGAAGCGCGTGCCACAATAAGAGGTCGCGTGCATATTGGTATGCATTGAAAAACTCCCATGTATACTTGCACAGGACGATTCGATCCGCCGAGTGTACCGTCTGCATGCTTTCATTATAGAATTTATGTCACTGCAACATATGATTGCCAGGCTGGCACCATGGCGTGTCACTGAAAGCCGAGCTAGTCACTGGCAAGTATATTTAGGCTGCCGGTAAACTTAGAGAGTGGGCTCGCTGCAGAACAGGAGAAGACACGCCATGGAGCGGAAGTACGTTAAGGGTCACTCGCTGCATGCAAGATGTGGCAGTATCTATGGTTACTTGCCTCCGAGGAACGATACTTAGGCGTCAGGAGAATTACGACTTGCTAATGAAAGCTACGGCGGCGTCGCTTGCAGTACATTGACGTCAGGTAGAACAATATTTGCATCCATGCCAAAACCGTTGCAGCTGCGGATCGACGCCACCGTCCCTCCAACGGTCTGCAATGCTGCATTTGCCACCACAAACGTAGTTCTCTTCGACTTGAGAGTACGAGGGGTGACATACTGGTAACTCCCATTTCACTAATTGGGAGCCATTTCACTTAAGATCCAAGCTACCTGGGCAGACAAAATAAAAACCCTAACCGACAGAATCACCCGCTCCGCACCCGAACCCACCCTAACCACCATACCAACCCTACCCGTCTCCCGGGCGCCTATCCTAAGTGAAATGGCTCTAATGTGAAATGGGAGTTACCAGAGTAGGGGTGACAAGATCAGGTCGCTGATGCCAAAATACAAAGGAAAGTCGGCTTCTATGATTGTCGAGCGGGCAGCCGATCAATTTATCCCGCCTTTGTCCGGGTGCGGATCCTTTACCTCCGCTCACGGCGTTTCGATGCGAGCTCGCTACCTAGGAACTCGGAACCAAGTCCGAGACGTTTGATGCCTAAGTTCTGATCGCTCGTGATTGTTATAAGAACCCCCTATTCACTCATTTTCACAATGCTCGACACCTCTTATGCTCTGATCTCTCGCCGTAACACCTACTACATTACTGAATGCACATGATCTCCCCGGCCTACGTTTTGACCCCGCGTATTGCTTCAGTTGAAAGATCTAGCTAAACCACCTACCTTGTGGTAACAAGGTAACCACTACTAACCTGGTATAACTAACTTACACTTTCACCTGGTATAGTAATCTTTGAGCGACAGCCCTTTGGGAAACGTCCCAAACCCACTGGTATCCTTTTTAGCCGGCGGTTCTCTCGTCGGGGTTCCGGTCGACATCCTCGGCGGCCGCGCCTTATCGCGCGACAGCGGCCGGACGACCAACATCCGCCCGGGGAATTCGGACGCTCTTCGGACGGGTATTTCCACCCGCTTTTTTAACCCCGGCGCAATACCTAACCTTTCACTGTCGTTCCCGTTGATCAACCTCGCAAAGTCGTCCACAGACGACCTTCCTAACGGCGTACCTAACCGGTTGTTATACCCGATCTCAACCTTTCGGACGGCCGCCAACGGCAGACTGCTCGCCCGGCGGACGTCCGCCTTAACCCGGGCGCTGACTTCGGGCTTTGGCGCCAGGTCGGGCGGCCTCAAAGCCTCGAAACCCTTGATGACGTCATACACCCGCGTCGCGTCCTGCGCGCGGCCGGCGCTCTGCGGTTGCAGAGGCCCCGTAGGACCCTGAAACTCCAGTTGCATGGTGTTGACCTTGAGCGAGACTTTGTTTACGGGGCCTCCCACAAGCGCGGGCATGGTGGAGGGTTCCGCCGGAATTCCGTCCGCCAGACCGCTGAACGTCTCCGCGGCCTGCTCGCGCTCCTCGTCGCTGACGCGGACGCCGTCCAGGGTTTGGAGGGTTGGGAGGCGCGCGATCGCGGTCGCGCGGTACAGCTGGCGGCGCGTGATCTGCAAATTAAGCGTTACGGAGCCCAATAAAGGACGGCGGAGATTTCGGAAGAGACATGGAGTGTGGTCCAAAACAAGCTTTGCCAGGGGCCTCTCTACTTAGAACTGACGGAGGAAATCAGGGTGAGAGATCTCAATGTGGCACAGGGCAAGCTTCGCAAGACGGCTGTTTTGCGAGACAACGAAAGTCGGTCGATTCGAAGGGTCCAGAACCGGCGGCAACCCCGTACTCTCCTACCAGGATCAGGGCCAAGGTTCAGCGAGTTCCTATACCGTGATCAGCTTCGGCGCCCCGATAGGGTGTGCGCACAAGAACCTGAAGTAGCTTCGAAAATGCGACACCAAGTGGGTTAGCACGTTAACCTTGACCACTTCAGCCACTCCTCAGCAGTCAGTGACGCATTGACCAACCTGGTTTAGATAGAAGGATTTCCATCTCAGTTAGGACCGCTCTGAAAGTGACTCTGCGGTCAACCTTCTTACCACCGTCTCATCCGACGCAGATGAGACGGTGCTTGACCGCCCACTAACCTGATTGTTAACCAGGTTCAATTTGGACAGCCCGGACAGCCCCGCGAGTCTATCCAGTTCCGGCAGTTCCGCGATCCGGTTTCCGCCCAGGTACAGGTGCCGCAGCCCCCGGAGCGGCCCAAAGTGCGCCAGCGAGCGCAGCGCGTTCTCTTCCAAGCGCAGCTCGCGCAGCCGGACGGTGTCCGCAAACGACGGGCCGTCCGCGCCCTTGATCTTGTTGCGGTCGAGAACCAGCTTTTCCAGCCGCGAGAGCTTGTCCAGTCCGTCGATCTGCGGGCGGAACAGCGGAGAAAGGAACGGTACGTTATTCACAGCGGAGAAGGCATCGACATCAAGAAACGAACCCCTTTATCTATTTTGTTGCGGTCGAGGACTCGCTTCTCCAGCCGTGAGAGCTTGTGCAGTCCTTTGCAAGCGGAAAGGCGGAAACGGTACGGTACATCGTTGGCAGCGGAGAGAGGAGATCGCTTGTCTTTTGCATAATCAGATCTCTCGACTTGTCTCCTGCCCCTTTTTATGGAAGTCCTTTAGCAGAAAAGTAGTCATCCGATAGAACACTAGCTCACCTACTCTCTACCACACAGGGTTGATCTTTCCCTGTCGAGTTCAACATCGGAGCACGTCGGCATTCAGGCGACTGTGTGGAGATTTATAAAGAGTGGTTACAAGTATGGCGCTTAGGCTCGTGCCATTGCAACAGTGGAGCTCACCTTCACAATCTCGTTGTCTTGGAGCATGACCATCGTCAGCTTCGCGAACCGGTGCAGCTTCAGCGCCGCAATACTGGTGATAGCATTCCCGGCCAAATGGAGCACCTCCAGCGAGGCGAAAATGTCCCCGGGGGATCCCTCCGGGCCGTTCGCAGTGGGCGGCGCGCCCTCGGCCAGCGGCCGGTCATCAATCTTGTTGTTGGTCAGGCGGAGAACAACTAGACGCGGGAGACATCTACAGAGAAGAAAAGAGCGTTGTAAGAGCTCGGTCGGTGAAGCCGCGTTTGTGTAACGAGAGCGCCGGGACGATCTGAGTATCGTAAGATGCCTCCAGACAAGAGAGTCTAGTGATGCTCGCGGCTTTCATTGCTCGCCGCAGTCTCTATAAGAATACATGACGAAAATAATTTTGGAAGATTGCTAACAATCTTCTGACGAGAATGTCCTCGAGGGCTTCAACTGCTAAACCGCAAGAGTCCATCGCCCCCTCTACATTTTCCTGGGTTATAATGACAGGCTTGGAAGCTGCGAAAACAAACCCTAAACCCTTACCGCAGGCCGGAGACATCCGAGAGTCCGTTTGAGTCGAGGTCTAACTCGGTGAGCGCGGCAAACGAGGCGCCTGAAAAGACGGCCCCGCAGTCGCGCAGCTTCGCATCGGACAGGTCCAGACTCTGCGAGGAGCCCCAGAACGTGGTTAGCGTTCGAGTCCGCAAATATCCTGCCGTAGTACCATGTGAGAAGCTGGATGAGCAGATAGTGGAGAATGTCGACCAGTCTTAGAATTGTCACATCGAGGGTCCAATGCTCGGACGAAGAGAGCATTTTTACAAAGAGAGGAAGAATGGACATATGATGAAAGCTTCTGGGCTTTACTGAATTAAGTCAGACATGCAGCAGGCACAATACGTCATCCGATCACTAGGCGAATCACCGGTTTCACAACTTTTTCTACTCTTCTCACACGGAAGTCGACAGCAACCTATAGAAGTCCGATTCATTTTAAACCCTGGGGAACCGTACAGAACATGTGGGGTTCCCTTGAGCTTGTGGACTGTGATTACGAGGGTTACCTTGACCCCGTCAAAAGCGGTTCGGCCCGTCCTCTCCTCGAGCTTCTCCAGCGTGAGTCGACCCGTGTACTTGGCGATCGCCTGCGCTTGCTCGCCGTTGTCCACGCCCAGACCGTCCAAGACCTGCGGAAAGATTTTTCGGGTTAAGACCGACGTCCGGACTTTGCAATTTGAAGTTGGGGTTTGAAACTGGGTTAGATATAATGGGGTTGGGGTTTATTCTGCGTTTATTGCCACGCCAAGACAGTCCAGCATCCGAGGGTTAAAAGTATGGCTATACGGGTAAGTGAGGTTCTGAGTTGGCTATCCAAAGTTAGGGGTTGAATTATGGGTCTGAGGTTAGGTTTCCGGGCAGGTTTGAAGCCACACAAGCAAGTAGAATACTCGCATAAAAAACCATTGAAGCAGATGGAAACCGTGCTTACCTTAAGCTTGCGCAGCGAGAACAGGGTATACCCCCGGTATTCAGCGTCCGCACAGACCGGGTTTCCGGACAGGTCCAGAATGATGAGCTTGGGAAGGTCTCGTAAAAGCAGCACTTGCTTGATCTCAGCCACCCGGTTGTTGCCGCAGTACAGCTCCATGAGTGACGTCAGACCCGCCAGAGGTTGCAAAGTGGTGATCTCATTGTCCTGAAGAAGGGGCGTAGAGGGTAAAGTTTTGACTGTTGGCCTACTGAGTAGAAGATTTTGGTCGACTCAGCTTCGAGGCAAGGAAACTGTCCCTAAAGCCAAAAGGTATCGGGATTGAAGTCCGGAATTAACTTTGTGAAGAGACGGCCGATTGAAGCCAAAAAAACTTTGCTCAAACCCGTGAACACAAGCCACGCCTGGATTGTTTAACGTGAACCTTCTGGCTCTTATTGGGCTCTAGCTTGATTGCCTTGGTCCGATTCGTCCACAGTAACGCGGTATCCACCAACGGCTTGAACAACTGCTTCGAATAATATTCTACTATAATCTAACGCAGACTTTCGAAGAAAGCTTCACAACTCATTTGACGCCTCGCGTTTATTTTTGTAACTACGAAGGCCGTATAAGCCCCTGCATCGCCGCTCGGACAGAAAAGAGAGATTGCAAGCTAATTCCACTGGCCTTCTTGGAAAAAAGAACCCCAAAATCTGAAAAGAAGAATTCGACACAAGATCCTCACCTCGATTGACAGCTGCGAGAGCCCCGTCAGCGTTCTGAGTTTCTCGCAGGACGCGACGCGGTTCTTTCCTAGCTCCAGCTTTCGCAACCCGGTCAGGTTCTCCAGGCCGTCGATCTGCAAAGAAGCAAGGGACACTTGCATCGAACGGGTGCGAATCCTTCTGTCGGTTGCTGTTCATTTTTCAGGGATAGGGATTTGTTGGTACTTACGAAAGCCTGGTATCAAGTCACGGCGACCGTAACAAGAGCATCGTTGAAAGAACCCCGGTCCTGCCTGCTAACAGCTCTTTCTGCATTGAGAAGGCCACTACTTGTTCCACAAAAGAATGGCTGGCTCTTATGCACAATTTTCTGCACGCCAGTCTTGGACTAGCGCACGCCCGATATCAGATTAAGAGCCTATGATTGTTTCGATGAGGGCTTGACACTCGACGAGTAGAGCCCCTCCTATCTCTGCCAAGAAACCAGCCAGCCCTTTATATATGAGCTTCTTCTTACCCTGACGATCCTGTTCTCCTCCAGGTTCAGATCCTCCAAGAGGACCAGTGACGTCAGCACGTCCACGTCAGCGAGCTCGTTGTCGCGCAGGCTGAGCCGGCGCAGCTGCGTCAGCGACTCCAGGCCCTGCAGATTCGAGGGACCTCTTGTTAGACAACGAGAGGCTACTACATCAGAGACAGCTGCGCATAAGCTCTCAGGCTCTTCTTCTTGAAAACGGGTATCCAAGAACCAACTACTGAGTAAACTTGCTCCGGTCAGACGAAAGGATTCTACGACATCTCTTTGCTTGGGGGGCCCGTGCGCCGAAGATACGTGGGCATTTTCTGCAGCATGTCAGCATGCTTGCGTCAGTAAGATCATTAGAAAAGTACGGCAGCAGAACCGACTTAATACGTTGAACAGGTAACAACGTCCCGAACACAAAAAGCACACGAGGATTGATTCCCAAGTAGGAAGCTTGCCCTGAACAAATTATGAGACCCACCTGCAACCCCCTGAGCCGTCGATGCTCCAACGCGAGCTCCAAAACCTCGCCAAACCCCCCGTCCCGAGCCCCCGCGGCCGGCCCCGCCGCGTCCGCCTCTGTCAACCTTTCCGCACCAGACCCAACAAACCCCCCAAATCCCCCGTGCAGCCTCCCTTCCCTAGGCCAATCCTCCGAGCTTCTCCGCTCTCCCCCGTATGTTTCTCCAGGCAAATCTACCCCCCTTCCGGGGGCCGAACTCGTCCTGGGTTGCTGGCGCCCAGCCAAAGCCTCACGTATTGTGCCCGAAGTTACGCAGAGCAATGCCTTGGGGGAGTGTACTGAGTGCCCGGTTATGGGCTTCCCGTCTAGAGCCGTGAGGTGCTTCAGTTTGCGAAGGACGGTTTCTTGGTACCCCCACGAGTCGGTGACCGGGTTGTTCCGCAGGGAAAGGGAGGTGAGGGACGGAACCTGAACGGAAAGAGAGATGAGTGGCAATTAGAGTCCTTCAGTCGATCGACAAAACACAGAAAAGGGTAATCGAGTCAAACTGGCGTCCGCATAAATAGATGCGGAGGTGAGAAACACGTTACAATGATTGAGGTGCGAAGCACGACTCCTCAAATACCGGCAACAATCTGTCGAAAGCTATCCAATAAAAGCATATTAGAAGGGGCTAAGAGGGAATAATCGTAAGGAATCATACCGAAAGCAAATTACAATAGGATGAGGTTTTTCAAGTTGGCAAGCGCTCCATAAATGGCAAGCGTTCCTGCCACGACCTCTTTACACTAGAATCTCTGAGCTTCTTCTTAAAAATTTGACCTCCTTTCACCAGCTGTAGGTTGTCAACGGCAGGCCTTGAGAGCATCAAAATCAGAAGAAGAAGAACGAAAGTAGCAAGCGAAAAATTTGCGGGAAACTTGAGTCCCTCACGCTTCGCTTAAGCGTGCTGACGTCGTCCAACTTGTAGATCTGATTGGACGCCAGGTCCAGCGTCCGCAACGCGTGCAACCCCTTCAACCCGTCGATCCTTTTCACATAGTTATAGCTAACGTCCAGCTTTTCGAGCTGGGTTAACCCGTCTAACCCCTCCAGCTTTTGTATGCTATTAAACGACAGAACCAACACCCGCAGGTTGACGAAGGCCGACAGCGCTTCGATCTTTCGAATGGAATTGTTGTGTAGATTGAGCCACGTGACGGCCCACGGGGCCGCCACGTTGCACTGCTTCGTCAGCGCGTCCTCCGTCAGGACCAAAGTGCGCGCGCGTGACGTCAGCAGCGGCGCCATGTTGAGCACGGTCAGATAGGCCCCGTCCGTGCAGCTCTCCCCGTTCCTGGCCAATGCGCGGCTGCCACGTGGCGACCGGACGTCCGCCAGGAAATGTGCGAGCGGCCGGCAGATCGCTCGGACGTCCGGATCGACCCGGTCCAAACCGTCCGAATGTATCGCGGCGATCTTTGCAGCTTCGCGATCGGACACAAACGGCCTTCCGGCCTTAACCACGGCTTGACCCAAAACGCCCATCCCCCGGTCAACCGTATACTCAAACTCGACGACGTACTCGGGGAGAACTAACGCAGTGTCGAATACCGCCCACGTGCACTGTTTTTCGTCGCTTGGGTCAGGAACGTACACTGAGTCAGCCCCTGGGTAGTCTAACCCGCTCACTAACCCATTTGATAATCGGTCCTTAAACCGCTCGAGATTGACCGACCGGGGCGCCCCGGAGCTCGGCCGCAGCGCTGTGTTCGAAACCGCCCCACTCTGCACCTTTCCGTTTACTTGGTTACCTTTCGGGTTACCGCCTAACCCACCTTCTTCCCCCGCCGCCTGCGTCTTCCCCAGAAACACCTTCGAGACGAGCAGCCTCCCCGTCAAACCCGCCAGCGCGCGCTGGAGCCCCTGCTTCATTTTTAGGTTATCGGCTGACCCCCTGACGTCACCCCGGCCGTCGCTGACGTCAGCGCGCGTGCACGCCTGCAGGCGCGGCAGGTCCGCGAGCCCCAGGCTGTTGGTTAGCGTAACCGCCTCGGTGTCAAACCCGTCTTCGGCGATGAGCTGAAGGTGCTCGGGGTTCGAAAACTCGTTCCCGGTAAAAAGGTACTCGAGCGCACGCTTGTAGTTTGGGTCGCTCGTATCGACCTGTATTCAAGATGGAAAAGCGGGGGTAGGAGGCTTTCTTACACATCCCCGGTTCATAGAATGGTGGAACGGGTTTGGGCGTTAAGGGCTGAAGTGGTTAAGAAATTGGGGGCTACTGAGTTGGCTTGCTGGGAGCAGGAAAGGCATACCTGCGTCAAGAGTCTGTCGGACTTTGGGCATTCTCAAAACGGAGCGACTGTGGGAGATTGCTCCAGTTTTAAAGAAAAATGACAGGACAAGCCTTTGGCGCGCCCTTAATGGTCAAAGAAGCTTTCGGCACGGGTTCCACGGAACATTAGGCATTATCTTCCTAAGCTCAACTTTCGGAAGACTCTTTTCCCAGAGCAAGCCGGAACGGGCCGCCTTGCTTACAGGCTGAAATCTCACCAATTGTTGCCCTCACCTTCTCTTCCAACGTCGCTTCGAAGCGGTTCCTGAGCGACCGGTTGTGGACCCGCGTAACGCCGGTCACTCGCACGCCCGTGATGCCGTATCGAGAGTAGTCGGCGGGAAAGAACCGGGAGGTGACGAGGTCGGAACAGGAGGAGAACCTGAACCATGCGGACGCGTCAGTCTCAGGAGCCCAGACGGACATTCGAGGAAGTCGAGCAGTGCAGGCACGATCCAACGTGGGCAGCGGATGTACTTGGATAGGGGGAAAACGGACCGAGAGATTGCTTAAAGTGAGTAATGCGCAAGTTGCGTTCCCAAGAACTAGATCAGGCACTTTCCACAAGCGCTTCTATGGAAGCGGGTAAGGCCTAGACGTGACTTCAAAAAGCAGAAAGCAGACGGTGCAAGCTTGAGTATCTTCTTCATGAACTTGTTTATCCCAACGGGGAGTGCACGCTAGCTAGCAACGTGCGCTACCGTTGCCGACGCTTCCTATCCATCTTATTCCCTTGCTCTGATTTTACGTCCTTCCTTTCCACGTTTGCTGAACACATTCGAACTTTACAAGGCTCCAATCCTTCCAATATCAAAATCAACCAACGGCAAGAATGGATCCTCACCACAGGTCGGACGGCTTCCCGTCCTCCAGCCGCGTGTTGCCCCCCGTCTCTAGTTCCAATCTGAGCCGCCGCACTGCCACGTCACTCAGCTCGTACGCTTCCTTCTTGCACCGCTCAAACGTCCGCTCGATGTCGTCGACTTTGGCGACCAGTATATTGACGGCTGAGGTGGCCGCTTGGTGCTTTTTGAAACGTGGACTGTCCGGGGCCTTGTCCGAAGGAGCTGTCTCCATTTCTTGCTCGACGTCCTTTTGGAGGCGGGTCAGGGCGGCCAGCACCGCCTGCAAAACGGGGCCTCTTGGTGTGTTCAAGTGCTTACGGAAACTCTTTCCTGACCATCGTTTTTCTCACTACTGTAGCCTCTCTCACTAGGTGCAATCCTTGCATGAAAAGTCGTTCCCAAATTTTGATGTCCGCCAGCAGTCTAAAATATTCTTAAACAACCTGGATTTCGCGGACATATCCTTTGAGCACAGCTTGTGGGGGGAGTCGAAAGTGAACCCAACTACCTTTTCGGTTGGCCAGAGCAGGACCCCTTTTGTGCGGCTGGCCAATCGGCGCCGTCATGCCCTCGGCCGAAGACATCATTCAAATAGAAACATGATAAGAAGAGAGACAGGAAGGAGCACAGGAACAAGAACGCAAACTGGTTTACCTGCGCTTGCCCGACCTGCGCCGCCTTCCCCTCGGCCGCGAGCTTCACCCCGTTGCTCGTCTTGCGCTGCAGTGTCTTGATTTTCATGTTATAGTACATTCGCTTCTTCATGTACGTCGCCTCGGCCGCGCCCTTCGCGTCGTCGCTCAGCTCGAGCGCGTCCAAAACCCTTAAACCTCCCATCGCAAATAACGCGTAAGTCTGGTAGTTGCACAGCTGAGAGACAGGCGATTGGCCCCAGTGGGGGTCCGACAGGTAAAGCTCCCTCAGCTTGGGGAGCCGTGCCAAGTGCGCAATCTCCTTGAACGACCCGACCTTGGTATCAGCGAGGTTAAGCGTTTCTAGCTCTTTGTTAATCGAAAACACACCGCCAACGCTTGAGATTGGGTTTCGTGCCAGGTTGAGGTTGCGCAACCTGGTTAAGTCCTCTAAGCCTTCAATGCGCTCGATCTTGTTGTTCGCGAGCCAAAGCGACTCAAGCGCTGTCAAGTGGGCCAGGTTCTCGATCCTTTCAATCTGGTTGCTGTGCAGAAACAGTTCCCGTAGTCTTAGACACTTTCCGAGCCCGTCGATGCGCTCGATTTTGTTTTCGCATAGCCAGAGCGACTCCAAATGGACGCAACTCTCGAGGCCCTCTATGCTGTGGAAGGTCTGTTGCATGAGCGCGAGGGACTTTAGGGCGGGGAAGAGCTGGAGGCAGCGGATCCGGGGAAAGTTGAACATGAACATTTCGATTCGGTGGATGGTCTCCGCGTTGAGGCGCAGCGTCTCGTCGGAGACATCGTTGAACTCGCAGAGCTCCTCAAGCACTGTCAGAAAAGACGAAACGTATTTCAGTATGGCTTTCGAGAGTTGAAGGTTTACGGGACTTTGGAGACTCTCCCAGGTTTGAACGTCCCATTGTCACCGCTTCTTCCAAAGCGGCTTCGACTAAGGTTGGTGGGCTGCAATTTTCAAAAAGGCCCGTCACTTGCTCTCGTCAATTTAGCAATTGATGCATGCCTCTCGGAAGATACAAGGAAGGACAAGTATCGTCGACTTAATCCCGCTCACCAGTCTTCTCTTGCTGCGACAGGCTCTGAAGCAACAACTTCTGTCTTTGGACCACCGCCAGCGACCCCACCAAAGGGCCGTCCCCATCTTCGACAGCCATAGTGCTTGCCTGTAACACAGAATTACATAGTAAATGCTTTCTCGCTAAAAAAGTATGGGACGCGATCGCATTGAGAGCTGGGGCTGAGAGGTGGAGCCTTTCAAAACCGTCCTTCCTGAGAGTATAGGAGAGCTGCTCCTGTAGATTGGACCACCACAGTGTGCACTGGTGAGATATCGTTGGCGAGATCTGCATTCAAAGGTTGATGGAAGTTACGCTTAGGCTAACAACTGGAAAGAAAGACGAAGCAGATTCTTTGCTCTAACAACTTCATGGACTCGGGCGGCGGTGGTGGTAGAGCCTAGCTGAGAAAACCTCTTTAAGGACAAACACCAATCGAAAAAGAATCTAAAGCAGCTTCCGAAGTTGACCCGAACTAGCAAACACCACGGCTGATAGGCCTTTCCTTGTCATAAACAACATTGTTGTAATGGAGGCCGTCAACAGGGATAAGCTGCTCCTGAGGACAAGCTGGGACTCTGGCTTGCCCTTACTAAGAGCGGCGGGTAGATCTTCAAGTAGTACAACAGGGGCAGATGAACTGGGCCCTAATGTTGGCATGCCATGGCAAGACAGGAGGATGTTTACACCTTTGGTGACGAGGGCCTTCTGTTTTGGATGGGATTCCACAGCTCATGCAAACTGCAACCAAGCTGGCATTGCGAGCAGCTAGAGGTTTGCATGTGACGACCACCTTCAACTCACCTTTTTTTCAGCTCATCCGGCTGCCCAAACCACACTCCCCAGTGATGTCTTTTAGTCGTGACCTCATGAGCAGGCTCATCCTCTGAGATCGAAGCAAGGAGCTCATATTGTCGCATAGAGATGGCCTGGCCTGTCGGTCAGCTCGTCAACCATGGCGACCATGAGCTCTCCCATTCCTGATGGGGAGAGCAATGTGTCACTAATCTGGTTCTCGCTATGCGCACACCCTTCTCAGCGTTCACTTAGGCCCGTCCTTGCTAACTATGTTATGCACCTTCCTGAGATTAGGGTTTGCATCAAGTATCAATTGCAATTCTCTTCGCGTCCAGGCAGGCCACTAGACAGCAATCGCTTAGCAGGCTTGCATCAACACGGCACCTCTCTTGGTACCCATACCCTACCTTTCCAGCAATGCAGAGCTATAAGCTCGAAGATCTATAAACTTCTGACGTTAATCCAGAGGCTATGCAGACGTTGCAGGCTGGGACACTGTTCAAGCCTTCTGGCTGGGGTTCTTCCTTGCTTCAGAGGCGCCCCACCATGACGAGCTTTAGACAGAGCTGCCATCCTCTGCAGACATTCTGCCAGCTCCCATGCTTATAATCTGATGGGGCAGCTCGCAAAGTGATCTGCTGACCAGAAACCAGAGAAGCTGGTGAGCTGATGAGTTCTTTGATGAGTTCTTGACTTCAGCAATTGTACACCCATTCTGCACAGCTTGCGTGAGAATGAGGTACGGACCAGCCTAGCTTAGGTACGTACCTTTGACCACGTGGGAATTGTCTGCGCGACTATGGCCGCGGGGCTGACGCTTATACCGGTCTGCAAATACGGTGCCTTTTGGGGGGGGTCTTATTGCCCCCCATCACCAGGCATTTCTGAAATTAAGTCGAGATGTGCAGCCGGTGACATGTAGAAACGGGAATGGCCCCCCCGACTGAAAAGAAAAGTTGCATGACCGTCGACGACTGGCCGTTTTGCCACAAATCAAGTCTTTCATCCGACAAAGCAGTTGGCCCATACAGTGCATGCAGTCGACTCTGAGCTGCTTCCTAATTGAATGCCATGCAAAGCTAGGGCTCAGGCTTGAGGGATGAGTCCGCAACTCTGCTTCGGGAAGGTCATCATCTCTCCATCTGACATGGCCATTGGCGTCATGGGCTGGTGGCAGAAATAACTTATGTTGACTTCTGTTGAACATTCTTCTTGTAGGCAAGTACCCTGTACGGAATTTCTGCTCGCCTCGGAGCTCCGCAAAGTAGAGGCCGGAATCACGGAAAAGAGGGAAATGTCAAAAGAAGCATATCAGCGCCCCCCTTTGCGTCTGCGTGGAGCTACCTTCTCCAAACTCTGTTATCTGACTGATCCAAGTCAAAGGGGCGTTCAATGCTACAATTGCTACCTCAACGACTTTCAGTTCAGGTTCAGTTCTGCATGATGCTTGCATGCAGCTCGGACTTTCGAGCTCTGGTTCCTGCTGCTGGAATGCGACGTGATTGTGCTTGAACGAGGGGACAGCTGAGAAGTGCTAGGCACCGGTAGGTGCCCCATCACTGGCAGCTACGTCCTCGTCCTTTCCACCATTGATGTACTACTGCCCCGCATTGTTGGCACTGTACGGGCAGTGTCGATGTGAAGCAAATCCGCTGCTGAAATGGTTTTTGGTTGAGGACGTCATGCTGGGCTCCTCAAAGGCTGTTCTCAAAACCTGTGCATTTCAAATTGAGTGCACTACTTTTCTTTCACGTTTTGGCAGTCTGCAGCTCACTCCCAGCATGGGCAATAGCGCCGGCACGGCGGCAGAATCTTTACCAAAATTTCGCTGACAGTTCCGCTTTTGAACACTGCGATTGGCTTCCCAAATGCTGAGGGAGCTCTGCAGCAATCCAGGTCGTTGCAGAAGTCTTAGTCCCAGACGCAGGTTTTTCGGCACAATCGGATTTGATCAAGTGAACTTCTTGCGCTCTTCGGACGGTCTTGCCAGAATTGCATCGCCTTGTCATCTGACCGTGGCAGAAGCCTCGACGTCTCTGTCGGCAAACCAATTTTCATTTGTCTTGCTTTTGCAGTATCAAGCTCCGCAGCTTTATCAGGGCGGATTCATACCAGAACTTGAAACATATTTGTATCTATCGTCCAGTTGAAACGGCTCAGAAAAATGTCTCCGAGACCGGAAACACTTCGGTCGTCTGGAAAGAGAAGACGGGGAGAAGACGTTGAAGAAGACGGTTTGATTCTATCCTTCTCAGGCACGGCCCGCGCTGAAGATGGTCGCCCGGTTCGTTGCCGACTCCGGGAACTACGAATACGCGTTCAACTGGGTGTTCCGCCAGGACGGCCTCAGGCTTATCACTGTCAACGTTCAAAATTTGAACGTCCGGAATCCTGCAAATGAAGGCAGTCGTGAGGTGGGTCTAGAGGACGCCTAAGTTACTACTACGATTCTGAAGTTTGAATTCGAAGTGCCTTATTGACGAGAGGAGCGGGTCTTTATCCAGAGAAAAGCCACTTGATATGCAGTCTACGTTGCAAGAAACAGTACCTGTCCGTAGTCATACTTGCATCGCTCCTTGAGAACAGCGAAGAAGGATGGGCCTGAGAGAACCGCGTCAAAGCGAGCGGGGATGGATCATTAAGCAACTTGCCGAAGTCTCTTCGTTCGATTGTCGAAAGAACACATCACCTGGCCTGCCCTTCCCAAACATCTTCGTCCCTCCTTTTCTCCAGCTCTGGAGCCAACAACAGTGCAGCAGTGCGGAAGGTTTGAGACGTTTGTTGAACGAAGCCTCGGCCGCCTTTAACCACGACCATTTTTTTGACTTCGCCTAGACCTCCAATGCTAAATGTTCCAAATAAAACAACTGCACTGAACAGAGTTCAACTAACAATTTTCATCCTTCCCTTCCCTCAGCTCTGAAGCCAACTTGTTGGACACCAGTAAAGGCACCGCATAAGCGCATTCTGGAACGTTTGAACGTTTGTTTGCGACAACGTGGTGGTTGTTAACCGCGACCACTTTTTCAGCTTCCGCCTCCACATGGTATCGCTGCACCAAGAAATACCTTCTACAGACAATCAAAGAGTCCCTCATTCTCCGCAGCTCTGCGGCGAACATCAGCGACAGTACCGCGGAGGCGCAGTTTGTTACTAACGTGGTTGCCGTTCATCACGACCACTTCTTCAACTTCCGCCTCGACATGGACATGGACGGCCAGAACAACTCGTACGTCATCAAGCAGCTGCAGCGCGCGTATAACACCAACGGCACGAAGCCGCGCCAAAGCTACTGGACGGTGATTGGTAGGGAGTGGTCTTTTGCTGTCAAGTTCTTCTGGGTTGGAATGCGCTGTCACCGCTGGTCCTGACCTTCCGCGTGATCACTCCGCTGCATCAAGATGCTTGTAATTTTGGGCATCTTGGTGGCTGCTGCCATCTCTCTCTTGCATCAAACTGCTTGTGACGCAGAGAGAGTCCGGCGCAGGTTGTTTGATAGTCCGTTCTGACCAGATTTTGTCTGAAGAATGTCGATGGCCCTTGTAGATTATCGTCCTTTTCTATAGCCCAACTGGTCGCGTCAGTTTCTTATCGCCGTGGAATTAATTTTCATCGGTTCTGGCTTCAACGTAAGCCAATTTTGTAAGTCCTTCTTTTTGTCCTGGGCCTTCTTAGCAATGCCGTTTCTTACCCCCGGCAGGTCACCAAGTACAACAGCAGCGAGAAGTTTGCCTCGGGGGTGTTCACCAACCAGGCCACGGGAGACCAGACGCTGCTCAACTGGTGATCGGAAATGACTTCATCACAAACACGGACATTGTGCTGTGGTACACCATGCAGATGCATCATATCCCGACTCAGGTGACGTCACGACTCTGTTACGTGTGCTTCCTGGTCTGTTGCCGCGTTGAACATTTTCGGAGCCCCAAAGACAGCTGCCTCCGCGTTGTTCGAAAGGATGAATTGATCTTGCAGGTTGGATGAAAGCTTTCGCGCGATTTTGAGACGAGTATGTTGAGACCAGTGTGATTTGAAAGATTAGAGATTGAGACTCTGACGTCTCATTACTAATCTAAATGAGCTTTGTCTTCCAGATGTCACTTCTTGCTGGCTAAAGTCTCCAGCGACTGGGACATTTGTTGCACTACCGGTTCTCGCTTCCGCTACTGTGACGCCACTTCAAGCGGTGTGAATCGGGCATCCCACAAAAACTGAAAGCAATTTGCAATCTTCTTTGCACCAGGATCAATTCCCTGTGATGCCAACGGAGACGATGGGCTTCCACCTGCACAGCCCGCCAACTTTTTCGAGAGGAACCCTGTGCTGGCGGCGAACCCTTTCTCGGCGGACTATGGTTTTATGAGCAGCAGCGATGTCCCACGTGGCGCAAGAGTACT